AAACTTTGCCCCAGATCCTTATTTGTGGCTGGGCTAGCTTTACGATTGAAGGCATAAGTACAACTAGCTTGAGGGTTTAAGTTAAAGGTTAATTGACCTGGAACAAGGGTTGAGCAATAGAGGACACGGCCGAGACATCACGTGATTTCTGGGTTTGGTCTCAGGAGAATAACCCTAGCACCACCAGCAAAAAAACACGCGAAGCCCTAAACCCGAAGCCCTACCCTAAAATCCTAAACCCTAAACACGAAACCCTAAACCCTAAGGCACTCCAGTGTTTTGAGGCAAGTGCGCACACACGGAGGTGAGTACTGATAGCGACCAGCTCGACGACTCACTGCCTTGAGCCAAATGGCCGCGGCATGGATGGTGGAAAAAGCGCAGTTGATGGCCCAGCAGCCACACAAGATTACGAAACAACTGATGGTCCAGACCGACCTGATGTTGGAGGAAGGACGTCTCAGACGGTTGTGCAAGGATCAACGGGAGATGGAAGGAGTGATCCTGGGCATCAACGCTCCACTCATAGCACTTGTGCAGCCGCACGCAGACAGGTTTTTCCACAACGACGAGATCGCAGACTTCTGCGTGAGGGTCGCGGAGGATCAGCAGACCAACAAGGAGAGGACACGAGCACTCATTGTGAACGGGGCATTCGAGGGGAGGAAGAACAATTGGACGGTCGGTGCAGCCTATTTGATACATTTTGGGAGGTTTTACTCGACGGCATTCGACTCTTACGAGCGCCAGCACATGGACTCCCTTACGTCTACCACGACGTGGAGTGTTGCTGGGAACCGCATGTCGGATATTCTCCCTGCTGTGATCATGGTCTTCAGCTCCACGGACGAGGAGATGGAGGGGGAGATTTACTCCCTGACGATGCAGGCTTGGGAGACACTGATGGAGTTTGCCCTGATTGCATCGGGTACGGAGGACGAGTACTACAGAGGCTTGCCCAGGCCAGTCTATCAGGAACATGCTTTAGGGACGTTGTCCGTGCCCTGTCGACCGTTCCCGGAAGTGCTCTCCGACAACTTTCAGTGGGAGCAGCTGAAATACTGGAAACGTGCTCCGGAGACGGAGGAGGTGCGCCTCGACGCACAAATCCGTTTCTATTGAATCCACCACTGACGGCAACCGAGGAGATCGAGGAGATCCTCGACGCCGTCTGGGATGCATACATCACAGTCACTGAGAGTTGTTTTTGTGCCCTCGACGCGTGCTGCGTGTTGTCAGGTGGCACCATTCACACTTTTTACTTTGTTCTCGCTGCCGCCGTTTTTACGTATAATTGTACTTTTGGCAGCTTCAATCTCGCTGAGTTTATCAACTGCGTTCGCCATTCCGTTTGGGAGACAGGATCATATTTTGGCGATTTCTTTAGCCAAATCTTTATCGCTCATCGTATGTCACAGGAGTCTCAACTCGGTACGCTGTTGGAGTCACGCAGTGGAGGCATCTGCCACTACTGCCTCCCGACTGGCTACCAGTTTCAGAGTTCGGACGACAAGGCATATGTTGACGCCATTGCGTATGCACACCGGTGCAATCGCTGTACTCTGCGCCACCTTGTTACGTGGGACCGTCCGAGATATGTGTCGGAGCGGTATCACCACAAGCTCCTCCATCGCTGTCAGCATGTCATCTGCGCTGACCGGACGAAGCTTCGTGGGATGCTCGCAAACATCAATCTGACTCACTCAAACCTTGTCGATGATCCCGGCCTGGATAAGCGACACAGTTATGAGACGTATCTCGCCCACGCCGTACGCGCAGAACTTATGATCCTTGGCGGATCCTTCGAGTTTTTGCCTTTTCCCAGTGGCCTTGGTGTGGCCACGCCGCAAGTGGAGACCTCCGAAGCCGCGACTGGACTTTCCGGCGGCACCAAAACACCGGCTGATATCGCCAGTCAGACCGGGGCATCCAGATTCATTAAAGTAGGGGCTCCACTAATCCCATACACCACAGCACCGCCTGGTACGGTCGCCGACCACGCCAAGGTTATTGTTGAATGGGAGAAAGTTGATCTGCGGAAAGACCTCGCTTCAAAGATGGAGGCCTCAGCCGCATTAGACGCAGATGCCCAAATTTGCGTAGTTGACGACGAACTCCTGGACACGCATGGCATCACAGCCAAAGCCAGGGTATGCATGCCGGGCATCACGAACGAGGATCTTGCGAAAATCCACGTAGCAACCAACACGCATGAGAACGCTCTTGCAGCGATCGGCAACCGCCATTATGCGGAGAAAGACACGGAATTAGAATACGAAGGGATCAGGATTCGAAACGCGGTCGGAAACCCCTCTGAACTCATCAGACGTTCATTGCACAGCTTCTTAGCCGAGATCGTCCCAACCATTATGGATATTGACGAAGCTGAGATCAAGCGCACCGACGTCGAGGTGGTTGAAATTCCGATGAGTGAGATTGTGTCTGAAGCACACGGGAAAACCATCTTCCCCATCCACAAACTCATCGCTGAGATCGCACCCAATAGCTTCACGGAAAAGATGATAGACGACAATTACGAAGCTACATCCGGTTCCCAGATGTCGAAAGACCCAGTAACGAAGGCATTTGTGAAGCCTAATGAAACACTGGGCAAAGTAAAACCGCGTCTGATCCAGCATAAGGGTCCACAGGGCACGGCTATGAGCTCACTGATGAACAAGACGGTTGAAGAAAGTCTCTTCAGGTTATCTTACTTTCTGGTTCGATCAATCAAGGGGACGGATCATCGCGGCGTGAGCAATCGAATGCTCCAGTTCTATCAGGAGTTCCGTGACGGAGGTTTCTCATCGACGGACTTCGGGTCCTTCGATTCCTCAGTCACAGATAAATGCACCAAGGACTTGCGGAAACCGGGTTTGCGCAGGATCGTCGAGGAGGCCTTAATGAAGGCTGTCGCCGAGAAATTTCCCGATAGTGCTGACTTGGGAAACGCCTCACGGTTGAGGTGGAAGAAGCAGGACAGAGTGCTTTTCGACTCATTGACGCTACTGGTGTCTGTAATGATCCGATACTCAGGGGATGGGCTGACTTCAGTCGGCAATTATTTCATCAACTGGAGCATCGATCGTACTGTGGACGCTTTGGCTGAGGGGTTGTTTACTATCTGGGACTGGTCCAGCTACACGCTTGCCGAAATCGTTGAAGCGTTACCATCGTTCCTGGAGGACAAGGCACACATCGAGCACCTGCTAGACTTCGTGAAACAAAAAGCAAAGTACACTAGTCAGACCATCGTTCGGGAGTCAAAAGGCGTACCAGTCAAGAAAGCCGACTCAGAATTCATGTGTGGGGAGGGGGATGACAAAGTAAAAGCGTACAGGTGGAAATTCATCCAACACTTCACCTGTCGGGACAAGAAAGGAAAATCGGCCCGTGAGGTCTTGGGCATCATCACAGGAGTGTTGTTCGTTCTTGCTGGCATGTGTCTGGAGCCACAGGATCGTTCTGGCAGAGTATCCGTTGATCGCCTCATTGACCCGACGAACCGTATCGAGTTTACCAGCCGAATATTTGTCCCGGTCCTTCAGGGCACCTACATGGTCAGTTTCCCCAAATTGCGCAAGACCTTTGCCGCGGCGACGGTGACATTCAACGTCACCGACGTCTTTGACGAGGCCGCCGTAACAAAGATGCTGTCAATAATGAGTATGTGCGATCAGTGCGTGCTCCAGTTCGCTTTCTACTCGATGTTATGCCGCTTTTATATGGCACGTGTGAAGAACAACGTCATCAGGACGAATAAGCGGAAATACGAGTGGTGGGAGTACAAGCTAATACTGCTCATTAGCGACAACAGCATCGCCAACACGTTTCAGTCTGTCTACTCACATCTCAAGGAAAAAGCGGGGCGGACCGACCCCGGGATACAGTCTGAAGTTGTTGCGGCGCTTGCAAAAGAAACGCGATTGGAAAAACACCAGATCAACGACTTGGTGGATGCATTTGATGGCGAACAAGGAGACGATCTTGGATCTGTGTCAGCATTAGTACAGCGCTATGCTGCCGTGCTACCTCCCGTCTGAGGACGGGACGGCACTACATTGCTCACATGGTACGGTCGTAAAAGGCGCGCGTAGCCAGCGTGCGCCTGGAGGAACCAGACGCAGTTTACCGAGCCACTGCGTTTCCGCCCGTGTTCAACTAAAACCGAAGTACCCCAACCCGCGTGGGGGAATTACTGGGCGCGCACCTACCAGTAGGTTGGGAGGCCTTCTGACGAGCGACTCCCCCTCTGTTTGCCGGAGGATAGCGCGCGAAAGCCCGTGTCTCTGAGGGGAGCGGACCCGAACTGGAATCAGGAGACACGCGGGACGTGTCGGTGTGTGCTGGCCCCTTAGGCAAGGGCCGCACTTTTGGGGATGGTAAACCTGCCCGGCTAACGCGGAGAAAGGCGATACGCCCTGCCCCGGAATGGCAACCGTGGGTAGACGTCCCGGAAATGGACTACGGCACCCGATCCTGCTCCCCCGGACTGTATGTCTGGCATGCCCGTGGAGGGGACGGGGTTTCACAAGGATTCCAGTTGATAATGAACCTTGTCACGTAGTGGGCTGCTCCGGCCCCGGCGCTAACGAAGTGTTTGATGATGTTTTCGTGGAGCCTCGTGCCCCAAGGGATTTGGCTTGTGGCGCAGGGCGCCTTCTATGGCTACGCCGAAGGGTTGGGGGGAGCAACATGCTTCTCCCGCATGACCGGCAACCTTCATATTGAATTCAAACATAGCATGGGACCATCGTGGATGGCAGGGACGATGCTGCTTCGCTATGGACACGGTGCAGGGGTTCAGGGAGGGTGGCGTTCCTCGGGCTCGGGGTCTCCGGACAGCCTGTGGATGCCCTCGGCAATTGGCCACCGTTCTGGTATGTCAATGCCCGCGCTGGCGCCGACACCCTCCTGTGGGAGCGAGGAGTCAACCCAAACCATCTCCTCGGATGCACCGCCCGTCTCATTGAGGCTACAGCCAGTTCACTTCTCTCCTGATGGCTGACTTCGAGGTGGCTACGGGGGGGGACCTTCGACGGGCCCTTGTGTGCGAGAGGGAGCAACAGGATGTCTGGCAGTGGGCCAGGTATGTGGATGAGTGGATGCATGTGGAGTACCTCGAGACCTTCTTTCCCGTCCAACAGAATGAGCTTGAACGGATTTCCCCGGAGGGGCTTGGCACAGTTGACTCCCTTCCAGTGCCTGCCGAGGAGGAAAATTTGGTGGAGAGGGTTCGAAGGGAGCATTTCAACACCTTCTTGGTGCTGCCCGCTCTGCAACGGCGCCTCCATGGGCTCGAGCCGAATACCCAGGGTGCTGTGGGGGCCACTTCGGACGGACCTCTGACACGGGCACTTGGGGAATGGATGCTTGACGCCATCGACTTCCTTCGTGACGAGAGGGCTAGGGGTGAAGATGGATGGGCTGTGCACTTGCTGCGCGGCCGGATGCTTGGCCGAAGGGATCAGAGGTACAGGGGCCTTGCTATCGAAGTTCTTGCTGGGCTGGATGATGTGGTCCCGGCAGGGTTCATACAGACGGTCGAGCCTCCCGAGTACCTCGTGGATTGGGCCAGGGATGTGGAGGGTGAGTTGTACGAGCTCCTTCACTATCGATCCCAGGGAGCCTGTGGCTCTGACGCCACCAGTTTCGTACAGAGGGAGCGCCAACGGGGGCCAGGGTGACGGAGTCTACAAGGGTTTTGCGCCCTCGCCCCAGATCGGCTGCAGCAAGCTCCTCCAGGGATGTCCCGGCCCCATCTACTCCAGACCCGAGGCCGCTCACTCTCGACGAGGCCGCTGACATCTGGTCGATTATTTTGGGGCTTGCTCTGGATGAGGAGGTTGACGCACAGCCTGGGGTCATAGTAGGGGAGTTTACAAGGAACTCTGTCACCGAGACCTTTTTGGGCTATGGGGCGCAGGACCGCCTCACCTTGGTGCTGGCCTTCCAAGGAGTCGTGGGTCGCCTCCTGCGAATGATAGGGATGATCGTCGAGGATGCCTTGACTGAGGAGCGATCGGGCCCTGCTTGGAGCCCGCCAGAAGGGGATGGGGATGGGGATGACACATCCCTCATGCAGTCTGCATTGGTGACCACCGATAATGATTGGTACCTCTTCCTGGCTGACTTCCGCAATGCCCTCGAACATATGACAAAGGAAGCTCGCCTTGCAAACAGCCAGGTGATATGGCGTTGGTTGGACCACAGAGTGACGGATTCCCTCTCGGGCAAGTGCTTGGGGCATGCACGGGGGAGAGCGGGCGAAGTGCTTGCTCTCCTGGTGGCTGCCATGGAGTCCTCGGTGGGCTTTCTGGCAGGGGAACACCACCTCGGTGTGTGCACAGCGTGGTTTCAGCGTTTGGCCCTCTTCGTGCCCACCGTTCCGGGTAGCCGCAGGGACCGTGGCCTTCCGGTTAGCCAAGAGCTGCCGGCTCCGGTGCTGTTCCAAAAGCCACTGCCCTTGGAATCGGACTCGGACGATGCCGAGGAGACAGCGAACCGGAGGCTCATGAGAACAAACCGGCAGAGTGAACGGGACTTGGACGCCTTGGTGGAAGAGGAGCGACGTGACAGGGCAGAGTTGGTGGAGCACTCTGAAGCAATGGCAGCCATGCAAGTGGCTGCGGAGGAAGAGGAGGCAGCCGAGACCCAGCGGTTGGCAGATGACTTTCTTGAGGAGGAGGGTGGGCTTCGCGACCTGTCGCCGGCCTCCTATCGTGCGTGGGAAGACCGGGTGTTCAAGAGAGCTCTGCAAGGGCCGCCCACACGGAAACGGGCATACCTGGACGTGGAACTGGCTTCGGGTAGCTCAGATGCCCCTCGCGTGTCTCGCCGGTGGAGGGTGCCCCTACCTCAGTCGGGGGTCGCCTTCAGCCTGACCGCCACGGTGGTCCATGAGGAGGACATTGCGGACACGCCACCTGCTGTGGATGCGGGCGGGACTGGTGTGATGACAGTGCCCGGACCTCTGGCTACTGATGTGGCTATCTCCGCCGGGGGTACAGAGGGTGAGGGAACAGACACCGACGTGGATACAGTATTGGTTCCAGGGTCAGGGGTGCCTGTGACGACCCAGCTCGATGTGGGTGCTGAGTTGTGCTCAGCCTCTGTGGTTGGACCGGCAGTGCCGGTGGGGTCCTCCGGATCAGGGGAGCCAGGGTTCGACGACAGGGATCGCTTCCAATTCACAGACCTTTCCATGGAGCAGTTCCAACAGCTGTATGGCCAGTGGATGGGAGGGCTGGTGTCGACGGAAGAAGTGCAAGCCACACATGGATGTGATGTCGCGGAGATGCTCGAACTGCAATTTGTGGCGGAGCAGGGTGGTTTCGAGTCCCAAGCCTGATGTGTCCGTGCTCGCCTGACCTTGAGGTCTTCCGTAGGCAGAGACAGATTTGCAGGCGGAAAAAGGCGCTTAAAAAAAAAAAAACCCTAAACCCTAAACCCTAAACTCTAAACCCAAAACCCTAAACCCTAAACTCTAAGCCCGACCATAAAAACCTTAAGCCTGGGCCTAAACCCTAGCCTGAACCTGAAGCCCCTTGAGATTTGCTGACCCTCAACACAACCCCCAAACTTTCCTAAACCCTACTTGGAGGGTCGGTGGACTTAGTAAGTAGGTAGTAAGTAGACTTATAAGTACCCTAAAAGGGACCCTAATTGGGGACATGGTACTTATAAGTCCCTAAAATAACCAGTTACTAGGTCCCTCGACCCTCCAAGTAGACCTCCCAAAAACCTGAACCCGACTGCTCGTCCTACTGACACTCCTGCGCTGTACCAGAGGGCTCGGGCTTCAAACAATCCTTGGGGTTGTGGCCTTCAGGGCACCCTAAAGCCAAACCCTACCTGTAGCCCAAAAGACCTGCCTTTTTTGCGGAATTGTATTTATATATATATGTATATATATATATATATATATATATATATACAGACACCATAATAAGGAACCCTAAAAAGGTAGGTCTTTCCGGCTACAGGTAGGCCCTAGACCACCTTAAACCCTAACCCCTGCTAATTCAGTGCCCGGATCTGCACGTTAGACCCTACAAACCCTAAACCCTACGCCTTTGTGTTGGATTCACCTGCAGCTGCACCCAAAGCCTCTCAGTGGGCCCTCGCCGGTGTTTTTCGCGACATGTGAGTTTAGATCGCCTCTTCCCTAAACCCTAAACCTTCATGTAAGCTGTTTGAAGTTCACGGAAGTGTCAGTGAGTTGTAGGAAACCTTGAGTCAGAAGATCCCAGGCTCTATCTACAGTTTTCAAGTTCCTTTTTGGTTTAGCCGATTTTATGGCCTAGGATCCTATAAGGTAACAACAAACAGGAACCACAGTGGAGACCGGAGGTATACACCAACATCAAAACCCAAAAGCGATGCCCCTAAGATTGATCAACTCCTTGAAGTGTGTGTGTGTGTGTGTGTGTGTGTGTGTGTGTGTGTGTGTGTGTGTGTGTGTGTTTGTGTGTGTGTGTGTGTGGGTGTGTGGGTGTGTGTGTGGGTGTGTGTGGGTGTGTGTGGGTGTGTGTGGGTGTGTGTGGGTGTGTGTGGGTGTGTGTGTGTGGGTGTGTGTGGGTGTGTGTGTGTGTGTGTGTATGTAGTATCTTTAGGGCTCGGCGCTCTAACACACGCTTATCTCAAAGTTCCTTGAACCTTGAAGCCACACTCGTCGCTGCCATAGTCGGGTAGCATTTCACATGTCTATGGGTACTTAAACCCAAGCAGGAGTAGACATGTGGATTAATATTTAATACTATCCCAACCATGGACTACTAGTGAGCTAGTGAGGTCTGGCTCGGAAGCGTCGAGGCCCTTTTGCCGCGGGCTATGCCCTTTCAGAGCAGAGATTGAATGACAAGTTGGATGCCGCTTTTGCCGGTTGTTACGGGGCTTCACAATGCAGGGACTCCTACAACAGCGGCACTTTGACAGGACACAGGATGGGGGGGGTGTATGCAAATGGTAGTCTCAGCCGTTGTTTCATGATTGTCACCAGAAGCACCACCAAGCACCAACAACCTCACACCCCCTCCTCCTCCGTACCGCCAGCCGGCCGGATACTGACAGTGCTGCTACTACGCGGAACAGTGGCGATGATCGCCGAAAGACTAGGAAGAGGACGATCATGAGCATGACAATGTTGTTCTTCGTGACGATGTTCCTGCTGCTAATGTTAATGTTGTGGTTGGCGCTGTTGTGGATGATGCCAACCAGGAAGATGGTTGTGATGTGTTTGATCCGTCATACTTTGAGTCATTTTGAGTCCTATTGCTCTCATGATTGTCTTTGGCCGTGGATGCGAGCTGCGAGTATTGATGCACTGCGAACCTTTGGATCCGTATTAATGGCTCATGTGCCTGCGATCAGTAGTGCATCTTCTCGAAGTGCCATCACTATCAGAAAAACAACAACCCAGCTACCGACAGTATAGGTAGCTTGGCTCCTCGGCAGCGTTTCCTGTGAGTGCTAATGCTAATACAGAGGCCTGTGTAGTTATCAATAAACTCTTCTATAGATTTATTGTTGTTGTTATAATTAGCTGTATTGCGACTCTTGTTATGTTACTACGGTTGTAACTCTTATCATTATTGTCATGATGGTTGTGTTGTTATTGGTGTTGTTCTTATTGTTATTAGTACTGTAGTAGTATTAGAATTGGCATTAGCATTACTAGTATTGGTATTGGTATTAGCGTTCGTATTATGATTACCATTATTGTTATTGTGAACATGAACAACACTGTTATATAGCATACTAATATTGTTATTAAACATATTACACCTGTTGGAAAATGCTTACTATCATTATCAGTATTACTCTTACTGTCATATCCAAACGTTTTTCGAGTTATAGAGGCCCCGGTACCGAACTCTAATACAAGGGCTTGAATAATTACCAATACTGTCTTGGGGGTCCCTTAGTAGAGCTATAGTATATCTATATCCCAAAACCCTATTCTAATTATACAGGCCCCAAAAGTACAGTGCTGGTCTGTCCAGGCAGTGGATGCTTCAGCGAGATCTGTGGACCCAGCACGAGGCCACGGAAAGAACGGGCTCGAGCTTTGTGGAGCAGGCTCTATATCAGATCTACAAGGGTTCTGTAAGGGAACTACAAGGGTTCTAGCAGGGATCCATAAGGGTCTTACCAGGGATCGATAATAAGAAGGGTTGTAGAAGGATACTAATTTTAAGGGTCTGTAGGGTTTCGACTGTAGAATGAATGGCCTGTCAATTTGTCTCAAGATTTCGTGTGCATCGTGAGCTCCGGGTACGCGCTCCCCAATCCTCAGAAGCTTACCTAGAGGCTCATAGCCTACATCCTTTTTAAAAGTGCCTAGGTTTCTATATAGCAGATCCCAACCATAACACTAGGTCTCCTGAAAAAAAGGGTAGGGTATGACCCTCTAGGTATGGTCCTAACCGTTCACCAGCCGAAGAGTCTCCCAAACCTGAGCCCCGAAACACCCTGAAACCCCAAACTCAGAAGTCCAAACCCCCCGAAACCCCACACTCCCAATTCCATAAAGGCCTGGGGCTCCAGTTACCTAAATAGTAGGTTACTGGGGTATACAATATGTGGTTAGTAACCAACTAATAAGGTAACTGGAGCCCCAGGGAAGCTCTAAACTCCCTAAGCATTCCCCAAAGGGTCCAAAGTCCCGGCATAGTAGAATGTAGGGTTTCTATATCAGGAATTACTACTATGCTTTGGGGAAGTATCCCCCATAACAGTACATCGGACCCTTTGGGACTCTAACCCCCACAAACCTTGCGGATAGTTAAACACCCAAACCCCAAACGTAAGCGCCCTAAACCCTAAACCCTAAAACCCTGGACCCTAAAATCGGACCCTTTGGGTTCTACACTCGAAAGCATTCCTCCATCGTCGCAGGCCATCGCTTCAGGAGCGGAGTTTGCTACGGAGGTTTGGCTGAACCACCTTTGCTCCGCGCCCGCATTTGCGGGTTTCTATATGGGAGTTTCCGAAAATAGTGGTACCTTATTTTGGGGTCCTGATTATAAGGATCCTACTATTTAGGGTACTATATTAGGGTCCCCTATTTTCGGAAACTCCCATATATAGTCGGGCTGCCTAATTTAAATACGTATGCTTTTGGGAGCCATCATTTTTTGAGGCGTCTGTTTGCACGTGAGACGGCTCTAGACGACCCCAAGCTCCATCCCAAAAGCCCTTGGTGGAAGACCCACGAAAGCCTGCCTCATAGGGCTCCTCATTCAGACATAAACCCTAAGCCCCAATTTGCTTAAATTCAACTCCCGGATGTGAAAGCCTGCCTTGCCCGAGGTACGGCAGCCACGCCAAAGTGCATCCCGGAATCTGGGATTTGGACGAAATTGGGGTTTAGAGTGCAGGGAATACTGCACGAATTTGAGAGAGCTTAAGCTGATTTGCAGGCTCAGCATGAATTGGGGTTATAAGTAGATATAACTATGGTTACCTTACTTATAAACCTACCTACTGAGTCCCATGGTCCTCTAGGTAGGGTCTTTGGGTGTAGAGTACTCCTAGTCTCCCATGTTTATTGTTGCTTACGTGTAAGTTCATTGCCAAGGGCGTGGAATACTCTCGGCATGTTGTGTAATTTAGACTGGCTGAACTTGTGCAGCTTGAAGTGAACTCAAAAGTCGTGAGCCCTACTCACTACCCAAAAGGCTTGCCTTCAATGCTTGCACTTCGAGATATCAGGAAGCCAATGCTCAGTGGGGGTGCCACGGCTTTCGAGAAGGTGAGGATCAAGCGCGGCCAAGCCGCAGTAACTGCGATGAACCTGCGCCGTTGGTCGGTCCCGAATCCCAAACTACTGATCCTGAACCCTCCACATTACAGGCCTAACAGTTAAAAACGGGGTTTCGGGGTATTGTTTAGTATTCGTAATAAGACAACCATATATTACAAGGACCACAAAGGACACAAGGGGATGCTGTTTCTATCTATTCCGACATGTATATTACCCCGAGTTTATTCCCCAAGCCCTGTAAGCAAGCCTAAGCTGGAGTATTGCAAGTCTTACCGGAAACCCTAAACCCTAAACCCTGAACGTGTGAAAGTCCCAATGCACCCTAAAAAAACCGAAACCCTGAACCCTAAACCGAGTCTTACCGGACTGAGCCCAAACACAGGCACCTAAGACGCAGTTGTCTCGTTGTATGTCGGAAGGTTTTCGAAGGGTGACATGGGAGTTGTTGCAAGAAGAGGATTCCGGATTCCCCGTCAGACTACTTCGGGGATTTGCACGATTTATGAATTATGGCAGGCTTCTTATGTGGGTGGTTGTCAAAATTATGGTCCCTTTTTGGGTCCTTAATATAATACGGCACCTAACATTTGGGGAACCCAAAAAGGGACAATCATTTTGACAACCGCCCATGTGGCTTGGGGCTCCCCTCTGGGAACTTGTTGGACTTCGTCAGAGCCGTGCAAAGCGCCGCAATGCAGAGCCGAGCCGACGGAATGCCGACCTCCGATGTCGGGTGAGCGGCAGTTCAGCGCGGTCAGACCTAGCACGATCCCCTCCGTGCTACAGCACGAAGCCCAAGCAACGCATCACATCGCGAAGCTGCGATGCAGAGTCCTCACGTACCTTGCACTGGCATGACTTCCCTAAGGGCCCATGTACCCATATAGAGATACATGAGCCCCCAAACTACCTAAAAAGGGACTACATTAAGGCCACTGTATATACTATATGAGTACATGAACCCTTAAACCCAAAACCCTAAACCCTGATGGTACCCTTAAAGGAACCCTTAAAGGAACCACTATATGACTACATGGACCCTTAGGGTAAAGCCTTGAAGCACACGAGATCGAGAAGTCCATCGCTCTTTAGGCGGCCTTCCGCTGCGCCCTTGGCATTTCGCTCAGTAACGTAGGGGCCTGAATACTTGCCTATACTTTCTTTTTTGGGGGGGTCCTTATTATACTTATTGTATAAATTGACGAAAAAATCTATTCTACTTATTATTAAAGGCCCGTAGAGTGCAAGGCCCGGGGTGTTCTTCGAGCGGCCGGCAGCAAGCAGCGATGTGACGAGATCAGTCGGTACTGTGACACTGCCAGCCTGGATCCAGCAGCTGGTAGCCCAACCCTAAGCCCTAAACCCTTAACCGAAGCCTGAATCCCAGATCCCTTAGTTTACGCTCTGAGCCATAAAACCCGACTTCGAATGCGAAGACCATAGAAACTTTAGGGGGAGCACCATACTTGAATGTGTTTCATGACTATACTTTTTTACTTCAAAGTCCAGTAAACATAGAGTTGCCTCGCACATCAAACTATTAAAAGTCTAGCCCTGCAGCCCAAGAAGCCACAGATCAATCTACTGCCCAGCCTTTTTGGGGACACTCTTCGGGAAGCCAGATGGGTGGTTGTCAAAAAAATTAGGGTCCCTTTTTGGCTCATTATTATATAATACGGCAGCTATATTGTTTAGGGTACCCAAAAAGGGACCCTAATTTTGACAACCACCCAGATCTATGATGGCTCCTAAACCCTAAACCCGAAACCCTAAACCCTAAGCCCTAAACCCTAAGCCCTAAACCCTAGCTTCGTTTTTCGCCGCTTTCGTACCACAGAACCGCCTGGAGCCTTCGAACCCCAGAGCTGCCCCAACTGCTGCTTCTAGGACCCAGAGTAGGCCCTTATTCCCTTTTTAAGGGTGTAGGTTCCCTTATAAACCCCCTTTAAGCCAAAAAGGGCACCCTTTTTATTCATAGGTTACTCTTAGGTCTAGGCTTTATTCGGGTTTAGAGTTCCAGGGTTACCCAAAACCTCTATCCCTAAATCCCAAAATCCTAGACCGCTAAAACCTATAAACCCCTAAATCCGAAACGCCTGAATCCCTAACCCTGAACCCCTAAACCCCTATGTAAATCCCAAACATGGTTTTATTGCCGAGGTGGTGCCAAACTGTCGGAGTGTCCGGCTGCATGGAATACAAGGACGCGAGCTAGGGCGAGGGGGGTCCTTCCCAGAATTATAGTATAATATTTTCCCAAAAAGACCCTATTCCAATTACTAGGGCCCCTATACCTTTAGGGTTTAGGGTTTGGTGTGGGGTTGGCGGCTTCTCTGACGTCCTCCGCCCCATGCTCGTTTAGTACATGCATGCATACTTAATTTACATAGATACGTACATACGTACCTGCATACAGATATGCCACTCCATTGCATTACAATCCCTTGTCACATTTCATGCAGTACACTACATACACGACATACATTACATACATTACCTGCACTACTTATACGTTACAGGTACATTGCACAGACATACATGCCGCCATACATGCATACGTACATGCATACACACACCTGCCTGTCATACTAGACATAACAAGCAACACAAGTACACGCTTATGTGCATACACGCACGCTCGTGCCTGTTCGGTGAGATTTGGTCGCCATTTCTGCAGGAGAATGACCTGTCAGTGGAGATGTCCAGCTGCGGGGGTTGCTCCTGTTGCTCTCGGAAGGCCGCTAACAGTCCGTAAGCGAGTTTCGTCTGTGCGTATGCTTCCCCTAAACCCTAAACCCTAAACCCTGACCTCTATAAACCCAAACCATCCCAAAGCCCTATATGCCATTCTCAGGCCCTTCATTGGGGCTACTGTTATAAGATTTTCTGTTGGACACACTGATGACATGTAAATTATTTATTTTGGCGTTCCGAGCTGTCCTGTTTGCCATTCCGTTTTGGCGTTCCAACTGCCATTTCATTTTTGCTGTTCGCCTTTTCTATTTCGTTTTGGCGTTCCAACTGCCATTTCCTGTTGCTGTTCGGCTTTTCCAGTCCTGCTTCGGTGTTCCAACTGCCATTTCCTTGTTGCTCTTCGGCTTTGCTATTCCAGCTTTGGTGTACCAACTGCCATTTCTTTGCTGCTGCTCGTCTTCAATATTCCTATTTATCGTTCTGCCGCTGTTCCTAGAAGCAGTCTGGATCTGTTTGTTTGAGTTTGTCATACCAACAAACAGGGCTGAATGGCGACACGTCTCTGTATTTGTGTAGTTCATGCTCTGTCTTCTTGTCTTTAGCATGGCCGCGCGGTCGAAATAGGAAGGGGGATGTGACGGGGGCGCCCAAAACAGCCACCACTCCCTAGCACCCCAAGCCCCACTACCGTCCTCCGTGCCCCCAAACCCCCGTTAGCCTGTCCAGGGCTTGGCTGCCATTCCGGTTGCCGTTCCGGGTTGGTCTGCCATTCCGGTTGCCATTCCCAGAGCCGTTTTGCGGGAATGGCAACCGGAGTGGTTCCGGAATGGCACCCGGAAGGGCTCCGGGAATGGCAATGCTTCGAGGATTTGCCATTCCCGGCCTGCCTGGTTTGCCATTCCCGGTTGCCGTTCCCGGCTCCGGGCCCCCCTTCGGCTGCCATTCCCGTTGCCGTTCCCGGCTCCGGCCCCCCTTCGGCTGCCATTCCCGGTTGCCGTGTCTGACCAGCGACCCCATGCAGAGCACGGTTGCAAAATGCGTCATGTTTATTGCCTGGGGGAGCAGACATCGTTGGTAAGGCCGAGCGTTGCAATTCCAATCTTAAGAGTAGCGGCTGAGTAGCGGCCGCGCCATGTATTGGGGAACAATTGGGCCCTATAGCCCTGTGCCACATATTTGTTTGGCTACTTCAATCAGCATAATGCCCCAAAAGCCTTGACTTGTGACAAGCACAAATCCAAGCATGACCTACACTACACGTGGATGGTAGGGGTAGTGTCTGGACTCGAAATTACGGAATAGCAAACAACACGACATGAGAATGCGACGCAGCAAACTGGATTGCCACACCAGATCACCGCAAAACAGAAGCTGGCAGGAGCGCCAACTCAGGAATGGCAAATCAGACAAACCACAAACGAGACGTTCCCAGGAACACCAAATCTGGAATGGCAAAACCCACCCTTGGGAATGGCAAAATAATTATTTAGCAAAATCCAGCCCTGCATGCCAAACAATCTTATAAGGCTACTGGGAGTTTGAGGTTTCAGGTATAGCCTAACTAGACAGACTGGCTATGGATCGGATGCCATGGGTCCGCGCCAGAAGACATATGCACAAGCCCTGACATGTTCTTGGAAAAGTCGGCATGATGTTCGTCAGGTTATTTTTTGTTGTGTAGTTTTTCCTTGACGGTTCCTGCACACGCATCGGCGCTGTCTGCTGGGTGCAGGGGCTTTGGGCTAGAACGCAGTGCCTACCTTTGAAGGCTTTTGCTTACACGAGGAACCCACAAAAACGGTGGGTTAAGCTTTAGGCTTAGACTGCCGAGGCACTTGGTACAGGATGGTGAAGGGGTCCCTTCTACATGTCACCCCTTGCTTTCCCAGGTTATGCCAGGAACAACAGCCGTTCATGTATGAATGTAGGAGAGTGTCGACCCTAAGACGTCGGGTTCGGATTTCATTTCCCAAGCTCACTGCTCGAACTTCCATAGAAATCGGTTTTCCCAAGCCGCAATTGCCAGGCAGTTTCTCACTCGGCCCATATCAGCGCAGTCAGCAGTGGAGCTCAGCTTCAACAAGGAGTAATGTTGCTCCGTCACAAAACCTGTAATGAATGGCTGTAGCCCCCACAAATGGCTATTCTAAGCGTAGTCAAAACCCTCCAGCTGGAAGATTATCGGATCCACAGATCTCACATAGGCATAGTCCATTGGCGAGCCCCTCGTTTCAACGATTGCCATTATCAGCCGCAGGTCAATTTCGTCGAGAGCGGACCTAATCGCACATGCTCCTCGGAAGCAGTGTCCGCGACACGATTCATATAGGTCATATAGGGTCTGGCTAATTCGTATAAAGATTCCGATAACCCAAATCTGTGTGGCATGCTTCACATACAGCTTAGCATACAATCGGAGTGATGATCTCCCCATACGGTAGCGCCGATAGACGTCTCTAGAACACAACACATATATTCTCACATACCGCGGCAGTCTAAATCGAAGTTACAGTGGCAGCAAGTCACCGATGCGGGCCTTGACAAGCAGCAGCGATTAGGGCAACTAGACTGCATGCAGTCAATGCGCCTGCAAATCGCTTGCCTTATTTCCGCTTCACGGCAACAGTCTTGTCGAATTCTTCCTAAACCCTAAAGGTATGATCAGCCTAGAGTCCGTACTTTCATGCAGAGGTTGTGTATGCAATGCTTGAGGCTTAGGTATGGTCAGGCGCTATACGTTAGAAGCTGCCCCCACCCTGTAATAGTGACTATAAGGATTATATTCGGGCCCTATTATATTCCTATTAATATACCACTATTACAGGGTGGGGGCCCCTTCTAAGCTATACGCTTTAGCATGCATGCCGAGAGCAATGTATTCCCTGTGCAAATTTATCAAAGTCCACCTCTTGGTGTATAAAGGGCTCGGGCATCATGTAACGGCATACTACGGAGTGGTTCCTATGGGATTTGCCCAATGACTCCTCAACCCCGAGCAGCAGTGAGGGTCATTTAGGGCTGAGTCTTTAGGGTTAGGAGTTCGAAAAGCACAGGGGAGGCGGGGTTCGAATGAACGTATTTCCCAGCTAAACTCTGTCCTACATCACCTCCAGCTCATTGTCTCAAAAACTCAGCCAGCACTCGTCGAAGCCGTATGCAGATCGTGGGTCCCTAGCCCTTTACTGGTGACTATAGTCTGTGTTGAACAGAGGATAGTGAACCATGAATCCATATCCCAGTGCCCACAGCCCAAACCTGAAGCTATAAGTCCGCAGCCATAGACCCTGTGTATCTCGTACGGCCGACTGGGAATTTCCGAGAACGCTACTGTTGTTGCCTCTTCCTTGGCTTGGGCTTTTCTGACTCTTTTCGAGGTTAAGCGCTCAAAATCCTAAGCCCCAAGATTTTGGGCGTTTGTGACTCCTAAGTAAGGCATAAGCCTAGCCCTAAACCATAAACCCCTAAACCCTCAAACCCTAAACCTCACAACCCTAAACCCTTGAACCCTTCAGCCCTCAACCGCTTTGTGACAAGGCTGCATCCTTTTCAACGACCTGCTTCTGAATTACACGGCGGCTTGCCATTAACTTGCTCAGCAACTTATTGATCAGCATTTTTTGCTGATACTGTATGTGTATATATATATATATATATATATATATGTATGTATAAAAGTGTATAGAAGCCTACTTCATGACTAATATTATTCCTTAGGTTTCTTTCTCATAACTGTAGTATAGCACATCCGGAAGCCCTATTCTAGTTTATAAGGCCCCTGTATTAGGCATTTGGGTCTTTGTAGGTTCTGGGCAGGGTTCCGGGCCCCATACTACAAGCGCCCGGCTGATCAGACCGAATCGCTACCCGGACCACCACCATGATGATGGTGATGGTGGTGTTGGTGCTGATGAATTACCACGGTTAACCCACAGCATCAGCAACGGCAGCACCAGCAACATCCAGATTCCAGACAGCGTCATCATCTCAGTACTGGTTGTATTTACAGCCAGCTCCAGCGCCATCGTAAAGTACTGCTCCGAGGCGCTTATAAGCCAGAAGATTGGAACATCATTCTCCTCATTCCCTTAGGGCGAAGTATAGGAAACCCCAGCACGAATCGTGCTCGATCCTTGTTCCAACTTTCTGGGGTTCACCATACGCTACGAAGCCCAGTGCAGTCTTTTCCTGTACTAGTTTAAGGGTTCCTCATTAGATTTATAGTATAGTTAATGGGCCCCAAAACCCTATTCTAATTATTAAGGCCCCTATGTTATCCGCTATAAAGCCCAGCGAAGTCCCCGTGGCGAGGTGACTCCAGACCTGGCTCGGTGCTCCCCAGAGCACGTTCATGTCCAAGGCAATGCTCTTCTCCGCTTCGCGGAGTAAACAATAAGATGACCATAACCATTATATGACAATCATAAGAAGAATAATAAGAACAGTTTGAAGAAGAACAGCAAAACATATACTAACAAGAATCATAAGAGGGAGGCTGGATTTCCAGCACCATCCCCTTATGAACTTATGGTTCTCCGTAGACCTGTTCTCATCACTGATGTAACACTTTACGCCTATAGCCTAAGAGCCATTCATCATTGTGGCTTGAGGTGGTTTGCTTGTGTGTCGGCTGTTCTGTTGTTTTGCAAGGAAGGTGGTGAGATAGGGTTAGAGAATGTCTGGGTAATGATAGACATGTTTTGAGGCCAACCAGCTGGGATCTTGTCTTTGGGGCTTATGGTTTCGGGTCAGGTTGGGAGTGCTTTTGCTGAGCATTCAAAGATACCTGCGCCAACCAGACTTCCTCCCAACAAAAACCCTAAACAACCTTTCGGGGTGGAAGGCTTTGGCTTGAGCAGTCTGGGGTTCAGGGTTTAGGTAGAGATAGCCTCCGAAGTCCATAGCTGTAAATCCCGAGACCCTTTTGTCAAGTCCCGAAACCCTTCATTAAGCCCTATGGTAGAAGCCAGAAAGTTGAAACATTAGTATCCTCATGCCCTTAAGGTTAAGGTATAAGGGATCCTAGCACTAAGCCTCCTCAACCCATGTTCCAACTTTCTGGGATTCACTGTAATTACACTACTGCCTCCGAGACCTCATCTAGGACCCAGAGTAGGCCCTTATTCCCTTTTTAAGGGTTTAGGTTCCCTTATAACACCCTTTAAACCAAAAAGGGCACCCTTTTTCTTCCTAGGTTACTCTTGGGTCTAGAAACCACTCGAACCTCCTGGGCCCTAAACCCTCCCAAGCCTTCAGCCGAAAAGGAGCCGAAACCCTTCAGCCCGCAGGCACCACAACTACCACAACTGCAGCGCTTCGCACCTGCATGCCGAAGTCGCCGACTTTGGAGGTTTCTAGCGCTTAAGCAATATAGGGCCCTACTGACGATCACGCTAGGATTTAAGGAGTAGGTCGGAGAGTGTACACTTAAAAGAGGACTGGGGAGGGGGGGAAGGATAGAACTGCCAGGATCCCCAAAGTATGTAGAATGATCGCCTTTGATGTTGGGCCATGGTTTGATCTACTTTTAAGGAGGTTCGAAATTTTTTGTTCCATGTTTACAAGTAGGCTTTAGGGGTTATAGCGCTTCACGGTTTAGCAGGGTTTGAGTTACAGTTTCGGGTTCAAGGGTTTAGGGTTCACGAGTCTAGGCGATTGAGGCAGAAGGACTTACTGGCGTCACGGCTAGAGCTTCAGGGTTGAAGAGTTTCGATTTTTGGCGGATTTAGGGCTCTATCGGCTGTGGAGCTGAAAGCCGACGGCAGGGCTTTAGCAGTTGAACAGGCCTAAGCAGCCAGCAAGGATGGGCTCGCGCGGCGGCCGTTCGGGACTCCTAATTTCGAAGCCTACTAAACCTGAAATCCTCAGTTCATCATCATCATCATTATCATCATCATCAGTGCTTTCTATGACGAACCAACGCAGGAGCATGATCATGATTATGGCGACTATGAGTAACCGTACGAGTACCATTCGGATGGCGGTTTGGACTATGAACATGGTCATGGGATTGAAGAAGACTATGTAATATGCAAAGATGGTATATGAATAGCATCATGAACATGACTATGACTATGACCGTAGATTAGATGGGCTTGAGATTGCGAGCATGGTTATGCCGATTATGCTTATGGCCATGTCTATGACTATGGTAAGAGCATGATCATGTGTTTGCTCGCAGTTTGATGACAGCTAAACTTCTGACACAGATTACGATGATACTGCCGCTATTTTCGCTATCATCATCACGACTCGAAGTGTTGTTGATAAACTCCGTCTAGCACCGTTACTATGAACTCTATTGTAGCTGCTCCTGTCTGAACAGAATCGGAGAGCTTTGGTCCACCAAACCCTAAAACATTAAGCCCTAAACCCTATAAACCCCTAAACCCCAAAAGCCCTGAACCCTAAACCGCTAAACCCTAAACCCCCAAAGCCCTAAAACTTGGTGAGGAGGCGCATCTTGCGGGAAGTACGTTGGCCTCGCCATTCTACCTGGGCAGCCAGGAGCTGCGGTGGCTCTAGGCTTGTCGGTTTAGGGGTTTAGGGGTTGGGGTTTAGGGGTTCAGGGTTTTATATAGGGGTTCCAGGAGTTTAGGGTTTAGTAGGGTTTAGGGGTTTGGGGTTTAGGGTTTATATAGGGGTTCCAGGGTTCGAGGTTTAGGGTTTAGGGATTCAGGGTTTATATAGGGGTTCCAGTGGTTTAGGGTTTAGTTGGGTTTAGGGGTTTGGGGTTTAGGGTTGTGGCTTTACTTCGGGGACCTCCCTAAAAACCTAAATGTTTAGGAGCTCATGGTTGGGATTTCCTTAGATGTTCCCTCAGGCCCTGAACGCTAAACCCCTGAACCGTTAACTTCCTAAACCCTAAAGCAGATTCGGAGGAGGATGCTGAGACGCTGCAGGACTCCTTGGAGACTTGTCGAAAAGGGATCTAGATGGATTTGGGGCCAGGGTTCAGGCCGTGGGCCGTAGAGTTTAGGGAATCCAATGCCGCTATGCTGTGCTATGCTATACTGTACATGCGGTACAAAAGATTGTACCAGACGACACAAAATTGCACTGGTTTTGAATCTGATGTAGTCGACTATGGTTGAGTTCAGTGCAACAAAATTAGCACATCATTCCGAAACAAAGTATGGCTTGTCAGAGATGTATCTTTTTGAGGTTCACTCCTCTGTGACATACGCTCGCAGGGGATCTTTGATGCTCTGCGGATCTTCATCAAGTCAAACTGTATCATAGTAAGGCACATGCAGTTACAGGACAAGTTAGTCAGATACAACGGAGCATCAGAAGTTAATCGCACTGCATATCAGAATCGAGCATAGCACGTAACAGCAGAATACCGCATGATACAGCACTGCATAGGTTTTGCTCAGGTCAAAAGAACAACATAACATAATGTTTCAGTACGTACCATATAAGGTAGCGCAGTATGATATACTATACCAGAACGGGCTAGAGCAGCACACGATGTGGCAATATGTGAGTTAACGCACCGTAGAAGAATATATCCTAATCTAGTATGTTTTGGTATAGAAACATGAACGATGTGACGAGAACATAGTGTACGTTGCAGTACAGCATAATAAAGTGCGGTACGCTATAGCATACTAAGGTATGGTAGAGTATAGTATAGTATTTTTTTAATGCATGGCGAAATATAATATATTCGAGTACAGAAAAGTAGGATGTGACAACACAATTAAATTGAATCTCGAATCATATGGTACCGTTTGCTTTGATAGGAGATGACGTGTGACGATATAGCACAACACATCATTATAACAATATGTTGTTGCAGTGTAGTAGACTATGAAATGATACCATGTAATCTAACGCAAGGTACTGTACTGCATTGTACTGCACTATGGGGTACAAAACTGTAATGCAAGCCAAGGTGATGTAATGTAAAGCAATGCAGTGTAACATATTCTAAACCCCTAAAATCTGAAATCCTGAGCCTATAAACCTAGCTTGACTTAGTAAGGTAATGTGGCGCTACATACTCCAAACCCTATAAGCCCTAAACAAAACCCTACGCCAAAACCTAACCGAACTCAGTGACATAAAACACATAAAACTTAAGCCTTAAGTCCTAGACCCCGTGCCTTCAAACCCAAACTCAAACCCTAAACCCCACACCCAAACCCTCGACAGTGAACCCCAAACCCTAAACTTTAAACCCCACCTAGACCCCCGAACTACCCTCTATTATACCCCAAACACCCACTATTGAGGACCATAAGGCCATTGAGGGTCTTGGTTCTACACCTGTAAACGGAAGCCTTTAACCCAAACTCAAACCCCAAACCCTAAACCCCAAACCCCAAACCCCAAGCCCAAAACCCAAACCCCAAATCCTAAACCCCAAACTCCAAGCCCAAATCCCAAACCCTAAACCCTGAATAAGGGCTCTACTAAAGGGCCATTGGGGGCTTAAATTCCCCAAACCCCAAATCCAGGCTTAAATTCCCCAAACTTCAAACCCAAAACCCAAAACCCAAACCCTGGGCCTAAACCCTGACCCCCCAAATCCCAAACCCTAAATCCTAAATCCCAAAATCCTAAACTCCAAACCCCAAACCCTAAATCCTAAAACCCAAATCCCAAACCCGCTGTTGAGGAACCATAAGGGCTCTATTAAAGGGTCATTGGGGCCAAACCCCAAACCCTATAAACCCTGAACCTCTATATCCCAAACCCCAAATTCCAAAACCCGAAAACCTAAACCCCTAAACCCTTATAAACCCTCATCCCTTACCCCAGACCCTAAGATCCTAAACCCTAAACCCTGAACCCCTATATCCCAAATCCCAAAACTCCAAACCCAGGCCTGGAGCCGTTCGCGTTTAGGCGCCTCCTGTCTCTGCGCTTGGTTTCTTGCTGTGGGGTTTAGGGATTTAGGGGTTTAGGATTTACGGGTTTAGTGTTTTTAGTGTTGAGGGTTTAGGATTTTAGGGGTTTAGGGTTTAGGATCTTAGGGTCTGCGGTAAGGGATTAGGGTTTATAAGGGTTTAAGGGTTTAGGTTTTCGGGTTAAGGGTTCTGAGGCTTCAAGATGTAGGGGCTTATAGGATTTAGTGTAGGGTTTATAGGGACTTGGGTTTCTAGGATTTAGTTTAGGTTGTATGGGATTAGGGTGTATATAGGATACTGGGGTTTAGAGGATTAGGGTCTATAGGAAGTAAAATGGGGCCATTTTGGCTTTAGGTTCAGGTTTGGAGCTTTCAGCAAGTTTGCGATTTGGGGCCTAGGGCTACAGCGGCTTACGTTGTGAAGACCCCTTATATCCAAATTTCGCGCTGTTTAGGATGTACCTATAGTCTCCATTGTAGTTCCTGTGTTGGGGTTGCCTTTTAGGAACCTTAATATATAATATGTTAAACCAAAACAAGGGAAGTACAATGGATACCATAGGTAGGCTCTCGCAACCCAGCAAGCCGAAAACCATGTGCCCAACCACTCAGAAAAAAGAACTTCAGGATTCTTGGAGAGTGGATCTGCGAGTTTCCGTAGTTAACCCCAGGGGTCCATGTACCCATATAGAGATACATGAGCCCCAAAGTACCTACATAGGGACTACATTAATGCCAATGTATATGCTACGTGAGTACATGGACCCTTAGGGTGAGTTTGAGAGCCTCCATAGGGCCGACCTTACACTTGCGTTAGTGCTCCTACACCCTGAACTCTGAACCCCCGAAACCCTCTAACCCCTAAAAGCCCGAAGCTCCAAATCCATAAAGACCCGAACAGCCCAAACCCCTAACCCCACCTGCGCCCGAACTCTGGGTTTCTGGGTTCTTCACTCGCTAGATGGGGGGGGGGGTACAAGTAGTGCCAAGATATTGTCTTTTAGACACTGAAACAGTTCACTGAAGCAAGAGATTAGAAACCGATTTGGACTGAGTTCCTGAAGCGCCGAAGTTTGCGCAGGCTCTGAACATGTCAGGGGGTCTGACCATTGGCAATCATATTCCCTTATAGTCCCTATGGCTTTTCTAAGACTTAGATGCCAGACGTAATTAGTGTAAAAAGTCAATCCGGTCCCTAAGATTGACCCGAATCCACAAACTCTAACGCGTAAAACATCGTAAAACCATCCCAATTCAAACAAAGAAAAGAAGGGGCGTACATCCGATGGCAGGCGAAGCAGAAGCCAACTTTGCTGCCACTGGCTTCGTGCCGCGGCTTAGGGGTTTGGGGAGCAGGGGTGTTGCATGTACGCCTGCAACCATCAAACCTCAATGAAAACGACATGGCACAGGCATAAACCCTAAACCCCCTAAACTTTAAACCCCTCGGTCGATTCTGTTCGCACCGGGCTTGCTGTACGTGAAGTTCCGGGCTCAGCCATCAAGCCCCAATCCGAGTTGGGGTTTCAGGCTTTGGGTTTAGGGGTTTAGGGGTTTAGGGTTTAGGGTTTAGGGGTTTAGGGTTCAGGGGTTTAGGGGTTTAGGGTTTAGGTGTAGGGGTTTAGGGAGGAGGGCATGGTCTTGCAGTTGGTCGAGATTTCCCGGTTTGTGCTGTGGAGGTTTGCTTCTGATCTGTCCACCCTAAGGCTCCTAAGAGGGACTTGGGCTTTCTGGGGGAGGGTTTTGGCTTTGGGGGCTAGGGTCCGGGATCTCACTACAAGGGTCCAGGAGCCTTAAGGCAGTACCTATTGTAGTTTCCTTTTTTGGCTTATTAACCGATTTTTAGACTCAGGATCCCCGAAGGTAACCCCAAAAAGAAACTACAGTGGAGACTCTAGGTACTCCCCAAAGACGGCTCGGTTGACATCCAGAAGACCTCGACAAGCGAAGGTCCCCCTGACTTCCCAGACTCAGAAACATGCCCCTTCGATTGCCTGTTTGCAAACCCGAACCGCATCTCATGAACGGGCCGGTTTTGTGAAGTTCTGGAAAAACCTGAGGGTGCATTTATTTACGTAGTAGAAAGCTTCTCTATAAATTCTAACTCGGAAATACCTAAGTAGGAAAGCCACTAAGGCCATAACCCCCCTCTCGCGCTCGCACTGGCTATATTCTACATAGCATCTTCTTGCTTCCATTAGCGGGAACACCCACACCTTTACGTAGGTGTAGGTGTGTGTGTGTGTGTGTGATGGATGCCCGATGCTGTATAACTCCAGAAGGAGGAAGCTCGCTAGCAAGTGCTTAGTTCCTGTCGGTTATTGAAAAAAGTACTACTCCCTCAACTAAACCCTGAACTGCCCTCAAACACAAGCACTATACTGAAGTGCCCTAAACCCCACAGTATCACCAATGCAGGAAGTAGACCCGGGGGGATATCTTTTTTGCAGCAAAAAGCTTAAACACCTACAACGGAGTAGTTTCTAGAAAAAGAAACCCATGACTGATGTGGCATTCTGTGGCATGAAACCTATGCAACTCCAGCGGCTGTCAACCCCCAAGGGTCCATGTAGCCAAGTAGTATGTACTCTCGGCCCAATGTACCTAAATCTTAAACCCTAAACTCTAAACCCTAAACCCCTAAACCCTAAACCAATATAGGGAGTTCTTTAACGCCAATGTATATACTATTTAGGTACATGGACCCTTAGGGAAAGAGCACAAGCACTGGCGATCTTCACGTTGATGCAGCCCCTGCACCAAAACCCCCAGCCCCTGCACACTCGACTATTATTCAGAATACTTGAAGGCTCATGGGACTTAGTAAGTAAGGTTACAAGTAGGTCATAATTAGGATAACCCCACTTGGGGGACTTATAACCCCAATTATAACCTACTTACTAAGTCCCATGATCCTGTAAGTGGCATGATTCTTGCCAGTGTCGAAGGATCGGGCCCCGTCTTCTGCGGCCTGGGAGGAGGAGGCAGTTGGCGTAGCGATAGACACGTGGATGTCGGATGTTTTAGGGTTTGGGTATTGGGAATCGCTAGTCCTGAACCTCAACGCCGGAAAACCTGATTTTCGTAGCCTGAGGTGCCAGACTTGAGTTCTTGGGCATGCTCTGGTGGGAAAGGGTACGAGTCATGGCTCAGAGGCGTGAACCGATATATGGGGTCCTTAATAACTAGAATAGGGTTTTTGGGCTCCTTCTTTTAATTACAGTAATTTTTCAGGCCCCTATATTATAGGACATTATAGGGCTTCAGGTGTGGGCAGCATGACCTTCTCGCCATGTCGGAACTCGTCAGCGGCCTGCCAGAGCGTCACATGCCAATCTGGCATGTCTTCGCTCTCCTCAGCTGCGCTGCCGCCTATCACCCTGACGACCACAGCTGCAGCTGGGGTAGCCAGCAGGTGGCTAGTTCTCCAAAATTGGGGCCCCTGTTTCGGTCCTTAAAGTAGTACGGCACCCGTATTCAAAAAAGACCCTTACTAATTCAAGGGGACCCTAATCTAGAGAACTACCCATATATATATATATATATATATATAGAAACTCTAACAGAAAGCCTTATAGATCCCTTTACGGAGCCCTGCAAGGGACCCTGATTTAGAGAACGACCCAGGTGCTTTGGCAGCGCCTGCGGCACAAGGCCGATGATGTCTTGGCAGGCGGGAACAACCCTGAACCCTATTTAGGGTTTAGGGTTTAGGGTTTAAACCCCAAAACACTAGTCCCCAAACCCTGGACTCGCATGCTTGCAAGCGGAGAAAGGCCACTGCATCTTAAAAAAAAACAAAATCCTAAACCCCTGAACCCTAAACCTCAAAACCCTAAATCCTAAATCCCAAAACCCAAAGCCCCCACCCATGGGGGTTTCCGAAAATTAGGCGTACCTTATTTTGGGAGCCTTGTATTAACGAACCTACTTTTTAGGGTGCTATATGAGGGTCCCCTATTTTCGGAAACGAGGGTCGGGGGACTTAGTAAGTAGGTAGTAAGTAGACTTATAAGTACCCTAAAAGGGACCCCAATTGGGCTTATGGTATTCATAAGTCCCTAAAATAACAGTTACCAAGTCCCCTAAACCCTAAACCCGTTCTGGAGAAAGGGTGCGTCACCATAGGTTAAAAAAAAACCCTAAACCCTTAATCCCTATAGATCCATTTAAAGGCGCTTTCAGGAACCCCCTTATGGTCACTAAGTCCCCCGACCCTCCAAGCATATTTCGGCAGGGGCGAGCCTGTGGGCTGAAACGCCCAGCTGGGCAAAGGAACTTGGCAGCGAAGACAGCTTCCTGAGCTGCTAGGCGGTTCAGGGTTTCAGGGTTTAAGATTTGGGGTTTTGGGGTTCAGGGTTTAAGATTCAGGGTTTTGGGGTTCAGGGCTTCAGAGTTTAAGATTCATGGTTTCAGGGTTTAGGGTTCAGGGTTTCAGGGTTTAAGATTCAGGGTTTTGGGGTTCAGGGCTTCAGGGTTTCAGGGTTTAGGGTTCAGGGTTTTAGCGTTTTAGGGTTCAGGGTTTTAGTGTTTTAGGGTTCAGGGTTTTAGGGTTCAAGGTTTTAGGGTTTGGGGTTTATGGTTTCAGAGTTTTAGGGCTTTAGGGTTTTAGGGTTTTGGGTTTAGAAGATCTCATTTTAGTTTAAAGTTGCCGCCATAACAGGGATCTGCAGTAAACTTTATGGTAACTTAAGTTTACGAAATCCCTTTAAAGTTACCATATCATAACAGGTATCTGCAGTAAATGCTCTAGGGCTCCCACACGTTATGGTAACTTAAGTTTATTAGCTCCTGAATATTATAGGATCCTTAAGGGAGGGTGGTTCAAGGGGGAGGGTACAAGGAATCCTTAAGGGACTGTAAGGGAACCTTAGGGAGTACTAGGGAGAATTAGGGATCACTAGGCTAGATACCCCCGTTGGACCCCCCTCCCTTAAGGATACTACAATGAATAACAAGAACCCAGGTTGTCCCTTCGGCGTGCATGTGCTCGGGCTCATGCAATACGACGCATTGGGCCCCGTGGCAGCCAAAAAGCTGGACTACGACCGCGCCCTAACTCTCGGCATCGGGCTTTACAACATGGTGACTGGGCTTTGGAGTAGTTTTATGGATTTCTCAAAGGAGCCCTTTATAGATCCCTTATAGATCCTTACTATGGTGACTGGGCTTTACCCTTATAGATGTCTCAAAGGAGCCCTTATAGATCCTTATTTTGGTAGCTTACAAGAAGAGCCCAGGCTTCATTCAGCACACTTTTCTATTTTTTTTCCTTAGAGGAACCATCATGAAATACAAGTATACACTTTTTCTTTAAAGGAACCATTATGAAGTAGAATAGTATATACTTTTTTCTCCCTGGTTACTTAAAAGCCCAGGTGACCTTCTTGAACTTTTTGCTCACTGGCTGGCCATCCTTTGGATTCTGGGCTCTTGTTAAGGAACTTGTTTTAAGTATAATAGGGGTCTATAGCAAATAACAACAGGGTTTCCTTATTACGGGAACTTGTTTGAAGTTAGCATAGTAGGGACCTATAGTCAACAATATGGTTTCCTTATTTCGGTAACTTAACTTCCTATCCCCTTAGAGGAAGCCTTTTAGACTACTTACAGGAGCCCTTATGGATCCTTATTATGGTATCTTAAACAAGGGCCCAGGCTTCATTCATCGGCTTTGTCTGAAACGCTTCGGAATGGCCAAAGAGCAGAGCTGCTCAGCGACTGCCCCTGGCTTTCGACCGGCGGAAGTCGTGGCATCGGCGCGTAAGCGGATGGAGGAGAATTTCGCCAACTCGTCCTTGAAAGTTGGCGCCGCCGAGGCATTGTACGAGCTGGACAGGCAGCTGGAGGTGGGGGTTGATAGGCCCTCTTGGGGTATGTAGTATCGTACACTCCTTTTAGTTTAGGGGACCAAAAGAGGCCCATAATTTTGATCAACCCCCAGGTAGTGAAGACCATGTGGCTACAGCTTTGGCAAGCGGCGGACAAGTCGATCGCTGTGTCTAGGTGGTTCGGAATGGACCTCGAGCGTCCATGCTGCCGCATGTGGGAGGAACTGGCCTGGACACAGGAATTTCTCCGCTCCAACTTCGAGCTGCCGTGTCGAAGTGCACATCGTCGACTGGACGGTGCAACTTGCCCTGCCTGCCGCCTGATGGCGCAAGCATTCTGGTACCTTTGTCATAGTTGGGTAACAATCTGCAGATTTTTACGGGCAGTTATATAATCCCAAGAAGGACCAGAATTTTGGAAGTTTTAAACGCCATCCCAACCATGGCTCTAGCTTGGTTGCTGCCTCCACTCAGCCACAGATGAATAGACTTTACTATAATATAGTTATATTAGGCTCGTAATAGTAGCCCTATTGTAGACTGTTACTGTATGGGGGCTGTACTTGGAGGTTCAAGGGTAGTTATAAGTGGGGTTATAAGTCCCCGAATATAGGTTATAAGTATAGTTACCCTACTTATAACTACCCATGAACCTCCAAGTACCCGACTGCAGGTTCATGTACCTGAATAGTATATACATTGGCTTGAAAGTACTCCCTGTATGGGTACATTGGGCCCGAAGTATATACTATTTGGGTGCATGGACCCTTATACCCTAAACCCTTATGGATCCCTTATAGATCCCTTTAAAGGAAGCCTTCAAGAAGCCTAGTATTTGGGTACATGGACCCTTAGGGTACCAAGTACCCAAGCTTCGAGCCCCTTTAAAGGAATCCTTAAAGGAACCCCTTAAAGGAACCCGTATTTGGGTACATGGACCCTTAGGGCAAGCTCTAGGTTCGAGGATCGCAAGGTGGCGGATCGAGCCTGGAAGGCCGCGCTGGAATTGCCGAGCTTGGAGTCGGCTGCAGCAAATGACCCTTCGGAGTCTGGGTTCTTCTTAGGGGTAAATAGAAATATCTTTTAATTTTGGGTTATTATAATCTCGAAACAACAGCTAAAATTATGATTTGTGCTAGGATTCTAAGTTCAGTATAGTCTTGTGAAGGAGTTAAATTCAGTTACCGTTCCTGTAGGGAATCTATAAGGGTTTAGGGGTTAAGGAAGCTCATTTAAGTTACCATAGTAGGGATCTATAGTAAATATCAGGGTTCTTGTTAAGGAAGTTAATGACTGAAGTTACCAGAACAGGGATATAAATAAGTAAATAGTACGGCTTACTTACTATGAGAACTTATTTCAATTCCATTAAAGAAGAACCCAGGAGTCTGAGTGCGTGAAGTACTCCGAAGAGTCGGGTTCTTTTGCCATCGCAACTGTTCTCACCTCGGAGGACCTTTTCCGAAGCATCCACCATCCTTTAGAGAAGCTTTGTCATAATTGAGCAACATTTTGCATGATTATGGACACTTAAACCCCTTCAGGAACAGACATGTCAGTTGTTAATAAGACCCCAACCATGAACCAGGAAGCCTGGCCACTCCAGTGACGATGAGGAAGAAGATGCTGACGCCACGGCCGTCGTCCTAGTCTACGTCGACGCCTTGCGAACTTTGGCCCACTCCATCAGGAGTTCTTCCCGCGGATTGGGGGGGCGTTGCGAGATGCCAGTGAGGCCCTTCTTGGTGGTACTTTCACTCCGTGCCGGGGAATCCCTTCCAAGAGACTGGGTTCTTGTTAAGATAAGTCACCCTTACAGTAAGGAGCAATAATATTATATTGAGTATAGATCCCTATGTTATGGTAACTTAAGATACGTGGAGGCCCTGTAGATCCCTGGTAACTTATTGTATACATGAACCCTTACTTACTGGAACCCCTATAGATCCCTTAAAGGAACCATAAATTATGGTAACTTATAATATAACCCTAAACCCTAAAACCCTAAACCCCTAAACCCTAAACCCTAAACCCGAAACCCTCAGCCCAGGAGAGGCCGAGGAAGCTTTGCAGGCTCTCGAAGACGGGGGCCTCCTCAGACGTTTCCTTGGCTCTCGTTACCCTAAGGGTCCATGTGCTCATAGGATGCCCAGTAGTACCCTTATTCCCTTTTTGTAGTACTAGGTTCCTTATAAAGTTACCCAATACCAAAAAGAGAGGCCTTTTTATTCTTAGGTTACTGGGTATCCTAGACTCATATAGTGGTTCCTTTAAGGGTTCCTTTAAGGGTACCATCAGGGTTTAGGGTTTAGGGTGTAAGGGGTCCATGTACTCACATAGTGGTTCCTTTTAGGAATCCTTTAAGCGTACAATCAGGGTTTAGGGTTTAGGGTGTAAGGGGTCCATGGACTCATATAGTATATACATTGGCCTTGATGTCGTCCCTATGTAGGTACTTTGGGGCTCATGTATCTCTATATGGGTACATGGACCCTTGGGGTTAAGGAGATTGCATTGATTTAACTTCAGGGTTCCTCTAAAGGGGTCTCTAAGGGTTACTGTAAGGGATTTAATCCTGGGTTCTTATGTAGGGATGTAAGGGATTTTATCTATGAGCTCTTCTTTAACGTGCCTTGGTCAGAATCTATAAGGGCTCCTTTCAGGGATCTATAGGGGTTCCTTGAAGGTTTCGGAATTTTAAGCTACCACAATAAGGAAAAGCATGTTGTTTACTGTAGCTCCCTACTGTGGTAACTGAAGCTATATTCCATAGCCCTAATCCCCAAACCCAAATCCCTAAACCTTAAACCCTAAACCTTAAACCCTAAACCTTAGACCTTACTGTAAACCTTAGACCTTAAACCCTACACCCCACATTCCTTAAGAAGAACCCAGGTTTGTACCTGGAGCCGCCGCCAGCGCATCTATGGCCGAGGGCCTGGGGAAAGCTGCAGCTTTGCAGGCCGAAGTGTTTAGGATTTAGGGTTGAGGGTTGAGGGCTTTTAGGATTTTAGAGGTTTAGGGTTTGGGGGTTTGGGGTTTAGGGTCAAGGGTCCGGGAATCAGGTTAAGAGGTCTGGGGTTTAGGGTTTAGGGTCAAGAGGATTTGGGGTTTAGGTTTAAGGTGGAGGGTTGAGGGCGTTCAGGGTGTTAGAGGCTTAGGATTTCGGGGTTCGGGTGTAGGTTTTATAGGATTCGTAGGGTTGAGGGTTTTATAGGATTTAGGGTTCTAGGATTTAGGGTTTAGGATTTCGGGGTTTAGGGTTTACGGTAGGGTTCTGGAGGCCGAGGGGCTATGAGCTGGTCCTCTACTTGGATGCTTAGTAGCAGAGTGGATACACTTTTACACTTTTCGGGATAATATTACGCACTGTAAAACTGAGAGTGTAGACATTTTGGGGGCCTTTTTGGGATAACATTACCCACTATAACACTGAGAGTGTACACTTTTTAGGGGCTTATAAACTCAGCAACTAAGGATGCCGACACGCTGGTGTTGGATACCCTGGAGCCGCTCTTTCGGGCCTTTCAAGCTGCTGGCAACTGGGCTCTTCTTTACGGGTGTAACTTTAAGTTACTAGAATCAGGATCTATAACGGCTCCTTCAAGGGATCTACAAGGGTTCTCTAAGAGTTTCAGAATCTAATATAAGTTACCAAAATAAGAAAGAACCACATTATGTGCTATAGATCCCTAGTATGTCCTTCACAAGAACCCGAGGTCCGAGCCTGAGCATGGCGGCGGCGCTGACGAAGTCCATGATGGCCTTCAACGCTGGAGTGATGCTTCTCAGGCCACTAGGATGCCCGGTAGTACCCTTATTCCCTTTTTGTAGTCCTAGGTTCCTTATAAAGTTACCCAATACCAAAAAGAGAGGCCTTTTTATTCTTAGGTTAGTGGGTATCCGAGGCCATCTTTCAGCGTCTTCGAGGCCCTGCGTGCATCCTTGGAGGAGCTGAAGCACTGGAAGGGCCTCTCTCGCTGGACCGGGATGCCCTGGTGGAAGCTTAGGGGTACTTAGAAATAATTTTTATTTTTTGTTATTCTAATCCCTAATTTTTATTTTTTGGTTATTATAATCCCTAATTTTTAATTTTTGGTTATTATAATCCCGAAGAAACAGCTAAAATTATAACTTTTGCTAGGGTTCTAAGTTCAGTATAGGAAGGAGCAGCCCGAGAAGAACGGCACAGAGTTTGGCTCCTACGGCGACCAAGATCATCTGAACGAGTGGGTCGCCACACACTTCACTTTTCATGGGGAGCTGGTGGTGGATGCCGAGGCACTCCGTGCCACCTCTGATGCTGGTCCATGCCAGCCGCATGTCTGGCATGAGCGCTACAAAGCCACCCTTGCGGAGGGGGCCCAAGTCCGAAGAGAGGAAGGAGTTTCCGAAAATAGGGGACCCCAATATAGTACCCTAAATAGTAGGATCCTTATTATAAGGACCCCAAAATTGGGCACCCCAATTTTCGGAAGCTCTAGACCCTAATCCCTTGATAGAACTGAAATGGATCCCTTTAAAGGAACCCTTGAAGGATCCCTTTTTAAGGAACCCGTAAAGGATCCCTTTAAAGGTACCCCTAAGTTTCGGAAATCCCTAGGTTGGTCGGTTCTGCAGCCTCCCGATGTCCTTCAACTTCTGTGCCACGGCAAGTTGCCTGGTGCAGCTGGCACGTGGCTAGGATGCCCAGTCGTACAGGGCCTCCTTTAAAGGGGATCTATAAGGGCTCCTTTAAGGGCTCCTATAAGGGATGTATAGGGTGTAGGGTTTAGGGTTCAATAGTACCCTCATTCTCTTTTTGTAGTCTTGGGTGTTCCTTATGAAGTTACCCAATACCAAGAAGGGAGCCCTTGTATTATTCCTAGGTTACTGGGCATCCTAAACCCTAAGCCCTAAACCCCTATATTTTTGTAGTCTTAAATTACCCAATACCAAAAAGGGAGCCCTTTTTATTCCATCCTAGGTGGAGATCACCATCTCGCTCAACTGGCCTGGAGATCCTTTGGTCGGGGAGCGGGGCCCTTCTTGGGCGTGAAGATTCTGGGTGGTCCTTTGGGATCTTTTTTTCATTTCCCCCTACTATCTTGTAGAGAACGATAATCGTAAACCCTAGACCCTAAGCCCTAAACCCCTACCTGTAGCTCAAAAGACCTACCTTTTAAGGAATTATATATAGAAACCATAGTAAGGAACCCTAAAAAGGTAGGTCTTTCCGGCTACAGGTAAAGCCTAAACCCTAAACCCTAAACCCTACCCCTAATCCTTAAACCCTAAACCCTAAGCCCTAAGCCCTAAACCCTAAACCCTAAACCCTAAACCCTAAGCCCTAAACCCCTAAACCCCTAAAGCCTAAGCCCTAAGCCCTAAACCCCTAAACCCCTAAAGCCTAAGCCCTAAGCCCTAAGCCCCTAAACCCCTAAAGCCTAAAGCCTAAACCCAGGATTCTGCACTGGCCTGGCTCCCTTTTGAAGCCTTGGCAGCGCTGCATCGACGACGCCCGCTCAACGCTGGATCCTTAGGGATATACTTATACATATTTTGGAATTTTTGGATCCGATAATCCTTGAGAAGCAGCTAAAGGATAAATTTTTGCTAGGGGGTCTAAGTTCAGTACAGGATCGTCTGTGGTGGTCCCACTACTACGCTGCTTGTGCGGAAGCCCCTCTTCGCGCGCCATGCCGGATCCGCTGTCGCGAGGAGGCTTAATTGTAATCGTCCTCAGATGGCTGGGAGCACTCTGGCATCATGGCCAGACGACCTGACTGAGATCCTGCCTGATGTTTTTCGTCCGGCTATCTCCAGCGTTTGGAGGCTACCCCCCCATTCCAGTTCCGCGAAGCTGAACAGAATTATGATGGCAGTCTGGCATATCATGGCCAGTTTTTCGTCCAGCTATCTCCAGCGCTTGGAGGCTGGAGGCTACCCCCCCTCCAGTTCTGCGAAGCCGAACAGAACTGTGATCGTCCCCTTAGATGGCTGGGAGCACTCTGACATCATGGCCAGACGACATGATTGAGGTCTTGCCTAATTTTTTTCGCCCGGCTATTTCCAGCGTTTGGAGGCTACCTCCCCCCCCCCCTCCAGTTCTGCGCAGCCGAACAGAACTATGATCGTCCCCTTTGCTGGCTGGGAGCACTCTGACATCATGGCCAGACGACATGATTGAGGTCTTGCCTAATTTTTTTCGCCCGGCTATTTCCAGCGTTTGAAGGCTACCGCCCCCCCTCCAGTTCTGCGAAGCCGAACAGAACTATGATCGTCCCCTTAGATGGCTGGGAGCACTCTGACATCATGGCCAGACGACATGATTGAGGTCTTGCCTGATGTTTTTCGGCCGGCTATTTCCAGCTTTTGGAGGCAGAACTATGATCGTCCCCCCTAGTGGGAGCACTCTGGCATCATGGCCTGACGACATGATTGAGGTCTTGCCTGATGTTTTTCGGCCGGCTATCTCCAGCATTTGGAGACTACCACCGTCCAGCTCTGCGAAGCCGAACAGACCCTCCAGCGACCCAGTTCCTTGCGAAGTGCAGCCAAGATACTGAACAGGGTAGAGCTCACAGTGTGTGGCACGTGCTCGAATGAGATATCCCAAACCCTTGTAAAAGCCTTCTAGTACCTTACTGATATAACCCCCCTTTTCAGGACCCTTTAGTGCCCCTGGACGTTACGGCTTTCGGTTCTCAGCGTCACCCTCGCGAGATCTTCTACAGCATTCTCGTCGACCGCTTTGCAAACGGCGACATCAGCAACGACCAGAGCCTCTTGGCAGGGCAGAGCAGGAGTTAAGGATTCATCATTATGCTTAGTAGCTGAGTGGATACACTTTACACTTTTGGGATAATATCACCCATCATAAAGCTAAAAGTGTACACTTTTGGGGGCTTATGAACTCAGCAACTAAGTCAGGGTCTCGGGTTCAGGATTTATTTTACCTTGGGGGCTCCTGTTACCTAAATAGTAGGTTACTGCCCATATAGTATGTGCTCCAGTAACCTACTTGAAGGCTCATGGGACTTAGTAAGTAAGGTTATAAGTAGGTTATAATTAGGATAACCACACTTAGAGGACTTATAACCCCAGTTATAACCTACTTACTAAGTCCCATGATCCTCTAAGTACTCTTTAGGCAACTGGCGCCCTTGGGGTGAGCTTTCTCGATTGAAGGTCTGGGTTTTAAGATTCATTTTAAGCCTGAGGGTTCATAAGGGTTCAGTTTCCCTCCCCAAATACCCACTATTAAGGATCATAAGGACTCCATTAAAGGGCCTTTGGAGGGTTAAATTCCCCAAACCCGAAACCCAAACTCCAAGCCCCAAACCCCAAACCCAAACCCTAAACCCTGAACGCCAAACCCTAAACCTGAAACCCTGAACCCCTAAACCCCAAACTCCAAACCCCAAACCCCAAACCCAAACCCTAAAGACTGTTCCCCTAAACCCCAAACCCCAAACTCAAACCCTAAACCCTGAACCCCTAAACCCCAAACCCCAAACCCAAACCCTTAACCCCGAAGCCCTAAACCCCAAACTCCAAAACCCCAAACTCCCGACCCAAATCCTAAACCCCAAACTCCAAAACCCCAAACTCCCGACTCAAAACCCTAAACCCCAAACTCCAAAACCCCAAAACTCCCGACCCAAACCCTAAACCCCAAACTCCAAAACCCCAAACTCCCGACTCAAAACCCTAAACCCCAAACTCCAAAACCCCAAAACTCCCGACCCAAACCCTAAACCCCAAACTCCAAAACCCCAAACTCCCGACTCAAAACCCTAAACCCCAAACTCCAAAACCCCAAAACTCCCGACCCAAACCCTAAACCCCAAACTCCAAAACCCCAAAACTCCCGACCCAAACCCTAAACCCCAAACTCCAAAACCCCAAACCCCCGACTCAAAACCCTAAACCCCAAACTCCAAAACCCCAAAACTCCCGACCCAAACCCTAAACCCCAAACTCCAAAACCCCAAACCCCAAGCCCAAACCCTTAACCCCGAACCCCTAAACCCCAAACTCCAGAACCCCAAATTGGGGTGTTTAGGGTTGCCAGCTCCAGCTGACCGCCGCAAGCCTTGAACTAACGTAGAAACTTCGGGTTTCGGATAAATAAACCCGGGGCCTTTGTTGGGGTTCCTTTAGGGTTTAGGGGTTCAGGGTTTAGGGTTTAGGGAAAGGGGTCTATAAGTCTACAAGGGTTACTATAAAGGATCTACAAGGGTACTATAATCGGTAGGAAATTGATTTAGAAACCCTGGGCCTATAACCCCCAAATAGTCGGATTCATATAAGGAACTCGAATACAGGCCCAAGGTTCCGGCATCAAGTTCCTACATAAATCAGCCTACATGCACTCCTATCTTCAAACTCCAGCCGTACACCCAACGCCTCCGAAAATGCGTGTTTGGGGACGGAGCCCTGAACCCTATAAGCCTTACAGGGCCTTACAGGGGTGGTTGTCAAAATGATGGTCCCTTTTTGGGTCCCTGATATAATACGGCACCTACTGTTTAAGGGTACCCAAAAAGGGACCTTTATCTTGACAACTACCCATATGTTTAATGCCAGCCAACGAGCCGGTTGTTTGGGCCTAACAGCCTGAAACTATCAGTCCTGTGCCCAGTAAGTCCCAAGCCGTACATAATCCTGAATAACTAAATCTGAAACCTGACAAACATGAACAAACCAACCAAACCCTAAACTCTATGCACTCAAGACCCTCTGAGGCAACATCCCGGACTTCCAGCGTGACGAGCTGAAGAAGGGAGAGCCATGGTTGGGTCCCCAGAATTTGGGTGTTAATAATTATAGGGTTCGTTTTTCTGAACCTTACATTTCGGGACGTAAACCCTAAATCGCAAACCTGAATTGTTGAGGTAGGGCTGTAGGGCTTCAGGTTTAAGGGGGGGTCCCCAGATATTTAGGTCCTTCCTTCTTCGGCTTTGCAGAGCCGAGCAGGGTGGTATGCTGCATTAGGATGTCCGTTTGAGGGTTTAGCTGGCGAGTTATCTAGAAACAGAGTACCGCTCTGTCTTGACAGGACCCGAGCTGTCTTTCTGAACAGCGCTCCAGCGCGAAATTTAGGGACTTGAGTTGTTCGCTGGGTTTGGTGTCATGAAGGTTTTGAGTATTCTACGTTTTGTTCCCTAAACTTTAAACCCTAAACTCTAAACCCTAAACCCTATCCGTACCCAAAGCCTTCAACCCTATGATTTAGGGTGGATGTTGCCATTGGGTCTGTTTTTTGGCGTTGGTAGGGGTGTGTAGGCTCACTGTATGTCATGAAGTTTACCTTCAGTTAGTAAAAAATGAAAATGGGGTACAAATAAACTACTATTACTACCATTCTTCCAAAGGTAAGGAAGTCTAGCAACCCTAAGCCCTAAACTGCAAGAGAAGATCCGATTGAGGTCGTTAGCTCGTTGGCGCCACGGCGGAGACTTCCACGGCATTCAGGCACGCCTGGGCACCTTGGCAGAAGCCGCAAGGGTCCAAAGGACCCCCATAATTAGGTACTCGGTTTTAGGATAGTAGTTATGTAGGTTAGGATTTTGGAGAGTATATGATTATTAGGTACTTGGACCCTTGGGGAAAGTGTCGATATATGGTTGTTTTAGGGCCGAGGCCCTCTACAGTGTCTGCAGGCTATCTGGGGGTTTTTAGCTTCATAGTAAGGATCCTAGCTATGGAACGTTATGAGTGCATGGGTAGGGTCTTATGCCCCCCAAAACGTTCTGATGATACCCCCAACCCTAAGGCTAACTTCCTTAACCTGTAAACCCTATTGTATGGTGAACCCCAGAAAATTAGAACATGGGTTTAGGATCCCTAAACCCTAAACCCTAAACCCTAAACCGTAAATCGTTTGGTGTGATCCGCTTCGTTGAGCGCAACGGGGAGAATTTCGCAATGATGAAGGAAAGAATGTGGGGTGTCATCAAGTTCATTGCTGCTCTCAAACACAAGTGGCCAAGCTCGGGAAATGATGCAAAACCTGCTTGGGCGTCCTTCTTGAAAACCAAGGGGGCGAGATTGCGCACATCTCACGCATCCATGTTGAGGAGGGTGACGATGCAACTTGCTGGTGAAACCAAGGACGCCAATGGAGCACCGTGTCATCCTGCCTGTGTATTGGCGGAGAACTTTGACGTGGACTGGAGTGCGGGTACTACCTGGTTCTCCACGGCTAAGCTGGGGAGTGCAACACACCGACAACCGCGGGGCGACAATGTCAAGCTCATGCACTCTGGTTGGGTCGACGTGGGAGCTATTGGACAAGCTTCTGGTGCTGCGATTGCGGACGTGATCATGGCACTTGAGCGTGAGTTGCAATGAGACAAGGGCGACAGTTTCACCAAGGAGACGTCTGCCTTAGGCAAACGTCCTGCTCTGTGTGCAAGACGCGGGCGAAATGAGAATTCGAACATCAAAGTGATCTCGTGGAATCTTGGGGGACAAAGTGCGGACAAAGCGAAAACCGCTTCACCTGATGCTGATGTCCTCTGCCTTCAAGAAGTACAAAGGGGTGAAGTGGGTTGGAAAGAAGACGACGACGGTGACAAAGGAGACTTCCACTGGGTTTTCCATCAGGATCGTCAACAGTGGAGAGGTACTGGCATTGGCATATCACACGCCATCCTTGACTCAGTGATTGACAAACGCTGTAATCGCAGAGGTATGTCGCTACTTGCAAAGATTCGCGGAGTTGGTCGTGTAGTCTTCTGTTCTTTTCATGCACCCACTGGTGTCACATGCAATGAGTACATCAGGGCGTGCAGGGAGATCAAAAAGCTCACAGAAGGCAAGTGGATGCAATATCCTTGTATCTTCGGGGTGGACATCAATGAGGAGATCAAATGGCAACACAATGAAGCTGACATTGTTCCGGAGGTAGGGAATTCGAACTTTCAGGAGTTTGTGGACAATATGTCAGCCTTGCGATTTCGTTGTGTACCTCCAGTGCAATCTCAACTTGCTGACCCTACACACTTCCCCCGTGATGAGACCAGATGTGGGCGACAAATCGATGCCATCTTCATGAGGGGCGTCAAATCTGATAGGGTGAACATTGATGCAGAGAGACGGAAGACCATCAACACGGACCACGCGGCGTTGATTGTGACGTGTCAGTTCCAGAAAAGTGCACGCCAGTGGGGAGTTGATTCAAGGCCGAGATGGGTACATGGAGAACTTGACTGTGATCTCATTGAATGGGGTGACATTCTCCAAGTAGCCAAAACACAAACCTGTCCTTCGAGAAGCTCTAAATATCAAGACCCTGAGTATGTTACCTCGGCTCTTCGTGCTGCCAAGAAAGACGGTGACAAAACAGCGTGGAAAAATGCGTTTAAGCAACGACGCATAGCGAGAAGATGTTGGCAACAAGAGCGGAGAAGTCGTGCCCTTGCTGGTGATTGGGCCGCATATCGTGCAGTCAAAGCTGAGAAAGTCAGAAAAGTTGGCTGGTGGGGCAAACTACTTGCTGACAAAACTGACGAACAGATGACAAGTGAGGTGCAACAACATCTGCATGGGAAACTCCATGACGATAGCGTTGTTGACTGGAATGAGCGACTTCAAAAACATTTGGATGACATTCCCTGTCCAACCTCGTGGAAACCCTACACTGCGGAGGAAGTTGCCACTGCCATCGCGAGCATGAGGGCGAAATCGTCTGTTGGCCCGGACCTTGTTGGGGTTGATCTACTTCGCAAAATCATGGGGGATGAAACCTTGTGTCAGCAACTTGTCGACATCCTCAACTTCCATGCCTACACGTTGAGTGTGCCTGAAATCTGGGATGTAAGTTTGCTGGCGTTGTTGGCCAAGATTGACTGGCCGGAACAGCCTCGAGACCTGAGACCTATTGCCATGAGCAGCTGTCTGCAGAAATGTTTGAACAAATTGGCGATGGGAAGAGTTTTCCCTGTGATACGACGACCCAGTCTGTGTTCGGCATGTGGCCATGGAAGACAGTGCGCAGATATAATTGGTTGCATCACCAGATTGCGAGACAACACCAAAGAATGGCGTCTGCCAGTTCTCTTGGCGAAGATCGACGTTCGTGGAGCATTTGACCGAGTCAAGCGCGAAGCTGCTGTGAATTTATTAAAGAAACGCACTGTGGATATGAATGTCGATGTGGAGACGCGTTGGTTGATACGGCAGCTTGCGGAGAACAAACTGCAAGGCCTTGTCCCGGGTGGAGGGGCGATTGAGATCCTCTGCAATTCTGGGATAAAACAGGGTGCGCCAGAGTCGGCCGAACTGTTTGGGTTGCTCATGGGCGATGTCCTGGATGATCTACTTGGTAAAGATGAATGGTGTCGACTAAAAGTGCCATGGGGTGACGCTGATGTTGTCCTTGCCTTTTACCAGGACGACGTGTTTGTGTGGGATGAATGTGCAGCGAGTCTCTGCAAGAGGATTGAAATGATCGCACAACAACTACGTGACCTTGGACTTGAACTTGCTGAGGACAAGACGATGATCATTTCTTCCAAATACTACCGAGGACCCAGGCACATCCGCGTGGGAGACAAAATGGTTCGAGTCCATGGTGATGATGTGCGCGTTCGTGTACTTGGGGTGAACTTTGCCTTTAGTGATCCTCCTGGTCAACAGGCCCGTGACCTCCTTAGTCGAGCAACAACAGCCGCCTTCTTTCATGCTGATGTTCTAGGTGAAGAAGGCAAATGGGAAGATAAATCGCAGATGCTGGATACGCTCGTTGCTGGGACGTTCACGTGGGCGGCCGCTGCTGTGCACTGGAATCAAGAAGAGCTTGCAATGGCCAACGCGATCCAGATTCGCTCCCTTCGTAAGGCCTTCCATCTTCGACGCAGGCCTGGTGAAGATTGGCTTGGTTGGCATCGACGGACGTGGCGCTCTGTCAGAGCGTGGATGCACACTAACCAAATCCGCAGATGGTCTAGTCACATACTTCAACTACAACATGGGCTCTTGGGACACTGGGCTAGACAAACAGAAGGCTGCGACAATGATGGAAAACCAATAAGAGGACTGACATATCGAATGCTGCAATGGCGAGGTCATGCATGGTGGAAACGTGAACAGAACCTTGTCACTGGTGTCCGTCATCCGGGATGCTTCTACCCCGACTGTATAGAACGTAGAATTGCTGAGACTGTTGGACTAAACTGGGGCGAGATTGCTCAAAATCGTGAAGTTTGGAGATGTTGGCAAGACGAATGGGTGAAGACGTTTGATGTGAAGTGGAGCTCTGGCAGGCAACCTGCACTTAGATGGTAAGCGACATGTACAAGTACACCTGTTGCAGTGGCATGTGGCATGTGAGTGGAGCTTGCAGCGGGAAGTGTGAAGCTTGCTTGGCTGATGAGACCTGTTGTGAATGGCTCGTTGGTTCGCATGCCCGTCCTTTGCAGCTGTTGTGGATGATATTCTGGCCCGCCTCGTCTTCTCTGCGCATGTGTGGTGCCATGGGTCCTCGCTGGTTTCTTCTTGCCCTGCTAGTGGTTGCCTTTGGTGGTCCCTCAGGGGATGAGTCGGAACGCAGCTGGCGCAGCGATGGACCGGGTGATCTGCAAGACGATGATGGGAGCGACGATGTACGTGGTGAAGATCAACCTGACAATGAACGGGGTGATCAGAATGACGATGGTGAGAACATGAGACAAGGACGACTTCTGTGGCGACCTGACCCCGAAGACTGGAAGTTGGGTGAACTACGACTTCTTCTACAAGTTCATGGACTACCTGAAGATGCCTCAACCCGAGAACTACATGATGCAGCTGACCCTCGACATGGTGGACCTGGACTCCTTCCACAAGATTCTGAACTACCTGAAGATGCCCCAACTCCAGAACTACATGGTGCAGCTGATCGTCGACGTGATGAACCTGGACTTCTTCCTCCTGGACTCCTTCTACAAGATCCTGGACTGCCTGAAGATGCCCCAACTCCAGAACTACATGGTGCAGCTGATCGTCAACGTGATGAACCTGGACTTCTTCCTGAAGAACACCCTCGCGAAGCTCAGGGAGAATTGGGACTTCCTGAACTACCTCATGATGCTGGGAGCCAAAGCCTCTATCCTCCTCGTCGTACAGTACGTTTTGGAAAGACGGAAGTGTTGGTTGATGCTGGCATGCACGGGGCGACTCTGTCCTCTCTCTTGTCGGATGGGAGAGAACTTCGTCGTGGACAACGTGGTGCAGAAGGGCGAGATGGACAAGAAGCTGCACCACATGAACCTGTACATGATGAACTACATAATGATGGAAACCTTGACCCCGGAATGACAGCTACTTCGTCTGATGCTGGGCGAGATGATACACGAGATGATGTCACAACTGGAGAAGTCACAACTGGAGCCATTGGAGTTGAGATGGGATATTTGTTTGAGGACGCCTGGCTCTCAATCAATGACATTGTGGACTGGTCATTCAACCATGGAGATCATGATTTACAAGTGTGGCCAACGGTGCGTGAGATGGTAGAACAAGCAGTGGCACAGTATGCGGCGTTCGTCGGGTCACCTGGTATTATGATGGACCGTGAAACAGCGATGACTCGTGAGTCAAGTGGAATGGTCCGACGTTGGGGAGAACTACGACCTGGACGAGATCGCTGGCATTTGGCTTCTGGAGATCGTCGTCCACCTCGTCGTGCTCAACATGATCCTTATGAAGCTGACCAAGAGCAAGGCGACCCTTCTGCATCCTCCTCTTCCTCGGTGGGCCCTGGGGTGACATCTGGACATACTACTGCTGCCAGCGACGATGGAAATGTTGGCTTTTACAAACATGGAGTATTCATACAGCGACCTCGTACAGAACAGGAACAGCGTAGCCATGCGGGTGGTCGTGGTGCCCAACGTCAAGCCAGACGAGCTGCACGATTTGAAGAATGGAAACGTGGAGAATGGGTGCCGGCATGGCTTCGACAATATAGACGTGAAAAAGAACTTCGCGATCGACAACGTGCAATGCAGAAGGATGAAATTACAGAGGAGACTGGTGACGACGACAACGTGGACCTCCTACAACGTGAGGTAAGTATGGAACATGTGGATGATGCCATGTCTTTGATGGAACAGCCTGGGCTACGTGCAGAGGAGTCGTCCACTTTGCACAATGAGGGTGTTGCACAAGATCATATTCGCGAGTTCGACGTGGTCATGGGTGAGTACGAGGCTATGGTCTTGGAGGAGCTTGGACCCGAAGCTCGGTGGGCTCTTGGTCACTTCCTTCTGCAAACACAACATGGAGCTGGATTGCAAGAAGCGTTGGAGAACATTGTGGCTGATCGTTGTCAAGGCCGCTCACGTGGTGCGCATGTGTACCCTCTACGTCGGGAACCTACTAGTCCGGAGATACGGGCGAGATTGGTTGCTTGGACGAACCGACTATGTGTCCTGATGTCCAACGTGTTCGAAAGAGGAATGCTTGAGTCTGCTCCAGGTGTACCTACAGCTGTGGATAGAACGTCTCGTCGCCCGAGTCGCTCCAGGTCGAGATCTCGCCATGCTGAACAAGATGATGAGGTTAGTTCGCTTATGGACATGGGTGGTCGAGATGACGATTCTGCAGAGCTCATGACGAGGATGATGAGGAGGAGGACTGTGAGGACGACGGGGGGCATATTCCAGTTTCTCATGATGAAGACCTGCCGGGGGCTGGTATTGGGCCTATGGGGCTTGAGGCCCTGGACACAGACGAAGAACGTTTGACCGCTGCTCGAGAAGATGCGGAGGAACATGCCGTACGTGCTTGGGGAGTGGAAATTACAGTACGAAGGGCCATGAGAGAGGCGACACCAGGTACAGCCAGGGAGATTGCGCGCAGATTGTTGTCGAAACAGGAGACCATGGCACAGATCATGCACTTCCTGCAAAAAGCCGTGTCACAGGCACTACGTACCTGTCCCAACGTGGACACGGAGGTCGACCATGGATCGGCCAACTTGCACACGCAGCGCATTTGGGCGAGTGTGCTTGGAGATGATGCAGACAACCCCTCGGTCGAACTTCTGGCAGCGTGTCTACGAGCAGAACTTGACCGTCGAGATGCTGTACGAACTGGGGGTGATGTTTCTGGGCCAGGGCATCCTGCTGGCAGTGCTTCTGGTCATGCTCGGGGTGATGGTGCGGGAGCTCTTCATGCTGCTGATCATGCTGCTGGCGATGGAGGAAGTGCTCCTGCTTCTGCACGACCTAACAGTGGGAGAAGTGGCAATGTGAACAATATTCGCCATCGTAGCCGCAGCCGCCCTCGACCATCTCAAGCCCCGTGGATGCACGAGGTCACTGGGGCGACAGTGCCATGCCTACGACCCTGGTGGGAGCGACCATTGACTACACTTGGGACGTCCACGGCTAGCTCTTCCGGCACTCCGAAGACTTCACCACCTGGCCATGTTAGCAGAGACGCTGTGGAAGCCCCTACAAGCTTGGCAACACCTTCGGCTGGACTATCTGGAGCGTCTGTGGATGGAGATGGTGCAAGTGGGGTGGCTGCCCCTACAAGCTTCGCAACACCTTCGGCTGGACCATCTGGGGTGGCTGTGGATGGTGATGGTGCAAGTGGGGTGACTACGAGTGCAGATGGGGATGGTGATCTTGCTGAAGGAGATGGTGATCCTGCTGAAGACGATCATGAGGATGGTGATGGTGCCCAGGAAAATGAGCCCGACGATACCGTGGATGAGGACGACAGTGTGCTGTTGACCATCATGATGCGGCGCACAACTACGTTTCGCCATCGTCGCCTACAACAAACTTCCCAGTTGAACCTGAGTATGGCCCTTACGTTGGATGCCACCCCCTTGTGTTGGATGACATGCCCTTCCAGATCATGGAAAGCTTGGGGTCATACTTTGACCTTCTGCACTATGTCCTCGTCCTCCTGCATTACAACTTTGCGGAACTCCATGCTGTGCTTTGGTAATGAAGGGAGGACATGTACATCGTGGCCACTGTCCTCCTGCTGTACTTTACCTCCCTGGATGATGTTCGTGAAGGCATCCTTTTCGATGTTCAGGACCTCGTGGCCTCTCGGCACTTTCTGGTCGAAGTCTATGGTGGTGTCCTTCGGTTCTCACTCTTCGCTGGCAATGTTGTCGACGTTGGGGACCCCCTGTACTTCCTGGGCGGGGTCTGCTGTGATGCTGTGGACGTCCTCCGTGTTGAGCATGGTCGATGAGCCTGTGTTCTTTGGTCCTTACTGTTCATTGGCAACGTTGAGGACTTTGTGGACTCCATGCACTTCCTGTTCGGGGTCTGTTGTGATGCCGTGGGTGTCCTCCGTGTCTTTCGTGACCAATGAGCCCATGTATACCTTGTCTGTGTGAAAAACATCGTCAACATGAACTATGTGTACCTTCTGCTCGATGCTGAGTACCTGATTCTGTTCGAAAATGACTACATCGTCGAGTTGTCTCACCTGTGTGTACCTGTATAGGCAGGCCTAGGTCGCAGACTTTTGGTCATCACACATTAAAAAAAAAAAAACCCTAAACCCTAAACCCTAAACCGTGATGAACGGAACCTGATTAAGAAACCAAGGGCCTATAGCGCCAGAATAGTAGGATTCAGGCCCAAGGTTACTCAGGTTGCTACATTATGTGTTCTAGGGGCATTCATAAATAAAAAAAATTTTGGGGGGCTCCTTAATACTACAAATATAACCAGGAATCCTAAGAAATAGTCTCGGTAATTACTTGGGCTTCGGTTTAGGATTTGTGGTTTTCGCTCGAGTTCGGGTTGAGCTGGGTGGCTTTGAGGTTTGGGCTTGTGTGGGGTTGGGGGTGGCGCTACAGTTTTGGGTTTTCCTTCGGTTTTCGGATTTAGGGATTCAGAGGCTAAGGGGTTGGGCGAGGCCCGTCTTCTAACAGGGCAGCTTGAATAGTTTGTAAAACTATTCTGTGATTTTTCCGGAAAGAGTGTATACTGTACCATAATACTGTGCATATTCTGATTATCAGAGCCCCTCTTGAAGAGACGTTGGGTGTGTTTTCTTTGTTTCAAGGGTCAGGGTGTTTAGTTGAGGGTTTAGGCCTAGGCCTAACCTTCTCAACGAGACTCTTCGGGATGCAGACGTTTCCTTCTCAGGCTCCTGGGTTGTTGAGCTTACTGGGATCAGGGTTCAGGTTGAGGTTTAAGGCCTACTTGGAGGTTCATGCGTAGTTATAAGTGGGGTTCCTTTAAAGGGATCTATAGGGTTATAGGGTTTAGGGATTGGGGTTTAGGGTCGTTATAAGTGGGGTTATAAGTCCCCTAATATGGGTTATTAGTATAGTTACCTTACTTATAACCCTGCTTATAACTACCCATGAACCTCCAAGTAGATGATGCAGCGGTGAACCCATGTTTGAGTCATGTGCATGCTGTTCTACGGCGATCCCAGCTATGCACCACTGCTCTGAGTAGGAGTCTTTCTAACCCTGAACCCTAAGCCCTAAACTTCCAACCAGGCGTGAACAACAACTCCAAAACGATGACCAATAGTACATGGGTAGTTTTCAAAATGAGGGTCCCCTTTAGGGTCCTTTCTATAAGGGTGCCGTACACTTTTGGGGAGCTAGAAACGCGTTTGGAGAACTATCCACATTAGGGTTGTTGAAGGCATCGTCAAGAGCCAGTTCTGAAACTGCTCAGGGTTTAGGGGTTTTGGGTTAAAGGTTTAGGGGTTTAGGGTTTGGGGTTTAGGGGTTTAGGGTTATAGGGGGTAGATTAAAGCAAGCCTGGTGCAGAACGACCCCTCTCCCCCCCCCCCCCACCACTTCTTCGAGCTAAATTCGTAAAATCGTGCCGTCGTGGTGGTGATCGTACTATTGCTAGTATCACTACTGCTCGTATTGGCAAAGTAGTAAAAAAGTCTTCGTCGTACTAGCCGTAGTTTTTTGGGAGGAGGAGGAAAACCCTAAACCCCATAAACCCTAAAGGAGCAGGAGGGGGACAGAGGAGGAGGAGGGGGAGGAAGAGGAGGATTTGGACGACGAGGCTCGGAACAGGAAGCCACATCGTCGTGTTTGCCGGAGCCACGTCTTAAGGTTACCTACGCGATCTTGGGATCACCACACTGGCACTGTCTCCCATCTTCCTGAACAGCAGCTTGGCTGAAAGCAGGTATATACTCTAGGGACCCTATAATTGCGAGTACTAGCTCCTTGGTCTAATCACAGCATAATGGGCCCCAAACCCTATTCTACTTATTAAGGCCACTATATTATAAGTTTGGCTGCGTGGGGTTGGCAAGAGTAAAAAATGTGTTGCTTACCGGTATAGTTGTACTCGGAGCTGACTCGAAATCCTGATACGCTGAACCCACACCCGTTCGCAGCTTCTTGGATTTACTTATAAGCAGTTTGACGATAGTGCCTGAAAGTCTTATCATTGACTAGGGCCCTGTATGGCTTTCTAGTATACAATCCCTCGGAACTCTCAGTCCAAGTATTCGGGCCTCCAGAATAGGGCTATGGGATGTGGGTAGTTCACTAAGTTACGGCCCCCTTTTCAGGTCCCTCAACCAGTATGGCACCCTTTATAAAGAAGACCCTTATAAAGGGGGCCCTGATTCAGAGAACTACCCATGTACATAGGGGGCTCATCATTTGATTGGGCTCAGAGAGTCATCTGGGTCCCACCGCTTTGACTTACGCGCTTCAAAGCTCGACGGCCGATCTTGGGTGAGGTGAGGGATAGGGTTTACGGCTTGGGGTGTCGGGTTTTGGGAACCATAGCCGGCGAAGCCCTATTCCACCCAAGATCTTTTGACAAAGGCCATTTGTGTTAGTACAGTGGCCTTAATAATTACCTATTTTGTTTTGGGGGGGGTCCTTATTGTACTTCTAGTATAAAGGGCCCAAAACCCTCTTCTAACTTTTGAGGCCCCTGTATTAGACTCCCCGGGCACCTGCGACCCCCTGCAGCTGCAAGTCCTTACTGCAGCTTACACAGGCGGACTGTGAAATCGATACGGAGATGGGTAGATACTATAGAATTAGCATAGGGGTCATTAAAGGGGTCTATAACGTCTACGATAATAAGGACTTACGATAGGCCCACTATTCTTTTACTATGATGAGGAACCCTCAAAAAGTAATGATAATTATTTGGGCCAGTACAGTAGGTGGGGAGGCAGATAGGGAGGCAAACACCAGCCTGTTGGTGTGCTTTGCTCATAACTGCCCACTGGGCCGCGCGGGTTTCGCAACTGGGTCGAATGAGTTGAATCAAAACCAACACCTTTCCACAGGCTTAGCAACAGGACGCCTAGCATCGTCTTGCCTGACCCCGGCCCAGCAAACGCGAGATTCACGACAGCGGCGCGCAGGAGCTCTCTGAACAGTACTGTAAGCGGCAAGATGATTTTCTTTTCGTCGATCTGCGAACATCCCATCGAGATGGTAAAGTAAGGTTCCACTTTACCTTGAACTACTAAACCCTGCTTTGTTGTAGGTTCTTATTATGAACCCCAATATGAAATTTACAGGGACCCTACAACAAAGTAGGTTTTGGTAGGTTAAGGTAGTTGAGTAACTCTGGCGCATGGTTCGGAGGTTCTTTGCTGCCATAGCCTCCACGATGAGACACAAGTGCCCGAAACTCCAGAATTCTGGCAATTATGGCGCATTCGGAGGGCTTTTTCGATCCCCAACAAATACAAGAATTACAGAGGCTTACCTATAGCCTGTTACCGCCGCCTCACCCCCCTGAATGGGAAGATTGTATTTCTATGTCTAGATTTCTAGATCTTGTGTACATGCAAAGGTTGAACCTTACCGACGGCGAGAGTTGTTTTCGTCTTGGTCAGGGCTCGAAGCTAGGGCATGCTAGGGCCAACAAGAACCGATGCGATAGTCCTACCCGAAACCCCTTTAATTAACCCCCCACACCCTATACCCTAAACCCTATACCCTCTACCCTAAACCATGTGCCCTAAACCCTACACCCAAAAAATCCCTAAACCCGAAGTTTTGGAGCAGAGGCGCTGGCGATTACCACGGGAAATGCACGACAGCCTTGGCCCTAGAGCTTTCTGGCCTGGGGTCCAGTAATTCCACGGGCAAAAGGAGGGACCCTTAATAAGGACCCCTAGGTATCTACCCTTAATTTTGCAGTTATATACGCATTATATAGCCCATTATAGGGTAGGGGTCCCCATTAAGGATCCCCTTTGAGTAATCTACAGTAGAAGCCCAAAAGTTGGAAGCCCAATAGCCTCAATCCTGAAGAGTCATGTATGGGGAATCCCAGCACTATTTGTCCTCAATCCGGTTTCCAAGTTTATGGGGCCTACTATAGTGGAGAAGAATCTAGAGGTTTAGAGAAGGCCAACACAAGTCATAAATAATCTCCTCTGACATACACGTTAGCCTTGTAGACCTACAGACCCAAACCTTAAACACGAATCGCCGATGTACTCAGCCTAATAGAACTAAACCATCAAACTCAAGTAAACCTTGTAATTGTAATCAAGACCTGACGTGGGACGCCAAGGGTTTAGGGGTTTAGAGTTTAGGGTTAGGGGGTTGAGGAGTTTCGGAGTTTTGGGTTCGGGGGTTTAGGGTTTAGGGGTTTTGGGTTTAGGGGTTTAGGCTTTAGGGTTTCGGGGTTCAGAGTTGAGGAACAGATTTAGGATTCAGCTCGACAGGTCAAGGGACCTGTAACCGACTCCAAAAGCCCAAGCCTAGGCCCAATTCTACTTGGAGGTTCAGGGGTAGTTATAAGTGGGGATATAACGCCCCTAATGTGGGTTATAAGTATAGTTTCCCTACTTATAACCTACTTATAACTACCCGTGAACCTACAAGTAGGCCCAAGCCAAATCCAGCTCGGAAACCTTTAGCCCGTTTCAGGATATCACTACAATCGACTCCAACTTCGGCAATACCGAGCTTCTGCGAGAGCTGGTGCACGATGCGCATATGTACCATGGCACTGAGTCACAGAGTGTAATTACTTGAGGAGAGATTCTAGGTTCAGGGGGTTAATGATTTAGAGTTTACAGTCATGAGGCATTAGGAGTGGAATCGGAGGAAAGACATCTATAATGGTAGCTGGTACGTGGCAATAGCCTGTCTGCGAGGTACTTGTTTTCCCCACGTCTGTATGCCTCTGAGCCCCAAGCCTCATCATTCATCTTGTGCTCAGGATACGATGACTTTATATGTCGTGTTGCTCTTGTTCCTATTATTTTACAGTGCCTCAAGTTGTGATTTTACGAATACGGCTACTGGCTCATACTACGAATGTGTCTATTAGTGTCTTCATGTCTGCTAGACTGTTGTTGTTCGACATGAGGTTATTGTACGTTAACCCTTCGCCCTGAAGCTCAGAACCCTCACTAACACTGGCTTATAGTTTAGTATACCTGCAGGTAATGCATCGATGATGAGAAGGATTCGGAATGGATAGCGGACTGCCAAAGTACCCGCTTGCTTGTCAACGCAGTTCTGTCCGATATCTTTAAATGAGAGCAGCGTCCATGCTATAGTAGCTATATTAGTTAGAGTATGGTGTCGGTGGTGTAGTTTACTAGATGTCTAACATGTTACACATGGACCCCTAAGCGATTCTATGAAACGGTCGTTGAGTTTGCGGGCCGCTGGGAACCTCCGACCCTGATGCCACAAGTCAAGTTCAGGAACCCTAAACCCCTAAACCCCTAAACCCTCAACCCTAACCTAAACCCCTAAACCCTAAACCCCCACAAGCTGAGGTTGGGCATCAAGGTGGTCCTCGACGTGTCGCTTCGCGGCATTTTCATAGTCCGAAGTTGAACTGAAGCCCCCGAACCCTAAACTTTCCAAATCCGGAATCCCAGACTCAAGATCCCTCGGCTCGAGTTCTGTGGGTTCGAAGCCGGGTTTAGTATCATTGGCAATGCAAGGGTGACAGCTGCTGCTACCACTGCTACTGCTCGTCATGCTGCTGCTTCAACTACAACAGCCACCATCATTGCTTCTGCTCCTTCTACCAGAACTGCTACTGCGATGATGCCGACGACGACGACGACCGCTACCTCCCCCCACCACTGCCGGGACTTGATGAACACCAGCATGATTATTTGGGAGTTTCTGAAAATAGGGGACCCTAATATAGTACTCTGAATAGTAGGATCCTTATTACAAGGACCCGAAAATAGGTACCCCTAGTTTTCGGAAACCCCCATTTCGAGCAAAGCGAAAGCAGACAAAGGGTTGGGACTTTAGTGTCCCCCCAATGCCCTAAACCCGACTAAAGCGCTAAAAACCTGAAAGTCCTCCCGCCATGAGGCTCTTGTTCAGTCGTAGATGTGATCTGCCGGTTTCCTGTCAGGGAGGCCATCAGGAAGTTTCAGACAGTGAGGCCCCAGCTATAGTCTAGACCCTAGATGCTAGAATCGGGACCCTAAACAAACGCATGCCTCACTCTTTGAAGAACGCCTGCTTGTTGCTGGGTTGTCCTTGGGGATCTTTTTTGATTTTCCCCTACCACTTTGTAGAGAACCAGAATGGTACATGCTTTTCAAAGGGCTCAAAGGACAACTCAGTGTTGCCGTGTATTGCATGGTGCAGTCTAGGGTGAAGTCAATGCTCGATAGAGCCGGCGGCTGGGTTTAGGGTTCAGGGGGAGTGGTGTCATGAAGCAGATATCACGCACTACTTAAGCGAAGAACTTATTCCTGTCAGCCGAAGTGCCCAGAACTCGAGAGGAACTCATGGAAGAACCTCATGATGCAATGTTTCTCGAGCGTGCGAAGGAACTGTCTTAGCAAGTAGCCTTGACCAGCTCGGACCTATTCTCTCTCATCACATTCCCTAAGGGTCCATGTACCCATATAGAGATACATGAGCCCCAAAGTACCTATATAGGGATTACATTAAGGCCAGTGTATATACTATATGAGTACATGGACCCTTAGGGATTGCGCCCAGCCCACGACAAGCATGCACCAGATTTACGGATTTACGCGACAAGTAAATCAGTTGGTACACTGTTACACAGTTTGCATAAAACGGTTGCAGATAGATTAGATAACGAGTCAATTTCAACACATTCGGGTGTGTGTGTGTGTGTACGTGTATGCGCATATATATATACACATATGTACGTATATATATATATATATATATATATGTGTGTGACCTATACCTATCTATATAGTTCGGTATATCGATATGTGCGCATGTTATAGAGGTGCATGTATGTATGCATATCTATATATATATATATACTGTTTTTGTATGCATTATATATACACACATCACGCATGAGCATCTGTGCTCACTTGGTCGCCAGGCAAGTGAACCACGTCTGCGGACGAGGTCTCAAGTCCCATGGCTGCACTTGCGGTGGTGGCCGGGGGGGAAGGGTAACTGTCTGTGTGTGTGTGTGTGTGTGTGTGTGTGTGTGTGTGTCTGTGTGTGTATATATATATATATATATATATTACATACTATATACTAAATTGCATGCTGCTGTTTTTTTTATGATGCCTTTTACGTTTTACTACACTGTATTATTTTATATGTTGTTGTGCTAAGTTATGTTGTATTATATGATATCATGTTACGTATTTACACATGTATACACATATTATTATACAGATGTTTACCTACATATTTGTCTATATGTTTTTTACATACATACAGATGCGCACATAGACATAGCCATGACCTTGGCCCATTGCCGTGGACATGACATTCACACACATGCGTACGTGCATGCATATGCATGCAGCATGCATGTATGTGTAGCCTGTTGCTGTTGTATGCATGATTATGAAAACATCAAATATAATATCACAGGCACAATATCAAAAGATGTATCTGTGCATGAACACACGTTTGTGTGTGTGGGGTGATATTCAGTCGTTCTAGGAATCCGAGTCATGGTGTTGAGGCTCAGCTCGCAGATGAAAGGCTTGACCTCTGATGGTTGGATGGCGAAAGGGCAGGAGCAAGGTCTTCAGACCCAACACAAATGTCCAATTAAATCACAGTGGGGTTTAGGGTTTAGGACACGACAACAGTCAAATCGAAGTTCTGGACGTAGCACAACATGCTATCACCAAGGTTTTTAGAGCGCGTATTGCACGAATACAAGCCTCACACGACCATTGCTTCATACACCGCAACCTTCTTTCCCCTTGACGTAATCTAGTAACCTTAACAATCAGGATAGGGTTTTGGGGCCCATTAAACCATAGTTCTGATAAGGAACTTTCAAAAACCTAAAGTAGGCCCCGCCCTGCTCATTCCAAGGTACCTCGGCTCCACCGGTAGCGTCGATGGCGTCAACCTCTGCGTGGCTTCGCCGCTGGGCTTTAGGGTTTAGGGTTCAGGGTTGGGAGCTTACTTGGAGGTTCATGGGTAGTTTTGAGTATACGGTTTTATAAGTAGGGTAACTATACTTATCACGTATATTCGGGAACTTATAACCCCTACCCATGAACCTCCAAGGAGGGTTCAAGCCATATTTTCTGGGGCTTGTCTTCGCAAGCGTTTTAGGCCTCGGAGAACTACAGCAAGTTTCGGGTGATTGGCCCTACATAGGCTAGGGCTGTGGCTATGTCAGTGACCTGGCATAATTCGCCAGTGCACCACCGCCTAACCTCAACAACCCAAGCCCTAGAACCCAACATCTCGGGCCTTAACCCCAAACCGCAAACCCTAGCCTAGCCCAGCATCAGCATAAGCCCTTCAAGGCCACAAAGCCGGACAGAGGCAGTGCTTAACCCAAATAGAACCCTTGTAGAATCCATGATAGCAACTACATGCTAGGTATTCAGGCCCTTATATACAGCCCTAAAAACCTCATAGAACCCTACAAAATCACGAGTCGAATCATTGAGGCACCGAAACACTGAGTCTTGAAACACCCGAAACCCCAAAACTTACTCTGACACGCATAGAAACCCCTACTCAACAGAATAAGCCCCCTAAACAAAGGCCTATAGAACCCATGCGACCTTCATAGAAGCCCCATTCTGATCAATAAGGCCCCCCCCCCCAAACCTCAAGCCCTAGCACTCTAAGCCCTGAAGCCCCGAAGCCCAAAGCAGGCCCTAATCCTAAACCCTAAACCCTAAACCCTAAACCCTAAACCCTATGAGCCCCAAGCCATTGAGGCCCCAAGCCCCCCAAACTCCAAACCCCTCAAACTCTAGGACCTAGAGTAGGCCCTTATTCCCTTTTTGTTGGGTTCAGGTTCCCTTATAAGCCCCTTTAAACCAAAAAGGGGCACCCTTTTTATTCCTAGGTTACTCTTGGGTCTAGAACTGATAAACCTTCAAATCTTCCAAACCCGGAATCGCAAAGCCCCCTATAAACCCTAAACCTATCTCTTCAACGGCCCATTGCTTTAGGTCCCAGTGTACCTACATCCTAAACCCTACTGTCCTAACCCCAAAACTCCAAACCCAGAAGCACCAAACTCCAAACTTTAAAACGTGTTTTAGGTCCGAGGCTACCTACTGTACTCCTTTAAGGGAGCCCCTAACCCAAACCCCGTTCCTTAAAGGCCCCTTGTTTTATTTCAGGTTTTAATGCCACCTATTGGTCAGGCCCCTAAACCCAAACCCCCTAAACCCTAAACGCTGAACCCCTACAACCCGACACCCTTCAACCCTCAACCCTTCAAATCTACAACCCTAAACCCTACACCCTAAAACCTACCCTAAACCCTTAAACCCTTTGTTTCAGGTCCGAGTCGACCTACTGTATTCCCTTAAAAAAACCCTACAATTTCCTTAAAGGCCACTTTGTTTTAGGTCCGAGTCGACCTACTGTATTCCTTTAAAGGAACCCCTATAGTGCCCTAAACCTCAACCCTTAAAGCCTTTGTTTTAGGTCCGAGTCGACCTACTGGTCGTCCGAACGGGGGGAGCCCCTCGAGGAGTCGGTCCGTTGGGGGCTCAGGGGGGGGGGGGATTTCGGGAGTCGGAGGGTTTCGGGTTTGGGGTTTGGGGTTGGGGAGGTCTAGGGTTTGGGGTTTAGAGGTTTAGGGGGTGGGGGTTTGGGGTTTAGGGGTTTGGCGGTTTGGGGGTTTAAGCAGCTTTGGCGGCTTGGGTTCGGGGATCTTTTTGAAGGACTGGGCGCAGGGGGTGGGTTTCATGCATCTTGTTGAAGGTTTGGGTGACAAGAAGCCAGTGTGGTCAGTGTGAGATCTCGCTGCGTAGAGTACAGTGAGCCTCAACTGGTTCGGCTTAGGGCCGCACACGGCCGTATTTTTGGGTTTAGGGTTTAGGGTCTAGTGTTGCGGATAGCATTGGCCACGGGCTTTTGAGCACTGCGTGCGGCAAGAGTTCAGCATAGCCTCAACCCCAAACTTAGGGCCTTAGGGTTAAAGCTGGCCCCTGAACCCCAAACCCCCAAAAGCCTAAACCCTAAAAGACACATGCAATATGGCATTTAGGATCCGGGAGTCAACATTTAGCCCTTGAGGCCTTGGGTCAACACCCAACCATGCCAATATCCCGTCTAGTATAGGTTAGAAGCTGCCCCCACCCTGTTATAGTGGTATAGTAGGAATATAATCGGGCCCTAATATAATCCTTATAGTCACTATTACAGGCTGGGGGCAGCTTCTAAAGTAGTATAGGGCTCTAAGTACTAAACATGTTCAGCACGAGTGGCCTCTGACAGTCCCTACATTTTCAGAGCATGATATGCCACACAACTTTCGTCCAATTCTGAGGCCCTTCTACTAACCCCCTGTAGGGTTACGGGGGTTATGCCAGAGTGTGATGAAACAGGGAAGTATGCGGGGCTTTCGTTACTTGACTAGAAAGTAGTTAATCCAAGTCCTTGCAATGCACCCGCACAGCGTCTGGCAGCTGCACCAGTCGAGGGCGGAATCTTTTGTGGTCCTTGAACCATGTTTGCGGAGTGCCGCAGCAGGCGCAGGCACAGCCGCGGAGATTGGCCTTTGCGCCATCTGCGTTTGTGCCAGCCGAGAGCATCTTCTGGATCCTTGAGATGCAAGTCGTGATTCACCCCCAGAGGCTCCACACCATGGCTCTGACTTCCGGTCAACTTCCCAGTCTGCTTAAGGTTCCATGCATGCCGTGACCGTTGAGGACGTGACAAAGTCTGGGGCCTCCGAAAATTAGGGGTACCTTATTTGGGGTCCTTATAATAAGGATCCTACTATTTAGGGTGCTATATTAGGGTCCCCTATTTTCGGACACTCCCATATGTTGTGGCCTTAATGTAGTCCCCATGTATAGTACTTTGGGGCCAAAGTCTCGACTGTTTGGGCACATGGACCCTTACCCTCAACCCGAAACCCTTTCAACCTGTATTACACCCTGAACCCTCTACCCTTTAAGCCCTATAAACCTTAACCCTAAACTCGAAACCCTTTCAACCCTAAGCCGTAACCCTAAACCCGAAACCCTTTAAACCCTAAACCTTAATCCTAAACTCGAAACCCTTTAAACCCTAAACCGTACCTGAAGCCGGAAGAACCTACCTTTTTAGGGCTCCTTATTATGATTTCCTTATATAAGTCCTTAAGAAGGTAGGTTATCCCGGCTTAAGGTAACCTCAGCCTCAGGCCAGCGACTAGGCTGGGGCGACTCCCTGCCCGCGTTTCTGCGCCATCAGCTCCTCGGCCCGTGGGGCTTAGGGGTTTGGGGGTTCAGGGGTTCAGGGGTTAGGGTTTAGGGTGTAGGGCTTAGGGGTTTAGGGGTTAGGGGCTTAGGGTTTAGGGTTTAGGGGTTTAGGGTTTAGGGGTCTAGGGATTTGGGGTTTAGGGTGTAGAGTTCAGAGTTTATGTAGGGTTTAGTGTTGTAAGGTTTAGGGTGTAGGGTTTCGGGTTTAGGGTTTCAGGAAAGGTCTGTCACGGGTTCTAGAACCCGTAGATAGGGGAACCCTAATAGTATCATAAATAGTAGGATCCTTCTCATAAGGACCCCCGAAACCGAAACTCCCATCTATCGGTACATACAGGCATTCATTATCCAACGCTTATGATCATTCAACAGAACATCAGCAATATAATCATGAACACAATAAGGATATTCAGAGTTCTAACAGAACCAACAATCTTAATAGCCACAATAGTGACGATGTAAGTAAGTATAGTGAAATCAGTAGAAAGCACCCCGAGCAGCGGTGGTGGATTGTGTCGTTGGCATGCGTGTTCTCATGCTTTGGGTACTGCCCCCTCTCAGTAACAGTTGGATAATATTCATAATATAGACATTTAGGGCCCTTAATAGTAGGCCTATTATAGACAGACTGTTACTGTATGGGGCAGTACCCAACTCATGCTTCTTATTCGGTCGCAGAGTCTCCGAAGCTCCCTTTCTGCTTTCCGATATGGGTGGTTCTCAAAATTGTAGGCCCTTTTTGGGTCCTTACTGTTGATGATATAAATCCTGCATTACCCATAATAGGGGATATGCCATAATTCCCATAGTTTAGGGTCCTTAAGGTCATGCAGGATTTATATCATCAGCCGTTATTACCCTAGTAATTAGTCGGGTAGGTAAACTTTAACCTTTTCTGGGTAGTATAGTCCCTGTATAATCCCTACAGAACCAAACAGGTTAACCTTTAGTTCCCCATGATACCCGGCAAGTAGGTTACAGTACGGCACCTAACATTGAGGGTACCCAAACAGGGACCATAACTTTGACAAACCACCCATACATCTTTCAGGGTTTAGGGTTCAGAGTTTAGGGTTAATTGGTTTAGGGGTTAAGGGTTAAGGAGTTTATCTGTAGGGTGAAGTTGCTTGGGGCCCTCTTCACAAGACTCTCACCTTCACCGGTGGCTCTACTCAAGCCTCGAGCCTCAGCTCGAACCCTCAAGCAGCCTTTGATGCAAAATAGTTCCCAGAGCCACGGAAACTGGTCATAGGCCCCATAGTAGTTCCTTTTTGGGACTACCTTACAGGAAGCCATGACGAAGCCGTCACGAAGTTGAGGGTTCGGGGTTTGCCCGACGACAACTGGACCCGGATTGCCGAGCAGATTAGTTTGACATAGATGGTTTGTTGCTGTCTTGAAGTTTGCAGGTCTTCCCATGCCAAGTACCTGCATCGCATAAGTCTTGTATGAAGGACTTCCGCAACCAGTCCAATGTTTCATCATGCAGCTGCCATTTGTGGCAGTTGCTGCCCCTAAACCAGGGCACTCCTGTGTAAGCCTGAGTCAGCCTGAGGTACCCTAAACCGCCTAAACCCTAAACCCCTAAAACCCTAAACACCTTAACCCCTAAACCCCCAAAGCCCTAAACACTGAACCTAACCCACCTGACTCTGCTGCCTCTGCTTGCAAGGTCCTTCTTCGTTCGCTGTGGCTCCTCCCTTCTCTACAGGCTCGGTCAGTTCAGGACTCTGGGTTCTTGTTTTGAAGTCTAGGTTTAGGGTTAGGGCTTAAAGGGTTTAGGGCTTTAGTTTAAGTTACCACAACAATAAGGAAACTGTATTATGTACTATAGATCCGTATTGCGGTAACTTAAATCAAATTCCTTAACAAGAACCCAGGGTTTGAGCGTGGAGGATTGATGGCAAGCTTTGGTTACACACACGGCTTGTAGGCTTTATTACGGTTGATGATATAAATCCTGCATTACCCATAGTAAGGCATATACCATAAATCCCACAGTTTAGGGTCCTTATAAGCTGTATATCATCAACAATAGTTATGGGGTTCAGAGGTTAGGTTTTGTAGTTTTCGGAAACGGTTTAGGGAAGCCATTCGTCCTGATGGAAAGTCCAAGGGTAAAAGGAGGGACCCTTAATAAGGACCCCTAGGTATATACCTTTAATATAGCTATTATATACCCATTATATAGCACATTACAGGGTAGGGGTGCCCATTAAGGGTCCCTCCTTTTACCCTTTGAGAAAGTGAAAGCGGCGCTGCCAAACTAATTTGGGGAATCTTGCCTGGGACAGGGCAAGCCCTAAGGGTCCATGTACCCTTATAGAGATACTTTGGGCCCAATGTACCTATATAGGGACTACATTAAGGCCAATGTATATACTATATGATTACATGGACCCTTAGGGAAGGGGTAGTACAGGGGCCTTATAATCTGCAGTCGTGCCTGAGGGGTATGTTGTGTTAAAGTTCTGCGGGGACCAGAATATGTCATAAAGGAGTACTGTTACCTTAAGGGTCCAAAGGACCCAATAATCAAGTACTGGGGTTTGGGATAGTAGTTTACTATTTTGGAGAGTATATGATGATCAGGTACTTGGACCCTTAGGGGTACCTATTGAACCTATGACTCCGAGCCCTATTAGCTGTTGGGTGGTGACGATGCATCCAGTCGCTTGCCTGTATGCCTGACGCGAGCGAGTTGAAACTGGAAGCTCCTTGCACTACTAGGATGCTCAGTAGTACCCTTGTTCCCTTTTTGTAGTCCTAGGTTCCTTATAAAGTTACCCAATACAAAAAAGAGAGGCCTTTTTATTCTTAGGTTACTGGGTATCCTAGACTGAGCATTGACTATTGTAGCCGAAAAAACCAGAGCCCATCCGATGCACTACTTCTCTAGGAACACTCCAAGACCCTTGCGTAACTGAAGTATACATATATATATATATATATACACTCTAAGGCTCCTAAGAGGGTCTTGGGCTTTCTGGGGGAGGGTTTCGGCTTTGGGGGCTGGGGTCCGGGATCTCACTACAAGGGTCCAGGAGCCTTAAGGTAGTAGTGTCTGTGTCTTTCATCCCGAGTTTGCTTGCTGGCGCGCTTTGACTTTCAGAGGCCCCCTACGTACGGCAACTCGCAAGGATCCTTCACCTACCATAACCGACTTTTTTGTAGGGTCCTGATGAACCCCATATTAGGGTGTAGAATAAGAGCCTGCAAAAATAGGGTTTAGTAGGTGTAGGTAGGGTTTAGGGTTACGATCATGTAAGTCCTAATGCCTTGGACATTAAAGCCGTAAGGGTGAAGGCTTGAAGCCAGCAAGGTCGCAAGGCCCGCCCTCACTCCTTCAAGCGCGGAAACCCCCTAAGCCCGAAGACACCGACTCCTGAGCCCAGAACCGACCCTAAACCCAACCTCCATTACCGTCGACCGCATACTTGGAGGATCATGGGACTTGGTAAGTAGGGTTATACGTACCTTAATTGGGGTTATAAGGAGATATAATTATAGTTACCTTACTTATAACCCTACTGACTAAGTCCCATGGTCTTCTAAATACCCTAAACCATTAGCAACTCCAGGCCTGGGGGCCGAGATTTCACCGCTCTGCCGATGGACCTGAATGCCACTGAAGTCGAGGGCGGTCTGTCGCCGCCCCAGGGGCGGACACTTAAGCAATTTGGCCTTTTATTCGATAAACCCTAAGGGTCCATGTACACATATAGAGGTACATGAGCTACATGAAGGCCAATGTATATACTATATGAGTACATGGACCCGTAGGGAAATCTGCGTATACACCAACTCCGGTTCCCTCGACTACTGCTTGGGGTGAAGGCTTTAGGGTTTGAGGGCTTTAGGGTTTCGGGTCGGAGAGAAGACTTCCGATCCGTTGCAGCACTCTGACGTTGAAGAAGCCAAACCCCACTTCCTGAGCCTATGCTCATAGGAGGCCAAAAGGGGTTTTAGCCTATGGGGGGTTAGTAGGGATCAGGGTTCCCATAATAGGGTTCATATTAAGGAATCCTTACCCCAAGAATCTTAAACCCCCTTTTGGCCTCCCATCATATGCCCCGAAGCTCGCACCCGACTCCCCGTCATTACCATTATTGTCATCAACATTTTTATCACACTCATCATCACGGTTCTTCATCGCCGTTCCATTTTACTTCTTCTTCGTCATCGTCAGCATCACCAGCATCCATCGCCACCAGCATCATCACCGTCACCCACCTCATGGCCATTGAGGGTTTTCAATTTAAGGATTAGGGTTTAGGGTTTAAGGTTTTGGTGCTTTAGTGGAGGGGCTTAAAACTCGGGATGTGGAGTTGCAGGTTGAGCGGTTTGGGGCTTCCTTTTGACCGGAATGGACTTCCCGAAGCCGTGTCCTTCAACTGTGAAAGCAGTGGGCTCGCAGGCGGAAAGCCGAGCCTCTTCACAACGGTTTAGGGTTTAGGGTTTAGGGTTTAGGGTTTCGTAGCATTTACTGATGCACCACATTCCAAGTGCTGCAGCTGTCGGACAGTTTGAGTCGCGGACGATAGTTTTGGAAAGCAGCCTGGAAAGCAGCCTTACCTGTATCCCCAATCCCTACAAAATAGTAGGTTATGACCCCTTAGTTAGAGGGTCTGACCCTTAAAACGGTAGGTTTTTGGATCCACAGGTGCAATAAGTAGTTGTCAAAATTATGGTCCCTTTCTGGTACCTTAAATATTAGGTGCCGTATTATTTATAAGGACCCAAAAAGGGACCCCAATATTGACAACCACCCTACTATACCCCCAGGCTACACACCCTGCTACTACTTGGAGGGTCGGGGGACTTAGTAACTGGTTATTTTGGGGACTTATAAGTACCATAACCCCAATTAGGGTCCCTTTCCGGATACTTACAAGTCTACTTACTAACTACTTACTAAGTCCCCTGACCCTCCAAGTAGACCCTAAACCCTGAACCCTAGAGATCCCTTTAAGGAACCCTATAGATCCCTTTAAGGAGCCTTTTAAGGAGCTCTGTACTAAGTCCCCCGACCCTCCAAGTAGGACCCTCAGAGAAGCCCGGCTCGCAGGCTCTTCACGGAGATTTTTCAGGCACGGTTTGTCGGCGGTTTAGGGTTTAGGGTTTAGGGGTTTAGGGTTTAGGGTTTAGGGGCTTTTGAGAAGAGAACACCTACCCAGACCCCCCAAAGGATCTAACATTTAGATCCTTGAGTGGGGGTTCCTATACAGTACACCTAGTAGTAGTAGTAGTAGTAGTAGTAGTAGTAGTAGTAGTAGTAGTAGTAGTAGTAGTAGTAGTAGTAGTAGTAGTAGTAGTAGTAGTAGTAGTAGTAGTAGTAGTAGGAGTAGTAGTAGTAGTAGTAGGAGTAGTAGGAGTAGTAGGAGTAGTAGTAGTAGTAGTAGTAGTAGTATATGGCCCCAAATTAGGGGATGTACTTTCTAGATCCTTTAGGGGGTCTGGGTAACAGTGAACCCGATGTGCTCCAGCCCCAAGCCACTATAGGGCCTCCACATTTAGGGACCTGGGGTCAGGGGGTGGGGGGCTTCTTGGGAGCTGTGAGGAGTAGGAACAAGGGTACCCTTATCATCACAACGGGATATTGGATTCTGTAATCTAGAATCTACAGCAACTTAGACTCTACAGCCCAACCTAAATCGAACCCAAAGCCATGACACGCCCCTCAAAACCCGAAAACTTTAATCTGAAAGGCAGGGCTGTCGGTTCGGGGTTTCGGTGGCAGAGAGACGTGGTGGGAGGACCTGAAGCATTTCACAATTCCAGCTTCTAGGCCCATCTAGAGCCTTCTGACGAGAGCTGAACAGGGAGGGCTGTGAATCTGGGTTTTGCGACTCCGTATTAGACATGCAATGTAATAGGATATATTTGTTTCTCAGATCGCTGGCCATATTTGCAGGATCAGGTGCTTTAGGATGTCGCGATCGCGTACAGCTCTTCTTCATGTTGCACCTGTTCGCGGCCTACCTTGAGCCCTACCTGTAGGCTCATACCGTACTGGGGTATCTATTTTTCTATACAACCGATCCTAACCATAAAACTAGGTATCCGAAGAAACGGGTAGGGTATGAGCGTCTAGGTACACCCTCAAACCTCGCACCAAAGCGCGGAACCCAAAGACCTGAGCCCTTGAATCCCACATCTCTCGTGGGTCGTTGAGCTTCCAGCTAGCATATGGGCTGGCCCTCCATTGCCTACTCATGAAATACTGCTCCTATTTCCTGGCTAGGGGGCTCTGTTTGATCATTGTACCGGTAATCGCTCCATGTTATTTGCCTATGTGGACACCCCGCCCAACACTTGCTTACTAAAGCCTACTGGAAGCCAACACGATAAGCAACCCTTCAGATGGTTTCGAAGGACGATTACTTCGAGCTCAACACCATGAATCCCGTCCTCCAGGAGCTGTACACCAACCTATTGAAGTGGCTGGGGCCAGCTACAGTTTTCTTAAATATTAAGTCTCATAGGGATGAACAAGGACTGAAGTGAATGATCGTATGAGTGACCGCTAGGAATAAGGATAAAGCAATCGTGGATTAGGTCGCGATTTAGAGGTTTGGGTTGAGATATATTGCTCGGGGAGTCTGCTGCAAGGGGTTGGAGGGGTTTAGCATTTAGGGGATCGAAGTATTGAATGTGTAGGACGGCTTGTAGAGTGCAGGGTCTAGTGCATGCTTTTGTGGTGATTCGGTGTGTGTCGGGGTTCAGGGTTCCCAACGTGGGTGAGGCTTGCCCTTCGGAGTGCATGGACATGAGAGTACTGTCTATGACCAGCGTGTTTCCTTTTGGATTGGACATAGGGTTATTCAAGTAAGGTTTAGCCAGGGTAATAGGACAGTGGGCGCCAGCTTGAACTGCTTTTCCGGGTCTGTCACCTTGAACCCGAAAAGCCCCGGACTCTTCAACCCTAAGCTAAACCCTGAACCCTGCAGCTCACGCGTGTCTGCCATGTCGAGAAAGTAGGCCCAAGGGTCCACCAAGGGCGAAACCCGGAACCCCAAACCCTGAGCCCAACCGTCCCCCAAACCCCCGAAAAACCACCAAACGCTTTTCATCGTCCAAACAACTACAGATCTAGACTACGAACACGACTGCGAAATCTTCACTACGAGGGCTGGGAGTGGGAGCAAGCGCTACCTTGCGTTTCTCCGGCTGTCGTACCCCAACACCTGAACTCCTCAAGCCCAAGCCGCCCCTCAATCCTAATTTAGACTGTACCCTAAGGGTCCATGTACCCATATAGAGATACTTTGGGCCCAATGTACCTATATAGGGACTACATTAAGGCCAATGTATATACTATATGACTACATGGACCTTTAGGGGTATAGTGGCTCCAGGTATTGGATTGCCGAACTGGACATCGACGGCTACCGCATCACTGCAGCCTCGCACATCACCGCAGATTTCTCGGCGGCTTGGCCCCAAAGAGAGGTTGAGGAATTCGGGTTTAGGTTTAGATCTAGGGCTGAGGGTTTAGAGTTTCTTCCGCCTAGGCGTCAGTGAAGTTCAGAAACGTCTTCAAGGGTGTCAGTGTATAAGCCCGAAAACTCTTCGCAGACCCGGAGTCAGGAAGTTCGAACGTCACTGCTTCGGGCTCCTTGTTAGAACCGCAATTTAACATGCCCCACAGCCCCATTCTGATTACTAAGGGCAGAATATCGCTACATACCGCAATATAACTTACCATAAACTGGAATCGGCAACCCGCTGGCCTTCACAACCAAAGCTTGCCTAGTATGGGGCTCGGTAAAATTAGGAATGAGATTACCTCCTCAGTATACCATCCCACCCGAGCTTTATTCCGATTATTAATGTCACGTTTTTGTTCTTAAACAGCCGGAGGCGTACCTGTCCACGCACCTCCGGTTCTACGCCCATGCCCTCGGAAAGGAGAACTTCTTCGTGGTGGGAGAAGTCAATCAGGTGCCAAGTTGGTTTTGGGGTTTTTAGGATTTATGATGTTTCTATAGGCTATTTTGTTCATAAAAAACCCAAGGGAATATTAAAGATGTTTGTTTTTATTATGGTTCTAAGGATGGTATGGTTTATGTTGATAAAGGGTCCTTCAGGACACCCTCCAAACCCTGAAGCCTACAACTTCCAAGCATCATAAACCCCACGAGCCCCGTAAGCCCTAAACCTTCGCAATATGCAGCAGCTGCGAAGGACTATCCGATATTCCCACCAGCTGTAAGGTAGGGGCCTAAATAATTACAAGTACTATTTTTCTGGGTTCCTTGTTATAACTGTAGTATAATGACCCCCCAAACCCTATTCGGATTATTAAGGCCGCTATATTAGTTGGATCTAGGACTGAGATCTTGGATGACAATATTCGGGTTTTGAGCAGATCCCTGCCAAAGTCTCGCACCTTGCAAGAGTACCCAAGAATCATAAACACTCGCCGATCAAGGTCTAGACAGAGTCATGGGCACGTCGTAGTCCTCCAAAAAACGAACAGCCAAAGGCGCCACTATATTTCGAACACCCTGACTTCCCCAAAGCCTGAAGACAAAAAGGGTGTAAGATTCATGCTGCCAGGACTCTTTAGCTCGTTCCTAATTGGTCGTCAATGCAAGGCTTAACCGTCAACGAGCTTGGAGCACAGCCCCCGTATTTGTTTAAGCGATGTGTCTTGATTGTTAGCGTTACTTTGAGGACCATAGGACTTAGTATATAGGGTTATAAGTAAGGTAACTATAGTTATATCTACTTATACCCCCCCCCAAAAAAAAAATAAGGTACTTATAACCCTGCTTACTGAGTCCCATGATCCTCCAAGTAGGGTTGGGGTTTAGGGTTAGGGTTGCCATGCTTCTTGTTTGTAAGTGTTCCGTGCGAACGAAGCCTTGATAACTTGAGCCCTCAAGGCCACCACTCCTCACGGCGAAAACTACATCGGAAGAGCGGCCTTGCCTTCAAACTGTGGGACATGGGTTTTACAGCTTCCTCGCAGCTTTCCACATGATTCGAGTTCTGTCATTCTGGTTGGGGCTAGGTTAGGGTTAGATCACCCTTTTTCTGCCGGAGATGCAGAGGCCCTTTATGGATGGGTTTGCCTTGAGGGTCCGGCTCAGGGTTTCATTTTAGCAGGTTGTTTTTGCAAGCGACCTATACCTCAAGGGTCCATGTACTCATATAGTATATACATTGGCCTTAATGTAGTCCCTATATAGGTACATTGGGCCCAAAGTATCTCTATATGGGTACATGGACCCTTAGGGATACTCTTCAAGTAAGTGTCATCTAGTCTGCTTTCTGGTGGAGTCGTCGATTCAGTTTGGCAGTCCATGGTTTCACCATGTACTCGGCCCTAGCCCTATGATATGAGAGTTCCCAAAAATAGGGGACCCTAACATGGTACCCTAAATAGTAGAATCCTATTATAAGGACCCCCCCCAAATAAGCTACCCCTAATTCTCGGAAACTCCTATATCCTAGACCCTGAGCCGAGGTGGTCACTTGAGGTCCCCCCAAAAAAATAAAAATAAAAAAAGACCATAACCAGAAAGCAGACTAGATGACACTTACGTACCTGCGTGGTTGTCAAAATTAGGGTTCCTTTTTCGGTATCCTAAAAATTAGGTGCCGTATTATACCCCCCTTCAGCAACCGGGCCATCCCTGGGACATCTTCAGGTCCAAGGGGGTGCCGGACCAACGACACTACCTCAGAAGGCGCGTTAGCAGATTGGTGTGTTTAGAGGGAGGGGGAGAGAGAGAGAGAGAGAGAGAGAGAGAGAGAGAGAGATGTTTGTATGTATGGATATATATATATGTATATATGTACATGTATATAGATGGGAAGAATGAAGGGTTCTTGGAGGGTTCTCGGGTAGGGGCAGGTTGGTGGGTTAATGAAAAGCGTGTTCTTAAGGGTCCCATAATCCAAGGGAAAAAGGAGGGACACTTAATAAGGACCCCTAGGTATATACCCTTGATATAGCCATTATATACCCATTATAGAGCCCATTATAAGGTAGGGGTCCCCATTAAGGGTCCCTCCTTTTCCCCATTGAAAACCGTGTTCTTAAGGGTCCCATAAGCGAGTTTAAGCCGAACCAGAAGACTTGAACAACGTTCTAGCGGTACCTGTTATCTAGTTGGCAATTTGGGAAACTTTTTAATTTCCATTATGGTGCCTATAGAGGTACCTATTCATAAATACTTTTTCAGAGCCCCAAAACTACAACCCAGTTATGTCGGTTACCTTAAGGGTCCATGTGCCCATATAGAGATACTTTGGGCCCCATGTACCCATATAGGGACTACATAATTAAGGCCAATGTATATACTATATGAGTACATGGACCCTTAGGGTAATGTGTCGTTCAACGAGCATTGAGATTTTGGGTTGAGGGAGAAATCTCGTTTGGCTGAGGAGAACCGGCATGTCTTTGGGGAAGGGTGTTGGCTTTAGGGGATTTGTTTGAGGCATGCCAGAGTTTAATGATGTATGGTCCTGTATAGCGGAAAATCCGCCAGGCTTGCGTAGGCGATTGCATAGACTATGATGAAGCAGCGCGAACAACCAACAACAAAACACTGCTCTTGGCTTGCGGCCAGAGGGCGTTGGGAACGATTGGCGTCCGGGCTTGGGGGTGTAATTAGGGACGGGTGATTCGAAGGGGTTTGGGTTGAAGAAGAAGGGTTTCGTTCTTTTAGAAAGGTTCTTGGGTGCAGGGATCATCTGGAAACAGAACTTAGGAGGTTGTTTTTGGTGCACTGGGCTTGTCGTTGGAAGGTTCTAACCTTAAGCCCCGCAGCCCCTAAAGTCAGAACCAAAGATTGTCAGCCCAAGACCCGTCAGCCCTGAGCTACTAAACCGAGCCCGAACCCAAAACTCTAAGCACCTAAACCCCGAACCCCGAAACGGTTTACGGCTGAGGGAATTAGGGTTTAAGTTAAAGCCTCAGAAAGCCTCAGACTCAAAACACTCAACCGTAAAACTGTAATCCCCCCAAACCCTACAGTCCTAGACACTCAGCCTGTTAAGGTCAGCCCATTATAGTAGCCTCTAAACCCTAAGCCCTCATAGTGCCCTTATAGATCCCTTTTAAAGGTACCCTCATTGTAAACGGGCTTCTCAAGGCCCCTAAAGGGAACTCCAGAAAGTTGGAATATGGATTAATGGTAGGATCCCCTATAATTTACCTTAAAGGGGTTACGATAATGATATTCCAACTTTCTGGCTTCTACTCTAGAGTCTGTAGAGTATCTTGCGGCCAGGTCCAGGGGACCCTGGAGGAACTCTGCCAGTCCTTCAGCTGCAAAGAGAGGCATTGAGGTTGCTGCAATTGTACTATAGGGTCCTAAAAACTTTACCGCAATAGTGAGAATAGGGCTCCTTTCAAGGATTCCTTTAAAAGGGGTTGCCGCATCCTACTTTCGGAGCCTTTGTCAACGTTGGTTTAGTCATTAGGATAGGCGTTTTTGTTGGAGGGGGGTATTCTCAGAGTAGCTGCATAAGTCGGAACCTTAAAGGAATAGTATATTCGGGATGAGGGTTCAGTGTTTAGTGTGTAGCAGTGTAGCGTACTCGGTTAGGGTTCAGCTTTTTGAAGGTGTGTCTTGTATTACTGATTCAGGCGAAGAGGAAGGCCGTCATAAGGGATATATTGCGATAGATGAAAGTGCTTCAGGGGTTTGGAGTTCGGCCCTGGGGTGTTTGAACCTAAGCTGGCTAACTCCTCGGTTCATCATTGAACATGCTCGCGCCATGGCTTCAAAACATCTTCACAGTACTTCCTGCTTTGAGGCAGATCACATCTCGTCCGGGACTCGATACCCCACACTCTACACACGGATCCATATACCCGTACAGTACAAACTTCGGCCTGAACGTAGTCCCTATTTAAAGTGTATGCTATAAAGGAGGCCTTTCCGGAACCACTGTAGATGCCCTCAAGGTAACTAACCCTTAAAGGAACCCCTATGCATCCCGTAAAGGAAGCCTAAAAGGAGGCCTTCAAGGTACCCTTATGGGCACATGAGCCGCTGAGGGTCGGTCCGGCACTTACCCTGGTTCAGAGATAGGCCAGAAGCCTTCATCTTAATATAGGAGCCCCTGCACCCAAAGCCCTACGACCTCGAAACTACTGCACCCTAAAGCCTAGTAGTAGTCAGGTAACCTTTAACCTGTTTTGGGTAATATAGTCCCTATATAATCCCTATAACCAAAATAGTCAACCTTGAGTTCCCCATGATACCCGACAAGTAGGCAAGCGAAGCCTACTGATCCGGAAATCTTGTTCTCTGAACGACGAGACGCTTCGTAAACCCTGCGAAACCAGTGTCTTAAGCAAAATGCAGCCACAATTCTGCCAACGTACACCGTAAAAGCTGCACCCTTCACCCGGAACCTCCAGAACTCTCTTTCAGGGACTTGTGAGGCAGACGGGAAAGGTGCTCAACCAACAAACCTCCACTTGGAGGTTCATGGGTAGTTATAAGTGGGCTTATACGGCCCCTGGTATGGATTATAAGTATAGTTCCCGTACTTAGAACCCTACTTATAACTACCCATGAACCTCCAAGTAAGCTCTAAAGCCTCTGCCCTTATAGAATGCCTATAGATCGCTTTAAAGGGACCCTTAAAGGAACCCTTGTAACTACCCATGAACCTCCAAGCAGACCTCTTCAGCCAAGGTACTACAGCGCGCTGCCCTCTCAGGAACCGGGTTTCCTCTCCACGTATCCACTGCAGGACCCTGGGCTGCCATCAGGGACTAAATTCCTAAACAGGGGTTTAGGGTTTCAGGGTTAGCGGTTTCCGGGTTCAAGGGTTTTAGGGTTCAAAGTTTAGAGTTTTGAGTTTGGGGATTTCGGATTTAACATTTAGGGTTTAGGGGTTTGGGGGTTAGGGGTTTAGGGTTTTGGGGTTTAGGTAGGGGTTTAGGGGGTTTCTACGTGTAGTCTCCATTGTAGTTCCGTTTTGGGGTTAACTTATAGTACGATTATAAGAGCGGTTAACCCAAAAAACGAACTACAAAACTACAATGAGACTGTAGGCAAACGGCGGTTTAGGTTTTAGGGTTCAGTACACTCAGGAAAATGAGTCGTTTGATGGTCATCGGTTTCGGTGCATTGCATATTTTAAGTTCGGGGGTTGAGTTCCGGCGCAGAACGATCTTTCTTCGATTCAGGAATGCCAAAATGGATCCTGCAGACAATAAACTGGATTTGGTAGATGTGGTGAACTACGAGGTGATGAAGTCGTATGTGCCGGCACTCCTCAATGGAGTGGAGTTGCCAAATCCCTATCTCATTTATGCCAAGCAGCATCATGTTCGGGCCCATACTTGAGAGAACCATGTTTCATTCATGAGATTTTTGGTGGGGCAGCCGTGCTGTACACTTCGTGCATATACGGCTTCTGGGCCGGAAAGCTATGCGCAGCAAAAGGGCAACAAGGGTAAGATGAAGGACTGGAGCCAGCTTCAAGGCACCAGACTGCGTTGGTTGGCCTCCTACCTTTGGCAAGGACACCGGAGGGCCGACCAAAGAGAGAGAAGGACGACTGGTGCTGGGATTGCCTGGAGTTCTCCTTGGTATTCGGATACTACGGTACCCGACTTCTCGGTAATGTCTACAAGTCCTGCAAGGAGGAATACTGCCTGAAGTACTGCAGGAACCTAAGCCCTTCAAGATACGATTCCGCCCTTTGCATGATCCAGTGAAGTATTGCAAGAAGACCTTCTCTACTACCCTAAACCTTGTAAGTACCCTATACTCCCTAAATCCACACGCTTAAAGCAATCTCACACCGGTTCACGTATCTTAAACTAAACCTTATTCCGCAATGTTTGGATGGTGGAAGACTCCCTACCGTCTACTGACCTTTGGCGTCCACACACCTACATTAATATCAATCACATACTCTCCTTCAATATAACCTAGACGAAAACCCAGATAGATATCCTTGCATTACGTACTTTGGACCCTTGTGGGTTTTTTTGCAGCTCATCAGCTTAGACCCCCAATACCTAACCTTTAAACTTTTGGGGTTATAATAGTTTAGTAGGAATCGGAAAGTGTAAGCTTTCATGTTTGATTCTTATTGGGGTAAGTCAGGAGATCTACCAGCTTAAACCCTAAACCCCAAAGGAGATCTACCAGCTTCGTGACACTTGTCTGGGCAATGGCTGGAATGCTCCCTGGCGCTGTAGAGTTGCCGCGTTGAGGGTTTTCGCCTTAGGCATCAGGGTTGAGGTTGTGAGTTTCAGGGTGTAGGGTTTGGGTTTAGGGTCTAGGGGTTTAGGGTCTATAGGGTTATGGGGCTGGTTAGGGTTGGGGAATTTTGCGGGCTGTGGGCTTGGTGATGCGCTGATGTGGGAAGAAGTGCTGTTAGTCTTGTTTTTGCTCGGTCCCCAAGGCAGCCCAAGCTACTACAGGGGCCCAAATAGTTACCTCTACTACGGTTGATGATATAAATCCTGCATTACCTTAAGGGCCCTAAACTATGGGAATTATGGTATATTCCTTATTATGAGTAATGCAGGATTTATATCATCAACAGTATTTCGGTGGTTCTTTATGATAGTAGTACTGCAACAGGCAGGCTCCTCCATTAGTTCTTTCAAGGGATTCCGAGGTCATTTAAAGCACCCAAAAAGAGATGGCCTGTCCCTAGGGCTCCAGTTACCCAAATGGTAGGGTTTAGGGTTTAGGGTATAAAAAAATGGTTAACAACCTTGTATTTAGGTAACTGGATCCCGAGGGTGTCTTAAGAAGGTTAGATGTCGCCTCAACCCCTCAATCCCACACCCACTCCACACATGGTTACCCCGAGAAGTATGGCCAGCTTTTCAGACATGCTAGACAATGATCCGATCTGGTGGCAGCAGCTGGACTATTCGCGATACTCAGCCGGGAATGCGCGGAAGCTTGCATCTTCTGGACAAGGATCGGGTGCCCTTGCCACATCGACTTTGTTGCCAAGTCTTGCAGAGGGAAGCCCGCAATCTTACGAGCGACCTCCCGCAGCGCGAGGAGGAAAAGGAAATGGCGAACCTGTCCGAGAAGATTCTAGTAGTGCTTGGGGTATGGTTGAGCCCAGCGCTTCCAGTCGCAAAACCCCAAACCCCCCAAACCTCACCCAAGCCTTATAAGCCTTGAAGCAGACAGTTCCATCCGAATTCTTGATCTGCGTATCTGCAAAGTTGACGGCGTGATGCCTAAACCCGTAACCCCCGCAACCCCGAAGCATAAACCCCATACCCTGAAATGTACCGCCCCTCACGCACATTCAGATGGACCCTGAAAATTTTCGGAGCTTTATCATCGCAGACTAGTAGCAGCCTGTGTCGTACGACACCCATAGGAGCCTGAATAACTAGTGAAAGTACTCCTTGGGGTATCCTCAGACAAATTTTACATGGAAGCCCCCAATACCCCATTCCACTTGTTGAGTCCCCTGGTATATTCAAAAATCCCATCATCACCCGTCAAAAAAAACAGCACATCAACAAAGACAACTGCCCCACGGCTCTCAACACGCTCATACTACACAGTAAAACGCCTGATCATGCACAAAACCCCTTAAACCCCAAAACCCTTAAACCTGGCATCCCAAACCCTCTTAACCCCCTAAACCCTCAAAGCTTGAATCCCAAACCCCCCCAGACCCCTAAACCTTAAACCCTAGCCCCTCCTTTTCCGGCCCCCTTTAGAAACCCCTAAACCTTAAACCCTATAAACCTTAAACCCTCAACTTTCTTCCAAAACCCTCCCTTCCAGGCCATGGACCTCTACCAGCAGCCCGGGGCTGCGCGCGCCGTGAAGAAAGCTCGGGGAGTGCTCGAGGTCGGACCATTCTATGGGTTTGAGGCTTTTTGGGCTTTAGGGTTTTAGGGTTTGGTAAGAGTTTTAGGGTTTGGTAAGGGTTTTCAGGGTTTTAGGGGTTTAGAGGGTATTGCGACCTTCCATGGAAGCCTGAATAGTCAGCAATATCATTCTATGTGCTAAGGGCTTCTGTTTAGGAGTTTAGAGAGTATTTGTGCCTTACATAGAAGCCTGAATTATCACCGATATTATTCCTATAGGGCCCTTGATTATGTTCATGGTACGATGGGTTCAGGGTCGAGGGTATTGGGGCTTTCGCTTCGGAGGTTCGGGTGTATGGTCTGGCGTGTTTAGATTTCAGGGTTGAGTTCGTAGTGTCTGCGGTGTAGTTTCTAATTGGGTGTAGGGGTTTAGGGCTCTAATTAGCGGTTCTATGAGTTTTGGGGCCTTGAAAGCGCTGAGGAGGGTTGCAATGCGCCGATAGCCTGACCCTCAACACCTTGAGCCCTGAACGCTCAGCCCTACACCCGGCTCTAAATATTCTTTCACATCAGATCAAATTATGCTATGCTTCTCTGCTACATTATATTGCATGTTTATTCCTAGACCCCCCAAAAAAGGTAGAATAATGGCCCAAACCCTATAAAAGGCCATTATTCTACATGCCCGAGCAGGCGAGGTTGCAAGTGTACCTAGACCAATGCCGTAATATGTTAGGGAATGTATCTTAAATCACATTAGGGATCCTACTATACTTTAGGGTCTATTATATCTTCCGTAACTTATGCATTGTATAAATTACGGAATATACCCTAAAGTATAGTAGGATTCCAAATGTGATTTAAGATACATTCCTTAATTAAGGGGTTTTGGAAGGTCTGCGTAGGTGTGAAGGTTATAGCGTCTCGTTTACGGTTTGGTCGGGTTTCATGTGGAGGAGGTACCGGCCAGAATTAACAGAAAGGAATGGCTGGTTTAGGGTTTAGAGGTGTCGGGTTTGGGGTTCAGGATTTCGGGTTTAAACTCTCTCTAAACCGTATCATCCCCAAAATCAAAACTCCGATTCTGATTGGGGTTACTACTACATCCTACTGGTACCAATCGAGGACAGCTTCTGAGCCCTGAAACCCTACTTAGAGGATCATGGGACTTAGTAAGTGGTTATAATTGGGGGGGGGGGACTAAGTCCAATGAGCCTTCAAGTAGGTTAACCCAGAATGGCATCAGGCCCAGGGCAACATGCGGCTCTCCATGGCCGGTGTCGAGCCGCCTGGCCGTTTCGTTAAGTTGCAAGTACACTTATAGGCAGGGAATTCTCGGAGTTTTGGAAACATGGGACCGAAAATGCAAGTAGTAGTATCCTCATTTTAAAGACACCTGGTGAAGAATGTACGTTTTTCGGAAAGCCCCATCTTCGCATCACGAAGTGCTGGTATCGCATGCCTCGCGAACAACTGTGGACAGAAGCAGCAAGTCATGGCCCCCATGGTGATGTTCATTGGTATGCTGTGAAGATGCTGGTGGCGGTGAGGATGATGCCGAGTGCTGAGAATTGGTCGACCAGTGAGCGTCTTGAACAACTTGTGAATGTGAATGTGATGATGATGATAATAATAATACTAATAATAATCATGATAATAATAATAACAATAATAATGATAGTAATACTGGCTTACGACAAGGATGACCACGAAGAAGATGATGATGAGGAGGAGGAGATGCTGGTAATTCTGATGTTGACGGTGCCACGCATGAAGTTCATGATGGACGATGGTGATCATGATTAGGTGGACGGGGCAGATTGAGACATAGGCTTATCAGGATGATTACTATGAAGATGTTGCTGCTGATAATGGTGAAAGTGCTGCTGATGATGACTTCGACGACGATGATGATGGTGATGTTGGTGTTGATGAAGAGGAACAACAAGATTATGAATAATAAGCTGATGGTGACGGTGTTGTTGACTGGGTTTCTTCTGTTAATGCTGTTGCGATAGCGATGCTAATGAGCAGGGTAGTGCAAAGATAGCATCAAAGTCGCCGTCCCCGCTGTCGGATTTGCATCCCAGGCTGTTAGACAGCACTTGTATCACAGTCATGGTTGCCACCGTTCGTATCATCGACACCACCATCCTCATCAACAGCGCCATCAACCATGAGTCCCAACTCAACGTTGTGACGCTCGTGAGCACCAATGTCATCACGATCAACCAAACATGCGCGATCCCCGAATCAACCACTCTCGCCATCGCTAAACCCTACATCCTAAAACCCAAAACCCTGTAAAAAGGAAAACTAAACCCTGAACCCTACTCTAAACCCTACACCCCAAACCCTAAATTAGTCCTATAGATTTAAACCCCTACCCTAATTAATCCTAAACCCTAAAACCCCAAACCCTAATTAATCCTAAACCCTAAAACCCCAAACCGTAATTAATCCTAAACCCTAAAAACCCCAAACCCTAACTCAGGGGTAAACTTAGGCAGGGATGCGCGTATGGCCGGGATAGCCGTACCCCAGGGGCCTTTTTCCATGGTGCACCACACCTGGGCATTTTGAAGTTCAGGCCACCCCCATAATACATAACAATCCCCACGCGTACTTTATCCATCCATCGGGAGTTGACTACCTTACACCTGCGGCTTGAAATATCTACGGTGCAAAGAGATCCGACATGTCCAAGAACAGGGTGGACGGTGTCGAAATTGATACTGATTGCATGCAGGGAGCAGGGTCTTTCAAGAACTAAAGACAAGGGCATTACTGTTACGGGAATAGCAGATGTCTTGTTTCCTGGAGTTGTGGATGAATCTTGTTTACGTTTTTCGAGACAACAATTCGTCGGCCCAACCCCCAGAAAACACACAAGCCCTTGAAGCCCTGCTTTCGACTCGTCGGACACCACGTTGTGCTCCTGACGGACACCAAGGAGACCTTGCTGGAGCAGGTGCCTTCCCCCGCGGCTTTGCACACTTTGCTCATGGCTTTGCGTTTCTCATGTCGTTTGGACATGCATTCGTGGTTGAAGCACTGGCACATGGAGAAGGGTATCGCCGATTGCTGCACATGTGGATCAGACGGAGGATCTTGAGCATTTCACATCCTCACAGACACAGGGCCATTTGGGCAGCAACATCGCAAGCAGCCACAAGCAAACACAGACTTAGAGATCTTCACATCACTCAACAGGCAGCCTGGGAGGCCGCAGCATCAGGTAGGACACCAGTGGATGTATCTACACAGGTTGGGAGCTAGGGACAGCCCGTGTATTTTCGACTCGCTGGTCGTGTCGTTCACTCGCTGTTCCACCCGCCGTCGTGGCAGAGCCAGCCGTCTGTCCGTGCTCCCGGGAGTTCGTGCCTGAGGGCCAGAACCAGAACGTACCATGAGACGCCGGACGGTAAAAAGCAAAACGACGGTCTGATCGTCGCTACGGAGCGGACGTGAGGACGTGAACTACTCCGACGGGCGCAGTAGCTTGCCAAAGCAACAAACATTGAATCGCATTTGCACGCATCATTGCCGTATTTTGTCAACACATTGTCACAGCTTTTGTGATATTTAAAGTAACAGGGACAACGACGTCGTTCCAGGCCACTCGGGGATCATCCAGGACTTTTTGCACTAAGTCTTGAAGGACGATAACTTCACTTTTCTCGCGTTGGACGTTCGAAACCTCAATCTTAAAGGCCGGACTACGATGCAAGTGCCCGGAAGGGTTTCTCACCTGCAGTTCATGAGTCGTTGCATGTTGCTGCTCATGTCAGTACTTGTAACACTTTGAATGATTCAGCCGGATTTTTTTGATATGCGAGGCAACCCGGCAGTCAACTACAGCATGCTGAGGTATTTCAGGGTCGCGCAGAAGGGCATGTGGCAGGCGCTGATCTTACTCATTGGACTCGTCTTGACCTGGTTCGACAAACCAATAGCTCGTTCTGCTTTGCACTGAGACTGTGCTGCACATTTCGGGTCGTCGTAGGTGTGAGGTGGTTGGGTTGTTTTTTTTGAAGTTGTTCCCATTGGCTGGTCACTTCAGAAAACTCAGGCGCGAAGGGCAAGCTCCGAGCTTGGCTTAACATCATGGTGTACAATCACACGAAGGACAAGATCTGGAATTGCCCGCCGCAGGCGGGACTCTATTTTGGTTTAAAGACCCAGCTGGGTTTGTGAGGTCCAGCAGCCCAGGAGGTACGCCTAGCCCTGACGGTTTCGGGGCCGAAAACCAGCGCGCGCCAGAGGGAATTCCAGCACGCGTTGAGGTACGCCTATCCCCGCCGCACGCGTATCCCCGCCTCTGTTTGGTTTGCTGGGAGTCCTTCCTATTTAAATAAACCCTGGGGTACGCGCATCCCCGCCTCTGTCCGGTTTTGGGAAGATGGCCTGGAAAAGCTCCTGCCCGCCTTCTACTGTTAATCAAACCAGGCAAGGTACGCCCAGCCTTGCCTAAGTTGCCCCGGCACCCTTGGGGGCCAGTTTTGCGCAGTTTTGGCAATTTTTGGCCCCTTTCCCGGCCGAGGAGGTACGCCTATCCCCGCCTTGTTTTTGGAGGCCTTGGAACCATGGCTTAGGACACAACAACGAACACTCCCCACTGATTAGCAGAATCTGCGGGATTTCCCCCACAGCAGTGATAACTCGAAACACCTAACCAAGACATGTCTGTGACAGATCCAAGACCACTCGTCGTATTTGAAACCGGAAGAATGGACAAAGTTGTGGACTAGCGCATCCAACTCCTTTCTGGGCTGTGCGAAAACTCGTGGTTCTGGCGTTGCAGATGAGGCTTATTCGGGGATCATCGCAGGACTTTTTGCACTACGTCTTGAAGGACGATAACTTCACCTTTCTCACGCTGGACGTTCGAAACCTCGGACTTCGAAATCTGGACTAGCCTTTTCCTGTGCTCTGTCCTTGTTATGCGCTTGGCCTCTTCTTGGAGTGGTACGTCTGTAAAAACATCATGCGCTGGGTTTAGAGAATCCTAGCAGCCCTGAGTGACTATGTCGACGTTAACTGTTGAAAGATCTGCATTGCATTTGTATTCGACAACATGTTGCATGTTGTGCCTGGGTGTTACTGAGAGTTTTGCCGCTCGCAAAAGCTTTGCATTAATACATCCTCACTGCAATCTGGCTTTTCTGACCACTGTGGCATGCTATTGTATGCTGCACATGGTTTGCTTTGTGTTTCACTAGCAATCCACTTGTTGATCATGTTCAAGTCGGTCTGCAGTAGCTCTGCATTTTAAGAAATTTAGTTTGCAAAACATTGGTTTGCGCTTGAAATGCGCTTGGTCTGCGCCTTAACTGTGGTCACTGAAACATTGGTCTGCGCTTGATCCGCGCTTGGTCTGCGCTTGCTGTCCCTGGTCTAGGCCAGTAGCCCTGACTGCATGTAAATTGCATTAGGTATGCTTGAAGTATGCACTTCATATACTCTTTGTTTGTATGGTGTATTCATGTGCGGTCTTCTTAGTTGTTTGTATCAATAGCCTTAACTGCATTTCACTACTTTTTGTACTGATTAGCAATGCAGACAATGCAGCTGGTGTGGTATGGTGCCAGTTTCATGGTCGTTTCTCGCTTTGCAACCAAGCACTGGCAGGCTGCAAGCACAACACGCCATTGGCAGCTCGGGGTTGCACTCCGGCTTGAAAGCATATGGGGCATTGAGGCCAGCTCGCAACGAGCCCGGAAAAAATGCCATCAGGCAGAACGATGAGCTATAGTTTGGTCACTGGAACCCCTGCTTATTTGAAAGCACAGGGTCCTATCTCACAGAAGAGTGCCCTCCCCATGACTATGGCCCTTTGCCGATAGACCGGGGTACAGCATCGTGCAGATGGGAGGACTTTCTGTTTTGTTGCCGCACCCGACGGACGTCACATCCACAAATCCATCCGGAGAGTTTTTCCCAGACACACACGTTGGACCATGGCATGGTGTTCGTGATGTTGCAGCCTGTATTCAAAGAGTTGATTTAAAGATGCGGACACCGCAAGCACCGTCTGATCTTTGGGATTCAAAATTCAGCACTTACAAGAGATGATACACGCCTCAAGGACTACGCCCTGCACCACGAGATTTGTTTACCTTGGCATTCTTAAGTTTCGCCCCCATGTGGCAATACATGCTGCCAAAATGATGCCAGACAGCCCTCAGAATCGACCCTCGCCCAACTTGAGGCCCCAAGAGACACAGGGGCACGGCTATCCCTGCAGTACGCGGTTCCCCGCCTATGGTGGCCCCCAAAAATAATCCTAGACCCTAAAACCCCAAACCCTAACTAATCCTAAACCCTAAAACTCCAAACCCTCAATTAATCCTAAAACTTACTTAAACCCCAAACCCGAATTAATCCTAAACCCTAAAACCCAAAACCTTGTAAACAGGAAAACTAAACCCTGAACCCTACTCTAAACCCTAAAACCCCAAACCCTCAAACGCTCTTAGCCTCTCCTAGGTCTCAGAGCTTCCGGAAGCTTCTGTCATACGGACAGGCCTCTACCAGGGTTTAGGGTTTACGCGTTTAGGGGTTAGGAGTTTAAGGCTTCGGGTTTAGGAGTTTAGGGTGTAGGAGTTAGGAGTTATGGGTTGAGGAGTTTAGGGTTTAGGTTTTATGCTGAAGAGCTATCTACAGGATTCATACTTCAGGGCTTAGGGGGATAATTAGGGTTGAGGGCTCATGGGTCTTAAAACCGCAAGGCCCTGAACTTTGCCAAAGACAAGCAGCAGAAAGAATGTTTGAGCAGTAGAAAAGAACGCCCACACACCTTCAGAGACACTAGAAGGAGCCCTTAGAGGCCAGACAATCTCAGGGCACCTGAGAGGATTGGGATGCATTACGGGCACCTGAAGCCTACAGCAGAAGCCAGAAAGTTGGAACATGGGTTTAGAAAGATAAGTGCTAGGATCCCTTCTAGTTTACTTTAGGGGCATGAGGATACTAATGTTCCAACTTTCTGGCTTCTACCATAAAGGGTTGGGTTTAGGGTTTAGGGTGCGTAAACCCTACAACCCTGAACCGGAAACACCATGGCAAGCCCCGATCTCATAATAAGAGGCCCAAAAGGGTTTTAGCCTATGGGGGCTTAGTAGGGATTAGGGTTCCCATAAGAGGGTTGATATTTAGGAATCCCTACCCCAAGAATCGTAAACCCCCCTTTTGGCCTCCCATGAAATCCGTCTACCACCTCAGGGCGATGAGCTTTGGCGCCTTCTCGTAGCGACAGGCAGACATCGGGCTGTGTAGGGTTTACTTGGAGGTTCATGGGTAGTTATAAGTGGGGTTAAGTAGGGTAACTATAGTTACAACTCCTATTAGGGGACTTATAACCCTACTTATAACTACCGATGAACCTACAAGTAGGGCTTGGGCTCTAGGTTTAGGGGGGACAGGGTTTGTAGCAGGATCTAGGGTATGGAATTTACAGGGTTTGCTTTGGTCCGCTTGTTGTGTTATTGCATTGAAGCTTGCGGTTTAGGGATGTCGCTGTTGACTTGTCGTGATTTGTCGCAAGACCTTCACTTCAGGGTATACTCTAAGATGATGTAGAGGCATGACTACTGAGGACCAAGATCCCAGTCTAAATACAAGTACTATGGGGGCCCAATTATGAATAATTACCAACACTATTTTGGAGGTTCTTTACTATGAACATATGTAGTATAGTGGGCCCCGAAACCCTATTTTAATTATTAAGGCTTAATTGAGGCCCTATATACTATACCATTCAACACCATTACACATGCAGGTTTCATGGAACCCGGGCTCATCACGAATGATTGTATTTTGATGCTCACTGATATCATGGAGATGCATTCTGGTGGCTCCCGAAACCCTACACCCTCAACCTTAAGAACCTAAACCGTGGACCCTAAACCCGACACACGCACCCATTTGGGAGTGTCCGAAAATAGAGGAGCCTAAGAAAGTACCCCCAAATAGTAGGGTCCTTGTTATAAGGACCCCAAAATGAGGTACCCCTAATTTTCGGAAACTCCCATTTATTTGAAAGCCGAAGCCCTGCTGCCAGACAGGTTGGAGTTTCACATGGCCCGGCACTCAGAATAGGGGTCTAAGGCCCAGGGTGTAGGATTTAGGGTTTATATAGGACTTAGGACCAAAAATGCGTAAGCGGCATAAGGCTTATTCAGGGTTTGGGGTTCAGGATTAGCGTTCAAGGTCAGGTTTTTGGGCTTGTAGGGTTCAGGATTTAGAGTTGAGGTGTTGAGGATTTTGGGTGTAGGGTTTGGGCTAGGGTTTAGGATGTGGTTAGATGTAAGTAATTATAGGATTTAGGATGTAGGTTTTAGAGTTGGGGATTCAGGTTTCGAGAGCTTCAGGGTGTACGATATTTTGCCACAAGGACTTGCCCAACATGCTAGCAGGGATATTGTCAATCGGCATGTTGCGCACTATGGAACTAGTTCTTCTTGTCGTGATGGACAATCGAGGGTTGTAAGCCTGAAGCCCAAAGAGTAGGGCGGAGTTTAGAGTTCAGGGTTTAGGGGTTGTGGGTTTAAGGTAAAAGCCAGAAAGTTGGAATATGATTATCCTAAACCCTTTATGGTAAATTATAAGGTATCCCAACTTTCTGGAGTTCCCTTTAGGGGTTTACGGTTTCGGGTTTAGGGTTTCATTTCAGCTGCCTTTTAGTTCCGGGAGCAATGCGTGCGGCAGTAATGGTGCTTGCTGTCATACAGATGGTTCCAGTGGATCCGTTCGCGGAACCGGAATGGGAATGAAAATACAGATGGTACTAGTACCATGCCCATTTCGCTTCCCAACTATCTGTAAAGTAGTCGAAGGCAAAAGTAACAACGCCTGAGCGACAGACGATTGAGCACAGCTAGGGTCAAAAATCAGTCGTAGTGATATTGACCGGAGACGTTAAACGCAACAGCAATGGAACGAATACGACTGCTAGTGCTGCTTATCAGCGAAATCGCTGGGTGTGATCATTGACTCATATTCACATATGAGCGCACATTTGTGTAGTTGGAAACATTATTTCAGGCTGTAGTGATTTATTGTTGTAGCAGTCTACGCCAAAGCTCATTTCTAAGGCTTGCAGAAGTAATTCGATGAACGAGTGTTTGAGTACAGTCAAAGTCTGAAATCTTTCAAACACCAGGCACAATTCCCTGGCGTACCCGCGTTGCTCCATCTGGTAATCTCCGGCTGTATCGTGCCGCATGGTCTTGAGAACCAGTACAGTAAATCATATGAACCCATAGGGGGGCAAGCGGGAGGGGGTAGGGGACTATACAAATTTCCTAAAATAGACCGCCTCAGGTCCTTATGATGGGCATTAAGGCCCCCACCCCCCAAGGGTCCCTAGGAGTAAACACCGGCATCAGGTTCTGCTGTAGAGACACGACTTCGCGTGAGTTCTTCATGAGATGTGCTCAGATGAGCAGATCTCAACACCAAGCCTTAAAGTAAAAGCCAGAAAGTTGGAATATGATTATCCTAACCCTTCTATGGTAAATTATAGGGTATCCTACCATGAAACCATATTCCAACTTTCTGGAGTTCCCTGTAAGCCCTGACAAGGGATTGGCATCAAATCCGAAACCCTGACCCAATGGGTCCGATGTACTGTTATGGGGAATACTTCCCCAAATCATAATAGTAATTCCTAATATAGAAACCCTACATTCTACTATTTCGGTACTTTGGACCCTTTGGGTAAAGGAGCTAGGTAGGGCTTTGGGACATTTTGTATTTCCTCTTATTGGGCGTAAGAGGTTCGTACCCACAAATATTTGTCGAAGGCTTTAAATCGCACCTCCTAGTAAGCCCTAAACCCTAAAACCCCAAAACCCTCAGCCCCATACCCTCAACCCTAAAAAACCCTAAACCCCAAATCCTCAACCCTGAACCCCCTAAGCCCCTAAGCCAGGTATGGCATCCCCGACATCGCGAACGGGGTGGAGCAGGGACTCAATGGACTTTGCTGCTAAACCTGAAGGGGGCCAGGGTTTCAGGGCCTCTAGGACCCGGAGTAGGCCCTTATTCCCTTTTTTGGGGGTTAGGTTCCCTTAGAACACCCTTTAGACCAAAAAGGGCACCCTTTTTATTCCTAGGTTACTCTTAGGTCTAGGCCTTTAGGGCTTTAGGGCCATTACTCGAAGGCTCATTGGACTTAGTAAATAAGGTTATGAGTAGGTTCTAATTAGGATAACCCCACTTACGGGACTTATAACCCCAATTATAACCTACTTACTAAGTCCCATGATCCTCTAAGTAGGGTTTCGGTCCTGTGAGGGTTTATTAGGGCCTTTACTATAGCCTCCTTAGGAATGATTCTTTGTTTTTGTTCATACAAAACCCAAGAGAATAGTAAGAATACTATATGTTGATATTTATAGTGCGGTTCTAAGAGCGGTATAGGAAGGGGCCAGGGTTGAGGGCTTAGGGTTGCCATGATGGGCAGCAGTGCTGTAAGCAGGCCAAGAATGCTTGGAGCTTGCATTCATCTTGCATTACAGGCGTGGGCCCGCAAACCCATACCCTCACCCCTAAACCTTACCGCCCGTATCTAAATTTTCGGTTCGCAGGGGTCGCTAGGGCTCAGTGTTGTTTATCTGTTGGCCCCACTTCAATCGGGAGTTGTATGTGGGTGCCTCGCTACTGAGCACCACACGCTGGGACCAGAACTGACCCCCCGTACCATAAAGCCCGAGCCCCTTAAAACCTTACCCCAAGGGTCCAAAGGACCCCATAATTAGATATTCGGTTTTGGGATAGTAGTTATGTAAGTTAGGATTTCGGAGAGTATATGATTATTAGGTACTTGGACCCTTGGGGTTAACCCCTAAGCCCGTGTACTGTGCTTCTACTGTAGCATGTCTATCTATAAGGCGGTGCTATGACCAATAACTATTCCTTCCCTGGTATTGCCTCTACTCTTACATTCAATGCACTCAACCTCTCTTTCCCCACAACAACTATACCTGCTGGCGATTGAAGTCTTCACTGGCAACACGTAGCCGTAAATCCTAAACGTCCTGAACCTTGCACCCTGTAAACCCTAAACCCTAGAATCCCGAAAATCCTGGAAAACCCCTAAACCTGTAAGCCCCAAACCCTACATTCCCTAGACGCCAGGAAGCCCTAAACCCCATAAGCTAAAATCAAACGGCTCCCGCACCTCACTCTCTGCAGTTCTGAAAGGCTACTCAGAAAAATCGGCGCACACACTTCTTGGTGTAGGGTCTAAACCCTAAACCCTAAACTGTAAGGGATTACTATAGCAGCCTCAACTATCTCCTATACTACTTTTTGGTGTGTTCCTTGTTATAATTATCGTTAATGCGCCCCAGAACCACTTTCCAATTATTAAAGCCCCTATATTATGTGGCGTGGCGGGCTTATCGGGGCTCAGGGGTTCGAGGGTCTATAGTCTACAGTGTGTACAGGGCTTATACGGGTTTTAGGTATTGACCGTAGGCTTTGGCAGGGCTGACAGGGTGCACAAGGTATACAGGGATTTCTATGCCATCTGTGAAATTTCTCTTGCAGGCATCCCTCAGCCATAAGCACGAATAGGATTGAAATCTCAGAAGCCTCGAGCCTCGCAGCCCTTACCACGCGAAGTCCAGTGAACGAAACCCGAATCCCAGCACACGAAATCAACCATATGCTGGAAACCCGTAGACGAAGTGTCTTCTAGCCCAAATTTAGCTACCAAGTTTCCTGAATCCTACACTCTACAAGCCCCCAAACCCTCAAACACTATGCAGCCATACATGTGTATATATATATATATATATATACACATGTGCTTCTTTCTTCACTTACTTGTGCCAGTGTATACACACATATGTAAAAATCTAAATATATATACATATATATATGTATATACATATATATATATATATTCGTTTATTTATTTACTTGTGATCAACGACTGGTATAAGCTCTGCCAGAAGGTGAATGTAACTCGAAAACAACTCCGACAAGAGGTCTCGAACCAGCGAAGTGTGTCCTGGAAACAGATGTGCGACGACATACAGAAGGATCGACCGCGCGAGTCCAGGACGAAATATTCGTCGAGAAGTCCGCGCCAGGATTCTTCGACTGACCGACATCTTCGTGGCAGATATGGCCAGACTCGACCACGGTAAGAAGATGCGAGTTCTTCGAGCCTTTCAGGAATGGGAGCGTACTTCGATTGCGAAGTCGATCGATCCCGATTGGGACGCAGACAGATTTTGGGACATGGCCAGCAACGAAGCTCCGTTGACGGACTGGCTCTTCAAGCTGTCCGATAGCACCGACCAACACTTCGTATGCAGATCGAAGGACTGCACTTCCGTCATCCACAGCCATCACTGGCTACGACAGTATCAATCTTTTTATACACCCTAAACCCGAGACCCCACTAAACCTCCAACCCTAAACCCTAAACCCCTAAACCCTAAACCCGACACCCTAAACCCTAAACCCTGAACCCTAAACCCTAAACCCTACCCTAAAGCCTTTTACAGACCCCTTCCTTGAAGCTCCCGACTTCGAAGACGAAGCCCGGCAGCCTTGGATCTCGTGGCTGAAGCTACAAGCAGTTACCCCAAGGGTCCAAACGGTTGATGATATAAATCCTACATTACCCTGAATAAGGAATATATCATAATTTCCATCGTTTAGGGTCCTTAAGGTAACGCAGGATTTATATCATCAACAGAAGGACCAAATACGTAATAAGGTACTTGGGTTTAGGATAGTAGTTACGTGGGTTTCGATTTGAAAGAGTATGTGGCTATTCGGCACTTGGACCCGTAGGCCCTCAAAGTCTAAACACCGGAAGAAAACTTAAACCTGAACTCCCGAAGCGCAAAACCCTGACAGAAACCCTAAACCCTAAACTTTCTAAGTTTGCTCGGCCCCAAAAGCAGCATAGTCCTTCAACTCCATCAGGCTATCGAGATGCAGCCGGGCGGTCCTCGCTGAGTAAAAAGATGGTCGACAGCGGCATGGAACGTCGGGCACCCGAGTTTCAGCTTTCAGGAGTTTGGGGTATAGGGTTTGGGGTCTGGGGCCTCTAGGGTTATAGGGCACAGCGTCATGGGGTTTAGGTTTAGGGTTTAGGGTTTAGGGGCGGTTTAAGGCTTCTGGGGTTATAGGTTTGTTTTTTTTGTTTGCGGGTTTAAGTTTCAGGGTTTGAGGCTTCAGGTGTGTAGAGGTTCCAAGGGCAAAAGGAATGACCCTTAATGAGGACCCCTAGGTATATACCCTTAATATAGCCATTCTATACCCATTCTATAGCCCAATATAGGCTAGGGGTCTCCATTAAGGGTCCCTCCTTTTCCCTTTTGGGAGATGAGGGTTTCGACTCCAGGGGTTTAGAGTTGCCCAGGGGCCTTTCAAAGGGGAAAAGGAGGGACCCTTAATGGGGACCCCTACCCTATAACGGGCTATGTAATGGGTATATAATAGCTATATTAAGGGTATATACCTAGGGGTCCCATTAAGGGTCCCTCCGTTTCCCCTTTGAGCCTTGTGAGGGTAGGGTTTGGACTTCAGGGTTTAGCGTCTAGGCCTTGTGAGGGACTTCAGTGCTCCCAACTGATATTTGCTTCTAGGCTTTAAGCACGACTTACAGGGAGGGTTTAGCTTCAGGTATTTAAGTTTACCAGTGAAGGTTTAGTAATTTATGGTTTGAGAGATCAACCACCCCTCTCTGTTTCCACTGTCCAAAGCCTGTACAGGAAGAGGGGTTCGGATTCGAAGACGCATGCTTATTTCTCATTCGTATCAAATCTGAATATAGCAAATACATCATTTACACCATGTTTTTCAAATGAAGAATACATAATATTTATCAATTAACTATGCATTTATACGAAGTGGCAAATACATAGTGTTTTTCAATCGAATGATACATTTTTGGGCCTCTGGGCCATCCCAGGGTTTCGGGTTCAGGGCTCGGGGCCCTGGACTTGGGGATTGCGGAGGTCTTAAGACCCAAGTGTGGCGAAGACACTCTCTAAAAAAGTTTAGGGTTTAGGGTTTAGGGTTTCCTTGCCCAAAGCCTTGCACAACGAAACGCCAGAAGCAAGCAACACCCACACCAGCACACCAGAAGGATTGAAGCTCAAAGCCTGGCAGGTTCGAGGTGCCCTACACCCTCAACCCTAAACCCCTAAACGGCGAGCTCTAGCTGAGTTTGGGGGGGCCTTTCAGGGGTTTAGGTGTGGTCTGGTGTGCGTGGTTTAGGGGTCCGGGGTTTCTTTGATACTTGGGGTTTTCAGGCTGCCACTTAGAGGCCCATAGTAAGTAGGTTATAAGTACGGTTATAATTGGGGTAACTCCATTTAGGGGACTTATAACTCTACTAATAACCTACTTACTAAGTCCCTTGGGCCTCCAAGCAAGCCCTTTCCAAGACAAGGATCCCTTACGGAATCCGCATAATCAGAAACCTCCCCGGGTGCGCAGAGGGTCCCCGTTCTCCTGCCCTGGTGGCATACTTAAGGATGTCATGATAAGGAGCCCCAAATTTGCCGGATTGTTTGGGCCCAAGGTAACCCCCAAACTCACTTCCTGGCTTTGCTTTCTTTGCCTCCGGAGGCAGTGTGGTGGATAGCATCCTCAGCAGTTGCGACTACCAGGCAATTGAGACAAATGGGAGCGGGTGGGAAAGCCCCTGAAGTTTATAGGGGTTTGGGGTTTAGGGTATTGGGGTTTAGGGTCTAGGGGTTTGGGGTTTAGGGTTAGTGCAGGAACCTGAATTCACAGCAATAGTCGCCCGTTGTTGTGGTTGTGATATTGCCACTCTACTTCCAACATCCACTCAAAAAGCAGCTGTAGCAATGTTGTATACTATGGGCGTGCGGGGCTTATAATAACCCTCACCATGTACTTTCCTGGACCCAGAAAGCCTACTCTATAGATAGCTAGGTGCCCTTATAAGTCAGCATTGAAGTCTTTGTTTGGGGCTTGGGACTCTGCGTGTGTCAGGCTTAGCTTGGGTAGAGGGCTTCCGGGTACCCCAACCCTAAACCCCAAACCTTAAACAAAAAACATAAGCACGAAACTCTTAGACCCTCATATTCTGCTACAGCTCCTGAGATTCTACCACAACCCTAAACTCCAAACCCTAGAGATTTGTCCAGGGCTTTGTTTTGCAGAGGGGGGGGGGGGGGGGGGGTTCTAGCTTATCCCAGGCTTTGCTCCGGTTTGGGATCTAAAATGGGGTTCCAGAGTTTGAAGGTTTGGGGTTTAGGGTTTGGTTTGAGGACTTAAGGTTTAGGGTTTTGGCTTGAGGTTTTAAGGTTGTGGTTTTGGGGTTCAGGGTTTAGGGAAAGTAAGTTGGGGCTGTTCACCGTGAAGCTTGTAGTTTTAAAGCCGAGACGCAAAACCCCAAATCTACAGCCTATACCCTGTGTCCTAAACCGTTTGCGTTTGATTTCAGCTTCTTGGACTTGAGACACGACTGCAGCAAAAAACAAAACAGTGTCTACTTTTCAGAGCCACAGATCTGCGACATTTTAGGGCACGTCCCCTAGCAGCAGCCTGCCACCCGTTTCTGCTCAGTGTCAGGCTCCCTTGAGAAAGCAAGATAATGCTAGACAGTACCCCCAAGGGTCGAAAGGAGGGTTTAGGGTTTAGGGTTTAGGACCCCATAATTAAGTACTTGGTTTCAGGATAGTAGCTACGTCGGCTACTATTTTGGAGAGTATATGATTTTTAGGTACTTGGGCCCTGGGAGGTTAGAAACAATGGGGATGTTCGAAGAGTTAGTTTCTGACCTCACTGGAGTCCTCAACTGCAAGCCTTTGGGTTTTGGGTTTAGGGTTTTCATAACATACGGCGTAGGCTTTAGGGGAAATCCATAAGGGAACATGCGGCTAGGATTGAGTGTTTGGGGTTTTAGAAATTTTCTGGGCCCTCAGGATCAGGCCCCCCACAATCCCCCTTGATTGCTTCTGAGAAAGGGTGCCACGTAGCGAGTCTGGTCCTTAGCACCGCAATATGGAGGTTTGGGGCTACACACGCTGCGGGAATCGCTTGCGGGGCCGTTTCCCTCTAGAAGCCTTTGTTGTTGCACAGTGTGAAGATGCAACAGGATGGAAGCTGCTATGTGTCTCTTCCCAGAGGCCCCATAGTAGTTCCTTTTTGGGATTACCTCATAAGATTCTAAATCTCAACCCCCAAAAGGAACTACTATGGGGCCTGATAGGGTATGGCCCAGTGTCAGCATGAACTGGGCCGGTGTACGCGCCACACATCAGCCTTGGAAGATGTCGTCTTCAGACACTCCAAAATGCTTGAAAGGAACCAACAGTCTCCATTGTAGTTCCTTTTTCGGGCTTCCTTTTCGGATCCTAAGTGTAAGACAATGTAAGATTGGATAAACCAGACGAAAGAACTACAATTTGGATAAGCCAGAAAAAAAGAACTACAATGGAGACTCTAAACCCTAAACCCTAAACCCTAAACCCTAAACCCTAAACCCTAAACCCCTAAACCCTAAACCCTAGGAAGTACTCCGATTTATTCAAGGGAGGAGGCCCTTCAGGCAGTCAGGGCGTTGGATCCGATGTGCTGGGCTATTCCTGAAGGGACTTTCAGCCCTGACGCCCCGAGGGCGCAAGACTTTACTTACCTTTGGTTAGTAGGGCATGGCAGAATGGTAGTAATAGTAGTTATACTTGTATCCCATGCTTCCATTCCTTACTAAACCAAAGGTAAGTTTAGCACCGCGGCTTCAAGTTCTGCTCCCCGTGGCACGGCGGTTTCTTCAAGTGTCCCGCTTGTCAAATCGTCACCCACTGTCCCTTTTGTGGTGATACTATCTGAATATACACCAAAGCCTTGTTCGAATCACCAAGTGGGTTGTCTAGGAACCAGTGGGACTGGAGGATCAACGCGCTCAGCATGTAGGCTTGCAATCAGGGCAGGACGACAATGATCAGTGGGTTGAGTCACAGGGGCCTAGGTTGATAAATAAAGCAACCCTGAGCCAGGCTGTAACTCATAGTCTCATAAACCCTAAAGCTCAGCCGCGCTGATAACTGACTTCCCTTCCCAGACGTTGGGCGACCGTGCTGATAGCGGCTTTTGGCACCAGGCGATTCTGGGGAGTGTTTGTTAGTGTTGTGAAGGCGGGTACCCGGCATGTCCCAAAAACGACTCACGAAGCGGGCGACCCAAACCGCAGTAGTTACAAAGCACCTTCTCGCTGTTGCTTAACACTCTCGGGCTGAGGGCTTCCAGTGCAGTCTTAGGCCCCAAATCTTCTGTGCAGGCTGTCGAGTATAATATAGGGGCTTAGATAATTACCTATACTAATTTTGGGGGGTTCCTCTTTATAAGTATATAGTATAATGGGCCCCAAAACCATATTCTAATTATTAAGGCCCCTATAGTATGCTCCCTAAAACTTCTGAGAGCGATCGAAGGCCCAAACCCGCAACCCTCAGACATCCTGGGATGATGGACAAAATCCTGCATGACCCTAAGGACTCTAAACTCTAGATTATGGGAACTATGGTATATTCGGCAATAAAGGGCAATGCACCCTAAACCCTAAACCCTAAACCGGATTTTGTCCATCAATAGGATTTGTCCCGCTGTCTTGGTGATGTGAATAGGGCTGCAGAGCAATCGTCAGTGGACAGTTAGGCTCCTGCTTGGGGCTACGAGTCACCAGAAGCCGAGTTCATCTTGACATGGTTAAGCTCAAGTTCTTACAACCCTGCGAGTCCGAGAGTGTAAGCGCAAGGCCCGACACACGAACAACAAAGCCAGCATAACAAAAGCTTCGAGGACTTGGCACAGCAATTGCGACAGGGAAACAAGATGTCCTCCGAAGCAACACCGAACTCAGGACATTGATGGGTTCAGGATGAGAGGGTGTAGGATAGCTTGAGGGCTTTACACTTCATGTGAAAGCATCGGACTTGCTTTCAGGATATGTTCCTTGGAGGGCCCCTGGTGCTGGGCTCCGCGGTGCAGAGCGTCAACGATCAGGCAACTCGAACTTTCAGGATGGATCCATGCATAAATATATATCATCTGATACAAAACATACACCTTCTTGCACACAAATGCATTACATAACGTTGTCTTGCGCTTTCAGGCTTATTGAGGGCAGCCCAAGCCCTGATCTCAAGCCCTCAGCAACAGATGAACAATTGTGCTTACCAACGCTCCTCAAGACCTTGACCCGACCATTAACCTCTATCCATGCGTCGATAGGTGCATCTCTGCGTCGACCTATCTATCTATCACCACCCCAAAGCCTATATCAAAAATGCGCAGCCTAGGTCATCACACTTACATGGAACCCTTAACTTGATGGTGAGTCTCCAGACCTTATGGTCACAGTCAACAAAATATTATGTTCTAGCACCCCCCCTTGTCCCCCTCCCCAAGACCCACTTCTTATCATTGAGGCCCCAATAATACACCCTTGTAAGTAGTGACCCTGACCCTTGCAGTAGCCCTAACACTCACGGAATTCATTATGCGAACCCCAAGCCCGCATCGCATAGAAACACTTATGCGAATCCTTGGAAACCCTTCTAGAAAGCCTTCGGAAACCCTTTTTTTTTCCCTTGGTAAAAACACCGTATAGGTATAGACACTCTTATACCATCCTTCCCTTTACATGATCTAGAAACCCTTTCAGTATAGAAACCCTTATGCAGAAACCCTTTGCTTATCGGACCCCTGATAGAAACCCTTTCATTTTAGAAGCACTTGCACATAACCCCTTGTATTCTTACAAAAAGCCTTCGAAGCCTTCACAGGAGGCCTTAAACTATCTGGTATTATTATACAAGCCTTTGTTATAGAAGCCCTAAACGCCTAAACCCTAACCCCCTAAAGCCTAAGCCCTCGGTTGTATGTTTTCACGACCCAAAAGAAAGACTCTTTCAACACGCTTCGGTCAAGACTCAGGGACCTAAGTCCTATACTCAGCTTCTACAAACCCCTAAACCTCCAAGACCTTTCGAAACCCCCCAAACTCGCACAGAGCCCTTAGATTATAGACACCCATATATCGAATCCTTTGTTTAGAAGCCCTTATAGTATAGAAGCTCAGCATAACAATAACAGTGATAACTAATACGAATAAAAGTCATAAGAAAAACATAATATACATATATATATATATATGGAGAGAGATGGAGAGAGATGGAGAGAGATGGAGAGACAGAGAGAGAGAGAGAGAGAGAGAGAGAGAGAGAGAGAGAGAGAGAGAGCAGAGAGACAGAGAGAGAGATAGAGAGAGAGAGAGGGAAAACACATTTTGATTGGATAAGCCCTTATACTCGAGAAACCCGTCAAAACCCGCTTCAGACTGGCCTGCGTGGGCATTTGATGGGCGCCTCCGGGCCTCATTGGTGCGAAGATCCGGTGCTCAGCCGCGACAACGAGGCCCGGAGCTCAAAAGGGCCTTGGGCTTTAAAGTAAAAGCCAGAAAGTTGGAATATGATTATCCTAAACCCTGTATGCTAAATTATAGGGTATCCTACCCTGAAACCATATTCCAACTTTCTGGAGTTCCCCTTAGGGTTCAGGCCTTCCGGAGCCTTGGGGTTGAGGGTTGAGGGCCCAGGGCTAAGGTTTAGAGCTTTTAGAGCTTCCGTGGCCTTGGGGTTTAGGGTTTAGGGTTTAGTTTGTAAACCCCATCAAGTTGAACACCGGATTAAGGCCAATTAGTGCTGGGATTCCCTATACAATACTCTTAAGGATGGAGGCGATTTGGTTTCCAACTTTTGGGCTTCTACTGTAGGGTTTAGAGCTTCCGGGGCCTTGGGGGTTTAGGGCCGAGGGCTTTTGAGTTTAGGGTTTAGGGGCTGGGGCTTTGGGTGTTTTTAGGGTCTTGTGTTTTTTTGTTGGGGGTAGGGCGGAGGGGGAGGCGGGGGAGTTTCAGAGAGATTTGGTCTTTTTGGCTTTGCAGGGCATCGCCTGCGGTTTGGTGCTTAATTAAGTACACTTCTGGATCCCAAACCCTCAAACCTTAAACCCTAGATTCCTAAATCCTACACCCCCCTACCCTGAGTGCAGGAAGTCTCCGGTCGACGCTAAGAGCTCCACGCAGGAAACGGATGGTACAAAGAACTGAGACCACGACTCAAAGGAAAGCAAGCTGGATCTTTATGTGTGCTACACACAAAGAGAAGGGCTGCTTTGATTCGAGAGTCAAGGCAGAGAACGCAGGATGTGTGATCCACACGAAGAGGTTGAATCACCCTAATTGGGATTATAAGAACATATAAGTGCAGCTACCTTAATTATAACCCTAGTTACTAGGTCCCATGAGCCTTTAAGTAGTATCGTTGTAAGGACCAGGTGTTTCCGCGAGGTTTTCTTCGAACTACGCACCGCCAAGACGATTATGGGGAGCGATTGAGAGGCCGACGATGTCGTAGCCTCTTTTGCTGCTGATGGCGATATACTTCTTTCTACATCTATATATGTATATATGTATGTACGTATGTATATGTATATATATATATATATATATATTAATGTATGTATATATATATATATATATATATGTATGTATGTGTATATATATATATATATATGATCTCTGTATGTATGTATGTATGTATGTATGTATGTATGTATGCATGCTTATTGCTCATTGGTTGTTGTGGGCTTCATGCAGAAGAGCTGGCTGTCACCACAGGCCGGCCATTGAAAACCATCGCTCCGGTTGCGTGGTTGTGACTTGGGGGTTGTGGGAGGTGTTTTCCGGAAACCTTGAACACCTTTACACAAAGGCCCCAAAGTAGTTCCTTTTGGGGGTTCGTATGTAGAATCCTATAAGGTAACCCCAGAAAGGAACTACTTTGGGGCCTCTCGGTAGCCCCTAAACCCTGTTTTGGATTTAGGGCTCCAGTGTTTTAGGCTTGGGCTAGGTTTTAGTGCAATTTAGCGTTGTTCGCTTCAGAATTCGGGGCTTAGGGTTACTATAGAGGCTTACATAAGTACCTAGACTATTTTCGTGGTTCCTTATAAGCGTAGTGTAATGGGCCTCAAAACCCGATTCTAATTAGTAAGGCCCCTATATTAACTATCAAGGCCCTCATATCAAGTTGCTGGCGAAACCCTTAAAGGAACCCTTGTAGAACCCGATAGTAGCCCTTTAAGGGAGCCCTATGTGAAGTCGGGTTTTTTGAAGGCCATCAGGTTGACGGCTTTCGAGTTGCTCGGGGCTTCGATTTGTGCCAGGATCTAGCGGCATCCAACGTATCTGTCAAGAGAAGTTTAAACTTTAAACCCTAACCCTCAAACCCTAAGCCCTAAACCCTATAAGCCCTAATCCTAGACCCTAAACCCTAAACCCTAAGCCCTAAGCCCTAAGCCCTAAACCTAAACCTGCATAAACTCGAAGTGTCTTTCATTGGAAGTGCAAGGCATTCCGGCTGGTCCGGGCACTCTCGCGCCATTGCGACCGCATTGCGAGGTTTAGCGTTCAGGGTTGAGGGTTTAGGCAGGGCCATAGGGTTTGTTGTTTGCGGAGCATAAGAACCTTTAAATACCCAGCAGCCTGTGTAGGAGGTTGCTGTCGTAAACGGTGCAAGACAAGCCTAAACCCTAAACCCTAAACCCTAAACCGTTCATGTGTTTAGCTTTCAACTGGTTTCGGAGCGTGGGGTGGAAGAACAGTACTCGTACAGGTGGCTGTTGTGGGCTCAAGGTTTGGGGGGGGGGGATGCAACTCTTGTGCTGTGGCTCGTGAGACTTTTTTGAGGTCAAAATTTCTATCCTGCATAGATCCAGGATGAATCCTATCCATGACTGGATCTCCCTTTGGGTTTACAATCGCTTCGTCTGTAAGAAACATGGAGCACGAAAAACCTGTCAACCCCGGCTATGCATCCTGCAAGTAATCCGTACAGCAAGACTTGGCTAAACCCTAACCCACTCGACCATGTTTAACCTCCACGTACCCTGATCCCTCAAATCTGTGTCTTAGGCATCCGACGCTCTTGCTATGCGCTGCGCACAGACGTTGATGTAGCAGCAGCGACAACCATGGGGGGCGAATCGCGTCTGGGCAACAAAGACCGGCTGCCTTAGGCTCTATAGCCCCTATCTCTCCTAATCTATAGAAACCTGATTAAGAAACCCTAGGCCTATAACCCCAAACCCCAATAAAGGCCCAAGAAATCTTAATAAGGTTCCTACATTTACTTGCTGGTAGGTCCGGTTATCGAGCATGCTTCGTAGATAAACCGACCCCACAGGACAGGATTCCTCCTGTCCTTTGTCATAGCTGGGTAGCATTTTAATTTTTGGAGCTTAAACCCAATAAGGAATACAAATGTACATATCCTATCCCAACGAGCTAGTGTCGTTGCGTCTTTGGTACGTCAGCCAATGATACTTAAGTCCCGAACCTAGGTCCCCAAGCCCTGAACCTAAACCCTGAACTTCTGGGCGGGGTTTCAGGGGGCAGTAAGGGCTGAAGAGTTTTTGGTAAAAGTGCCTTTGGTGGAGAGCGTTAAGGGGGTTGAATCGGATTGAGCCATAAATCCGTCGACCCGAAATCCTCGAAACCTCCCCGGTTCCTCCCCTAAACCCTAAACCCATGAAACCACGTCGTAACCTAAGCGGACTTCTGGCCCTCCCACTCCAAAAGCTGAGGCAGCTAGCTTACTGGAAGATGCACGACGGCCGCGAGGCGCAGAAGCCTCCATGCAGATATCCCTGATTTACGGCATCTAGGGTGTGTAGGTGTTTTGGCTTTAGCGTGTAGCGGTCGGGGGTTTTCGTAAAAAGGTCAGTATCCTGAGCGTATGTGATGATATCGGTGGAATTTTGAGATAATGTGCACAGCCATGCTTGATCAGTTAAGCACAGGGTTCGCATTCGGCTCAGCACACAGTTGGATCATAGAAGTTCATGAATGCCAAAATCCAAGACCCGAATACCGCCAAGCCTGGAACCCCTACATAAACCTGCTGCCCCATTGCATCTCAGAAACCGCAAACAATCAAATCCCCAATGAAAAACCCTGGGAAGCAGGATATGCTCTCCGCCGACCAGCCAATGGGAATGTTTGTTGTGCTTTGGCCAGTAACCCTTAATCTAATTGGCAGCCTCTTATTTCTTAGACGTATGGGTCCTGCATGAGGGTTTAGATTGGATACGTGTCTCTGCCATTTTCTGTTGCGAGGGCATTGCTTTTGGGGCCCTGCACAAGGGACACCGTAAACCCGAAATCCTAAGTCTCAGGCTCGAAGCCCATAGAAGCCCAGCCCGTCTTCCTACGTAACATGCAATCCTGGTAGCTTTCTAGGATGTTTGAGCCTTCAATTCCACGGCGATGTGGTGTCCTAAACTTACATGGTTTAGAGGAGCATTATGACACTTTCGATTCCTTGCTATGCCTCAGTAGCCCAAACCAAAGCCCCAGTGGCCCAAGCACGCCATACATCGCAAATCCTGCCTTCCGACAGCTGAAGCCACTGTCGGCCTAGGGGCCTCAATAAGTACCTATACTATCTTGGGGGTTCCCTATTATAACTGTCGGATAACGAGCCCCAAATCCCTATTCTAATTATTTAGGCCCCTATATGAAACTTCAAGGTTCCGGGTTGGGTAAAGGGTTTAGGGTTCCGGGTTCAGGAAGTGCCAAGTAAGCCTTCGAAGCCGGAGCAAAGAACGGCACTGGGCGAACTGTGGCCCAGACAGCTTCACATAAGGTTCAACTTCCATTTCAGGATGATTCCGATGCCACTGCATGCGGTTATAGGGCTCCGATTGTTACAGGTCCTGAAAACTGAAAACCCACCTATAGTCTCTATTGTAGTTCCTTTTGGGTGCTACCTTATACGAGCCTAAATATAGAGTTTGTTAAGCCAAGAACAAGCACCACAACGGAGACTGCAGGTGCACCCTAAACCCTAAACCTTAAACCCTTGCCTGGCGAGAAACCCTAAAGGATTTCTTGGGTCCTTACGTAGAACCTAATTACACTTCCTGAGCCCGAAAGCTTCCACCAACTAGGACCCAGAGTAGGCGCGATCCCTAACTTATAAGCCCCTGTAAACCAAAAATAGGGTTTTGGGTTTAGGGTTCCTTTTTATTCCTAGGTTATGGGTCTACCCTAAGGCTCCATCATAGTAGTTCCTCTTCGGGATTACCTTATAGGATTCTATATATGAACCCCGCTGAGGTCCTCAGCGTTGCAGGCGAACCTCACAGGAACGCAAGCGACCCGAGCAAGCTTGAGGGCTCAGGGCATATCGCTAGGTTGTTTAGCTATGTCTTGGAAACTATGAAATGTGACAGATGGGCTTTCTTCTAGGTTCCTGAGTAATTAGTGGCCATTTTGCCCTTGTTCCTTTGGCGTTCCCTTATACCAAAACTGACCATTAGAAAACAGGGTACCCTTACTATTAAGGGCTTGCCCAGGAACCTAGTCTTTCCTAGATCTGGAGGCTCGTCTGGACCGGAAGACAACCGTAAACCCTGAACCCCTAAACCCTACCCCAAACCCTAAACCTTAAACCCCTAAACCCTAAACCCCTAAACCCTACCCCAAACCCTAAACCCTAAACCCCTAAACCCTAAACCCCTAAAGCCCTAAACCCGAAACCCGACATTCTTCGGGGGGCTGCTGTCTGTTGTTCAACTTGGGGTTCCGGGAGACTTGAGTTCAAAAGGGTTCAGGCTTAGGGTTTAAAACTAAACCCTGAAGAGCTTTCTTTTTTTAGGGTTCCTCAGTATGGTTTCCGTATAAGAGTCCTTAAAACGGTAGGTCCTTGTCTTGATTTCCGTATAAGAGTCCTTGACAAGGTAGGTTATTCCGGGTTAAGGTAGGGTTTAGGGGTTTAGAGTTTAGGCTTCAGGGTGCTTAGGCAAGCTTTAGGGCCGATACGTCGGAGAAGCCGTAGCCCTTAGCAGGCTTACCTAGAATCTGCAATGCCAAGGCAGTTCTTTTTTGGTTAAGCCTTGTGACCTTCCTTTCTGGTACACACTGAGGGCAAGCACGGGAATTATTTTTGAGAATAATTTGAGGGGGAATTTGAGAATCAATGTTTGGGGATTTGAGAAATATTTGAGAGGATATTTGAGAGGAAATTTGAGAGGAGAGAAAATTTGAGAGGATATTTGAGAGGGAATTTGAGAGGAGAGAAAAATTGAGAGGATATTTGAGAGGGAATTTGAGAGGAGAGAGAAAATTTGAGAGGGAATTTGAGACGAGAGGAGGATGTTGAGAGATTGATGTACACGTGCATGCATGTACACATGGATGAGTGTTCATATGTATGTATGCATGTATGTATGTACGTATGTACGTAGGTATGCATGCATGCATGCATGCATGCATGCATGCATGTATGTATGTATGTATGTGGGTATGTGTGTGCACGTATGTACCTACGTATGTATGTATGTATGTATCTATGTATCTATGTATGTATGCATGCGTGTGTGTGTGTGTGTGTATGTACGTGTGTATTTGTCCCCAACACAGAAAGCAACCGCACTTTCAAGCTGCTTATGCTGATGATGGATGGTTGGGGACTTGCGATGTGCGATGTGTACGGAGACCGCAAAGATTTCATAAAGCGCAGTTGCTTTCTATGTTCCTTCGGCTCCTCTCAAACTCCTCGGACCTGTCCTCTCAGATTTTCGGCTCCTCTCAAATTCCTCGGACCTGTCCTCTCAGATTTCCGGCTCCTCTCAAATTCCCTCTCAAATCCCCTCTCAGATTTTGGGCTCCTCTCAAATTCCCTCTCAAATTTTCTCTCCTCTCAAATTCCCTCTCAAATTCCCTCTCAAACTTTCTCTCCTCTCAAATTCCCTCTCAAATTCCCTCTCAGATTTTGGGACCGCCCAGGACCGGCCAAATTTGAGAGGCTCCCTATGAAATCTGAGAGGATCCTCTCCAAATTTGAGAGGAGTCCGATGAAATCCTCTCAAATTTGAAAGGAATCTGGAGGATCACCATGGAAATCTTCAAATTCCTCTCAAATTTGAAAGGATTTCATAGGACTCCTCCCAGATTTAGCCGCCCAAAGGGCGCCGGGAATTTGAAACGATCCTCTCCAAATTTGAAAGGAGTGCTATGAATTCCTCTCAAATTTGGAGGATTTCATAGCACGCCTTTCAAGTTTGGAGAGGATCCTCTCAGATTTGAGAGGAGTCCCATGAATTCCTTTCATATTTGGGGGATTTCATCGGACTCCTCTCAAATTTGGAAAGGATCCTCTCAAATTCCCGGCGCCCTTTGGGCGGCTAAATCTGAGAGGAGTCCTATGAAATCCTTTCAAATTTGAGAGGAATTTGAAGATTTCCATGGTGATCCTCCAGATTCCTTTCAAATTTGAGAGGATTTCATCGGACTCCTCTCAAATTTGGAGAGGATCCTCTCAGATTCCCGGCGCCCTTTGGGCGGCTAAATCTGAGAGGAGTCCTATGAAATCCTTTCAAATTTGAGAGGAATTTGAAGATTTCCATGGTGATCCTCCAGATTCCTTTCAAATTTGAGAGGATTTCATCGGACTCCTCTCAAATTTGGAGAGGATCCTATCAAATTCCCGGCGCCCTTTGGGCGGCTAAATCTGAGAGGAGTCCTATGAAATCCTTTCAAATTTGGAAAGGAATTTGAAAATTCCCATGGTGATCCTCCAGATTCCTTTCAAATTTGAGAGGATTTCATCGGACTCCTCTCAAATTTGGAAAGGATCCTATCAAATTCCCGGCGCCCTTTGGGCGGCTAAATCTGAGAGGAGTCCTATGAAATCCTTTCAAATTTGAGAGGAATTTGAAGATTTCCATGGTGATCCTCCAGATTCCTTTCAAATTTGAGAGGATTTCATCGGACTCCTCTCAAATTTGGAGAGGATCCTCTCAGATTCCCGGCGCCCTTTGGGCGGCTAAATCTGAGAGGAGTCCTATGAAATCCTTTCAAATTTGAGAGGAATTTAAAGATTTCCATGGTGATCCTCCAGATTCCTTTCAAATTTGAAAGGATTCATAGGACTCCTCTCAAATTTGGAGAGGATCCTCTCAGATTCCCGGCGCCCTTTGGGCGGCTAAATCTGAGAGGAGTCCTATGAAATCCTTTCAAATTTGGAAAGGAATTTGAAGATTTCCATGGTGATCCTCCAGATTCCTTTCAAATTTGAGAGGATTTCATCGGACTCCTCTCAAATTTGGAGAGGATCCTCTCAGATTCCCGGCGCCCTTTGGGCGGCTAAATCTGAGAGGAGTCCTATGAAATCCTTTCAAATTTGAGAGGAATTTAAAGATTTCCATGGTGATCCTCCAGATTCCTTTCAAATTTGAAAGGATTCATAGGACTCCTCTCAAATTTGGAGAGGATCCTCTCAGATTCCCGGCGCCCTTTGGGCGGCTAAATCTGAGAGGAGTCCTATGAAATCCTTTCAAATTTGGAAAGGAATTTGAAGATTTCCATGGTGATCCTCCAGATTCCTTTCAAATTTGAGAGGATTTCATCGGACTCCTCTCAAATTTGGAGAGGATCCTCTCAGATTTCATAGGGAGCCTCTCAAATTTGGCCGGTCCTGGGCGGTCCCAAAATCTGAGAGGGAATTTGAGAGGGAATTTGAGAGGAGAGAAAATTTGAGAGGGAATTTGAGAGGGAATTTGAGAGGAGAGAAAATTTGAGAGGGAATTTGAGAGGAGCCCAAAATCTGAGAGGGGATTTGAGAGGGAATTTGAGAGGAGCCGGAAATCTGAGAGGACAGGTCCGAGGAATTTGAGAGGAGCCGAAAATCTGAGAGGACAGGTCCGAGGAGTTTGAGAGGAGCCAAAGGAACATAGAAAGCAACTGCGCTTTATTTCTTTGCGGTCTCCGTACACATCGCACATCGCAAGTCCCCAACCATCCATCATCAGCATAAGCAACTTGAAAGTGCGGTTGCTTTCTGTGTTGGGGACAAATACACACGTACACACACACACACACACACACACACACACACGCATGCATACATACATAGATACATACATACATACATACATACATACGTAGGTACATACGTGCACACACATACCTACCTACATACATACATACATACATACATGCATGCATGCATGCATGCATACCTACGTACATACGTACATACATACATACATACATACATACACATACATACATACATACATATGGACACTCATCCATGTGTACATGCATGCACGTGTACATCAATCTCTCAACATCCTCCTCTCCTCTCAAATATCCTCTCAATTTTTCTCTCCTCTCAAATTCCCTCTCAAATATCCTCTCAAATTTTCTCTCCTCTCAAATTCCCTCTCAAATATCCTCTCAAATTTTCTCTCCTCTCAAATTCCCTCTCAAATTTTCTCTCCTCTCAAATTCCCTCTCAAATATCCTCTCAAATATTTCTCAAATCTCAGAACCAGCCCCTCTCAAATAAATCTCAAATAAATCTCAAAAATAATTAATCAATGGTTTCCAATCTGTACCTGGTAATGTAACTCACAAGTTAAGCCGTTTTATATCTAGGACCCTACACCGGAACCCAACGAAGGAGCTGCAGTGGAGACTGTAGGTAGGCACTTGAAGCTCGAATCTCTGTGCATTCAGGTCCCAGATTCTCAAACTCCTGGAGTTCCACGCCCCGAAAAGCAGTACACCCAAACCAGTCTGTTCAGTGGTGCACTTCTTTACTTTCAGGTTTCTGGGTTCCTATTATAAAATAAGAAGCCTACAAGAGTATATACTTTTTCCCAGTGGGTTACTGAACAGCCTAGCAAACGTCCCAACAAAATCTCAGCCCAGACCCTAAAGCCCTATTAGACGAATGGCCAGGCAAGTATCTGCTGCCACAAGAGCTGCCTTACAGGGAAGGACAGGCCTTCATTGACATCCTCCGGCCCGAAAGGCCCCCCGCTCAGGGTTTAGTGTATACCTAGACCCTCCATCTACCCTCTATTAGACCCTAAATGCCCCTTATTTGGGAGGGGTTTGGGGATTCTTGAAGGTTTTGGAAGTTTGGGTTTGGGTTTAGGTTTTGGAAGTCAGGGGAGACCCTCATATTGAGATTCTACAGTCTGTAGGGTTCTTGAAATCATTTAAAGTTTCGGGTGCAGCCCCATGTACAATTCGTTAGGGCTTTGGGTATCTGTGGCTGCAGGGTCTTTGTTTGTGGTTTCGTGCTTCATGTTTGCCTGGTCACATTGTTGTCGCCCTTCTTGACGAGGCCATTGCGACATGAATTGTCACGTTGTTCTGACTTATCATGACAGCGTTGACCCTACTTCGAGGTTCAGGGGTAGTTAGGGGTTATAAGTCACCTAATATGGGTTGTACCCTACTTATAACCGTCCATGAACCTCCAAGATCCCCCACCCCTGTCTGTCAACGGTTGTAGTAGTGCTCAACTCCGAAACGAATGCCCATGAGTCCTGTCAGACTTGCTGCGGTGATCACGGAGAGCAACCGTCCCAGCCTTAGTGAATTTGGTGCTTTCGGTTTGAGAAAAGGCTTTGCTTGCGTTTACAGTAGAAGCCCAAAAGTTGGAAACCCAGTAGCCTCAATCCTGAAGAGTGATGTATAGGGAATCCCAGCACTATTTGGCCTTAATCCGGTTTCCAACTTTAAGGGGTTTACTGTATGGGTTACAGGTTCAGGATCCATGTGCACTTGTGCATAGAGGTTCGTGTACAGGTTCTAGCAGTTACTGCATGCTAGCCATGTATCAATTCAGGCAACTTTGTTTGATCCTAACACCAAAGAAACGGCTCAAAACCCTAAACCCTAAACCCTAGACGCTGGAAATTAGATCCGAATGCCTTGGGGCCCATCTTAGGATCCTACCTGCTGGTGCCCGCGGAAATGAAGAGGTGCTTCTGCAGGGGCGGTAGAGGTTACTTGGAGGTTTTTTGGGGTAGTTATAGGTGTTCCTTTAAGGGCCCCTTTGAAGGGTTCTGTAGCGATTTAGGGTTTAGGGTTTAAGGGTGTAGGGGTTAGGGTTTAGGGTAGTTATAAGTGGGGTTACAAGGCCCTTAATATGGGTTATAAGTATAGCTACCCTGCGTAAAACCCAACTTATAACTACAGTACCCATGAACCTCCAAGTAGGGGTTAGTAGTGTTCTTAGCATGGTTTCAAAAGGGTTGTATCAGGATCGCTTTTTTGGTGCACGAGGTCGATAAGTGACGACGTGACGGTCACAAGTCAGACTGCAGCTGTATAGCATTCCATTGCTAACTGTCCATGTACCGTCGACTGGAGCTTGTTGATAGACTCGGATCAAGTCATGTATGTGTGTGTGTTTCTCTCATATATATATATATATATATGTATATGTATGTATGTATATACATATATATATATATATATGTGTGTGTATCTATATATATATATATATATACAGAGAGAGAGAGAGAGAGAGAGAGAGAGAGGAGTGCGGGTATATGTGAGATAATCTGGAGTCCTTGGTTCCTTGGAGCAGTCAACGTTGCCCGCAACCTTCTAATATAGGGGCCTAAAGAATTACCTGTACTATTTTGGTGGTTTCTTATTTTGATCATAGTATGGTATTAACCCCAAACCCTATTCTACATAAGTATTACATAAGGCTGAAATAATTGACTATACTGTTTTTGGGGGCTCCTTAATCATAGTATAATATAACCCAAAGCCCTATTCTGAGTATTAAGGCCCCTATGGTAGCCATGGTTCGCAACCGGACGACCTCGGGGTTGGGGGTCGTAAAGCCGATCAACCCTGAAGGGCAAGGGTTTCTATCTGGCGGTTCAGGGTTTAGGGTAAGGTTTGCCTGTAGCCGAAAAGACCTACCTTTTCAGGAACTATATATAGAAACCATAAGAAGGAACCCTAAAAAGGTAGGTCTTTCCGGCTACAGGTGGGGTTTAGGGAGCCCTTGTTATTCCTAGGTTACTGGGCATCCTTCAAACAGTATCTAGACATCGGTATTTTGTTGTGGAAGGTGTAGCTTAGGGGCACTTAGAAGTAGTTGTTAATCTTTGGATCCGAGAATCCCTAAGAAACAGCCAAAATTATCATTTCGCCCGGGGTCTAAGCTCAGTATGGGTAGGAGTTGCCGTTTGTATTTATCCCCCAGGCCTACTGCCAGGGTGCTGAATTGCCATGAAGAGCTGTCGAAACCTCCCGCATGCAGGAGAAAGGCTTAAACCTGGCTTCAAGCGAAACAGTCATGGCTCCGAGCATTAGACCCTAGAATCCAGTAAAGTTCTTTAGTAGTTATCCTCCTTCTCTTCTTATAGACTCCTAGCCACAACAGAGGCTCTCCAAACAAAGGTGCGTCATATTTTAGGGTCCCGCTAGGACTCCAAAGCCCACCGCTCTGAGTCCTAAACACAGCATGAATAAAAACACATCATGAATGATGAGCACGACGCCTGGGCCTCGAAATTTGGACACCGAACTCAAGATCTTACAATACTGTACCTATTTACCCCTAAGGCTCCATGCACTCAAAGAATGCATGCTCAGACCCTCAACGCCGATGTAGGGACTGGACGCAAACCGGAGCCCCTAAGTTCGGTTGATTTGATGTTTCCGGGTTTGGTGTCTTTATACGTGCTGCAGACTCAGCACCACACACAACTTCGCTGCGTCACCCCTCGGATTGAAAGCCCTAAATCCCTCGCCGAAGATGCCCATTAAACCCTAAACCTCATCAGGACCAACGTCGCCATCTTCGCTCCAGTGGAAACTGTCATGGAGGCTCACCATGCACATGGGTTCGAAGGATGCTTGGGGTGTTGGGATTTAGGTTTTACGGTTTGGGTTCAGGGCTGGTTTAGGGTTTAGGGTGTGGGCTGTTGGGATTTAGGTTTTACGGTTTGGTTCAGGGTTTAATTTAGGGTCCAGCGCGGCGGGGGTGGAGATTAAGGTTCGTGTCGCTGACGACGATGAAGGCGGGACAAAATTGACGGCGCTGATGATGATTCATCGCATGCTGCCTAGGATGAGGATGTATACTGGTCCTGATCAAGACGGAATTTGCAAACGTCATGATCGTGCTGTTGTTTTGTTGCGGAGGAAGCACCACATAGCAATCAGGAGCTTGACAAGCTGATTTGTGCACTTGACGACTGGGTTGGAGGGCTGGTGCCTCTGGCATTAAGGGGAGCTGTGTCAAAGTTGCGATTTGTTAGAGTACCCGTGGTCTTGTTGAAGTAACTTGTCATTGTTGTACGGTAGTATCAAATGCAATCCGGTATCTGAAATAGTAGCAATAGATTCAGTACTACATCTATTCATAGTATTCAGCCACTGCATTTAGCATCCGAGCTCCCGACATTCTCGCATGCCAGGATGTGTCCGGCAGCGACTGGCTTGTGCCGCTCGGCTTCGCAGTGCGTTTTGGTTTCTTCTTATCTTTCCGCGCTTATGGTCCCTATACCCTCAGCGTCGCTTCACTCAAAGGGGAGAAGGAGGGACCCTTAATGGGGACCCCTACCCTATACTGGGCTATATAATGTGTATATAATAGCTATATTAAGGGTATATACCTAGGGTCCTTATTAAGGGTCCCTCCCTTTACCCTTGGATTCACTCATATAAGGCCAAGACCTGATGTCTCGATCCCGAACCCTTAATCTGAGATTGTTTATCGACAAAATCCGATACCCTGGCCTTAGCGCAGCTTCCGTGAGCTCATGCAGTGAATATTTCAAGATATGTAAGCCCGGACACCCCGAAACTACTCTTCCAGAGCCTGAACAAGCCGTTACACCCACAGAACCCTAGATTTCTCAAGCCCTTTAAGCTCAAAGCCCGTCCCCAATCCCTGCAAGCTCGAAGTCCTATAAACCCCAAACCTGAAGCCCTAAATCAGCCCAAGGCTATCTAATTAGTACAGTCCCTCAGCCGGCAAACCCTGCAAAAACCGCCAAAGCTTGAGGAAGTTGAAATCGGATTCGGTGGTGGTTGCGTTCCGTCCCCTAAACCCGGACACCAACACCCCCGAACTGTATGCCCTGAAATCTGAAACATGGTAAATGCTTAGGGCTCCACGGTTGTTTAGAATCCTGAAATTTGGGGTTTGGGGGGTTTCGACTTTGGGGGACTTGCCCAATCAATTAGTCGGGCACTGCACATGTCGTGGTGCAGCATACTTGATAGGGCGAAACGAAAACGTGCCATGCCGCGAGAAGACAGCCAGCACGTTGAGCTCTACTATAGGGGCCTAAATGATTACCTATACTATTTTGGGGGTTCCTTATTATAAGTATAGTATAATGGGCCCCAAAACTAACCCTAAACCCTAAACCCTACCCCCTAAACCCTAAGCTCCTAAACCCCTAAACCCCAAAACCCGAAACCGGAGAGAGCCCGCAACCGCACACCGCGTCATCCGGCCCGGGCCCAGGGCAAGGTTCCCACGATTAGGGTTTAAGACGGGTTTGAGGTTTAGGTTTCAGGGCCACGGTTTAGGGTTTAGGATTTAGGGTTTGGGGGTTTAGGGTTAGGGTTTAAGTTTAAGCCTTAGGTCCTAGTTTTAGGGTGCTTTCAAAGCTGCATACTCCCAGGTGCAAAGGTGCGAACCTTCCACCGTTGCCCCTTGTCTGGCTGAATTTGTGTGGAGGTTCATCTATCGCAGGTCACGAACCATCTTTTACCCTGGACCCTAAGTGCATACTGGAGCAACACAAACCCGACTACACTTCAATGAGCCAGCCAAGCACCATAAATAAGTACATACATATATATATATATATATATATATAGGTAGATAGCGAGAGAGAGAGAGATGTGTATATATATATATATATGTATGAGCAGTTGCACTGAGTTTTACTAGCATTTGCGTGTTGATTCGTTTCTTGTTCTATAGTGTGTGGGGTGTGTGTGTATGTGTGTACCTGTATATTAATATGTACATATATATATATATATGATGCACGCATCTATACATCGACTATGTATGCATATCTACCTACCTACAAACCCACGGACCTGCTGACCCGCCAATCCACCGACCTATCGACCTACCTACCCGCATGCAGTGCCTACCTGCCTAGCAACCTACCCACATAGCTACATACTCAGACACCTACACACCCACCTACCTACCTACATACCTGCACTCCTGCATACCTGTATACCTACATACATATCTGTAGATGTATAGGTGCGTACATGTAAGTCTATATACATGTATATCCGCATGTATGTGCTTGCATGTACATACATACTTTCGCACATATATCTATATAGGTATATAGGCACATATTCAAATATACATATACGTATACATATACATGTACATATACATATACATATACACATACACATACATAACATACATACATACATACATACATACATACACACATACATACATGGGGAAAGCGGTCCCCAACGGCATTCCGAGAGCTGCAGCTGCGGTCTATGTTTTTTTGCGGTTCGGGTTTAGGGTTAGTGCTTTAGGCTTTGGGGTTTCGGGTTTAGAGTTTAAGGGGTTGAAAATTTAGGGTTTGGGGCAGGAGTCAGTGTTTGAAAAATTGAACACCTGCGCAGGCTGCTAGAACTCTTGAGCCTTTAGCCCTGACCTGATGCCCTAAACCCAAAGACTGTTTGAAGCCCTGTGAGGTTTCCGAAGCGAGTCTAGTTCTGCTAGGTTTCTTCAGTCCAGTTCAGTCTTCTTGTCTTCTTCACTGCACTCTACTGGGAACCGCCACCTCCATACGCGAATCCGACCTCACACTAAAGGACTGAGACACGGGGGTCGGGGCCATTCTGTGGGTTAAATGGCATCGAACATCGTAAACCGATGCTGTCGGGTAGGGAGGCGTGTCGTTTCTTTCCACCGGAGCTGATTACTGCTTGGTTGGTGGGTTCGGAGCGTCGAGCGGTGGTGCTGGAGCTACTGGCTTATTGACTCGGAAGAAGTAGCTCATCTCTGTTGCGTAGCTTTAGGGTGCTGTTCTAAGCCCTCTATTTTGAGTTTTGAGTCCGGGCGGAAGCGCTGAACCCTCCAAACACCGATGCTTTAGAAGCTGCCCCCACCCTGTAATAGTGACTATAAGGATTATATTAGGGCCCTATTATATTCCGTTTATACCACTATTACAGGATGGGGGCCCCTCCAAACACCGATGGCTGTCTGCTTCAGGCACAACAGCTGCGCTCAGACGGTGCGGTCGGACGCCTGCCTGCTTTCAGTAGATCGATGCCGCAAACCTCGGGGGCCTCAAAAGGTAGGATGAAGGTAGGTGGGGTATTCCCAAATAAGAGTGCTTATATAAGGGATCCTTAATCCCGCCTACCTTCATCCCACCTGGTGAGGCCTCCGAAACCCCTCATTCTAGATCGAAGAGCCCGCTTTCGGCAGTTCCGGTTTCGAGCTTCGCAACAAGATTCAGATTCGTTCCAGGAGTGAGGAAGGGCCAGAGCCCTCGGACGCTTCACCAAAAGGTCCCTCAACCTCCAAGCCGGAAAACCCTAGACTCCAGAGCCCCGAACCAGGAATCCTAAAAACCAAAGTCTTTCAAACAAATCGCTAAAGCAATCTGAAGCCCTAAGCTTCAAGCCTTAAACCCCTATATAAACCCTGCAGCACCTTTCTCCCTACAGCCCCAAAGGCACGAGACCCCAAAGCCGTAAACCACACTCCAAGTTGCAAGACGCGTCCGACGTCTAACCCCAGAGTCTCAAATGCATTCTTCACCTGACCTGATTCCTATTCCTGGGCCTCAACCGTAGTAACTAGTACATAGGTACTCAGACTCTAAGAAAAGGTCTTCCAATTTAGCCGCCACCCGGAACCTCGAGCTGCCTGTGCCATTTTGCCCGTAGGGTTTAGGGCTTAGTACAGGAGAATTCTTGCCAATCCCTCTTAACCCCTTGGCAACCCGTGTAGAACCCTATGAACCCCCTGTGAAACACCAAGAGCACAGGATGACCCAATATTTTCTTAACCCTAAACCCTGAACCCCAAACGCTGGACCCTAAGCCCTGAACTCTGAACTCTGAATCCTAAATCCTGAACCCCAATCCCTGAACCCTAAACCCTGACCCCCAAATGCTGAACCCCAAACCTTGAACCCTAAATCTTCAAAGGACATGTGGCTGACGACCGGGCTTGTGGTAGCATGGACTGTCGAGACCTCGGCAGGGGGGGGGGGAAGCTGCGTGCTTTAGGGTTTAAGCCTTCGGGCGTTTTAGGGTTATTAGGGCCTTAGAGGTTCCTGCAAGGTACCTATAGGGGTTCCCTTTATTGAGGGTTTAGGGTTCGGAGTTTAGGGTTAAGAGCTTCTTACATGCTCATTGCTCGTTGAGAGAGGCAGATCGATTTCCTTCGGTTTTGCCGTAGAACTTCCTGATTTCGGGGTTGAGGTAGTGCATCAATGTCGAAAGGGCCTCTAAAGGTATGTTCTGCAATGGCATAAGCCAAACAAAACCCTAAACCCCAAAACCCTGACCCCCTATATAAACCCTAAGCCGTGGCAAGGATTCGGCCCGTCGTCATGCAGGAGCATGATTAAGACACTACGTCCCCGAAAACCCCCAGATTCCACAAGGAACAGCGTCCCAGTGCCAAACGGGTTTCAAGGAATCCTCAGGAGAGCTTGTTTTTTTTCTCTAGCCGTCTCTCTCTGGCTCGCTCTCGCTCTCCTTCGCTCTCTCTCTCTCTCTCTCTCTCTCTCTCTCTCTCTCTCTCTCTCTCTCTCTCTCTCTCTCTCTCTCTCTCCCTCTGAACGCACAAAAATCAAAGCTAAGTTCACACGCATGCTTCCGAAGCAGCGAGCTACGGCACCTCGAAGCCAAGCTCCCTGAAGTGCTGATCCTGAAGCTCTTAGACATGGCAATCTGGTTCACGTCTTCTAATATAGGGGCCTAAATAAATTCCATTTTAGGTAAGTTCTGAGATTGGCCAAAGTGCCACAAGGCTCGTTCGACTCGCTTCTCTGACCGACAGATGTTTGTGAATATGGGGGCCTAAAGAACTATTTTGGGGGCTCCTGATCATAATTAGTGTCAGAGTATTGCGGGCCTCAAAACCCTATTATTGAGGCCCCTATACTATTTTGACCTAGTCCCATTAAACTCGAATACTCGAATTTCCCAAGCCCCAGGCCGTTTAGGCCCGAAACCCAGGTGCTTTGCATCGGCTTGCTGGCGTGGAACTACCAGACCCGGATCTACCTCAGCATCGTCAAGGCCTCCATCTGCAACGCTTTGCGGTTGCGATATTGAGAAGAGCGACAGGGATGTTGAGAAGAGCGACATGGAAGACCAGACAGCGACAGTGAGCCCAGGGAAAAGAGAGGCAGAGAGAGAGAGAGAGACATCCATGGCGTACGTTGCAGGGAATAGGGGGAACCCTGCTCTCTTGGCTGTGTGGAGAGAGAGAGAGAGAGAGAGAGAGAGAGAGAGATTCTGGGATAGATTCTGAGACGAGATGTATAGAGAGAGAGAGAGAGAGATGGGGAGAGAGGAGTCACAGTGAGACCGTGAGATACCAATGCTGAGCTGGCACAGAGCGAGACTTTCCTAAGGTCGGTCGAGAGCATAGATTGAGATGCAGGCGTTGTATCAGCTGTGCATCTCGTTCGCGGCAGCCGATATGCATGTATGTATGTATGTATGTATGCGTGTATGCATGTATGTGTATACACATATGGAGCTAGCCTCCATCGAGTGCACTAGGCGATTATCGGGTCATACTGATTACGCCTTACGCCGAGCTCCGAAATACCATGGTCGAGCTCCTAAGTCCAGGGTTAAACAGGTAGAGATGCTTTTTTCCCATCTCAAAGGGGACTTTGTGAAGTTCTTGACACTGGGACCCAAGTTCTGAATTTGGGGTGGCGAGCCGGAGATAAAGGCTCATGGGTTTCGGCTTCAGATGTACAAGCCTTTTAGGATCTTGTAGTTGGTTTTAGGTTGGCTTAGGGTCAAAGACATGTAGTAGGATCCTTCACCCCGAACCCACAAAGCCTAAAACCGTCAAGGTCGGGCTAAACATGCGCTCCCTGAGACTGGACCCTAAACTCCCTAAACGCTAGACTCTATAACCATCCAGCCTGCGGGTGTTGGAGAGTTGGCTGAAGAGTCTCCCTGCCCCATCGGTACTTTACGTCCCAGGACGTCCGATCGTCTAGGCTCCTTGCTGCGCAGGAGTTTAGCTTCACAGCTTAAGCCTAAGCCCGAAACCCTAAACCCTAAACCCTAAACCCTAAACCCTAAGCCCTAAACCCTAAGCCCTAAGCCCTCTAAGTCTTGTGACGGCAGGAGGCAACAAGACCCAACATCATGCAGATCCAAGGCGCACGTGGCGCATTCTTGTGGGGGAGTGGACGGGCTTCAGTGTCGTGTCCGGGGCTGGGGTCTTTGGTTGAAGGTTTAGGGTTGAGAGCTTTTAGGGTTCGTGGATACTTGGAGGTTCATGGGTAGTTATAACTGGGGTTATAAGTCCCCTAATATGGGTTATAAGTCCAGTTACCCGTGCTTAAAACTACCCATCAACCTGCAAGTATGGGTCTAGGGTTTTGCAGAGTTTTGCATGGGGGAAGGTTTGGAGGATTCAGCGCTTGTGATTTGCTTGGGACTTCTGCCTCAAGGAAGGAGCAGTCAGGGTTTAGCAGTTAAGGCCCGGGATTTAGGGCGTAGGCTTAGGGCTTACAGCTTCAAGCCTAGAGGGCCTCCACCATGTTTTATTGGTCGAATGACTCCTCTATATGGGTGGTTGTCAAAATGATGGTCCCCCTTTTCCTTTTGGGCACCCTAAATAATAGGTGCCGTAGTATAATAAGGACCCAAAAAGGGACCTTAGTTTTGACAACCACCCATATCTGATAACTAGTACATGCCCTGTATGGGGCATGAAGCAAAAGCTCCTTGGTTGTTCGTTTCTTCTGTTCCTGAAGGCGTCTCCCTTGTAGTTCTGCTGGCTGGCCAGTTTGTGGTCTTGTGGCAAGTTTGTGCGGTTGGTTCCTACGAAAACGACCAAAAATGGAGGCTGTAGGCCAAAAGAGACGATTTTCCTTTCAGCCTCCAACATGGATCGTCGTTGCTTCTGCTGCTCCCAAGTGATGCTGAGTGCAGGATTCAAGCGGCAAGCTTCTTGGATCTCAAGCTCAAGCCCTCATTCTTTCTTAATGAACCCTCAACCCTATAGGCCGTAGACCTAGTTCGGCCCTTTCTTACTTATCCCTCGACCCTTTGACCCTAAGCCCTCGACCCTTTGCCCTACCCGAAACCCAACCCTGCTCAATGCCTCGACCCTAACCCCAGCCTCCTTGAGCCCAGGAGATTTGCAAGTGTTTAGGGCCAGCACCAAAGGAACAACACAAGACCATATCAGGCTCACATCCTACAAGAACATATATATATATATATAGACACATACATATGTGTATATATTTATGTTTATTTTCTTATTATATATAGTTATGACTCATATCCCACGAGGGATTTATGCTCCCCCTTCGCTGTTGCCCCTGTTCCGTCCTGCGGAATCTTCCGAGTGTTCCTGACGAAGGCATCTCTGCCCGAGGCGACTCCCCAGCCCTCTTTCTGCATGGTTCAGCTACGCCCCTAAGCCCTACCTTAACCCTGAAGAACCTACCTTTTTAGGGTTCCTTTTTATGACTTCCTTATACAAGTCCTTAAGGTAGGTTATTCCGGGTTAAGGTAACCCATCAAAAGAGTAGGATGAGGTTCTGTTTCGTCGCCCGGGCAACATCTGAGACTTTGTGAGGAGAAGGTCCGAGGTTGATGTCCTGCTTACCAGCCGTGCATGTAGGCCCTACAGTAGAAGCCAGAAAGTTGGAATATCATTATCATGGTCCCTTTAAGGTAAAATATAGGGGATCCTGCCATTATTCCATATTCCAACTTTCTGGAGTTCCCTTTATTCTTGGGGAGATGTCGTCTCGAGCCCTGAAGACCGGACTAGCCATACACCCGAAGTGCAGAGACTGGGCTGAGGGTTCCTTAAAGGGATCTATAAGGGTTCCTTAAAGGGATCTATAAGGGTTCCTTAAAGGGATCTATAAGGGCTCCTGAAAGGGATCTATAGGGTTTAGGGAGGTTCAAGAAGGGCAGGTTGGCTGGATTGGCTAGGTTTCCGTCTCGCCTGGCTGCTAGCGGTTGCTACAAGGATCGACCCAAAGGCCCCAAAGTAGTTCCTTTTGGGGGTTCGTATATAGAATCCTATAAGGTAATCCCAAAAAGGAACTACTTTGGGGCCTATGGGGAAAGGGTCCGACATCGAAAAACAGCCTTTAAACCCCAATGCGTGAAGCCCCTACTACAAGACAAGCTTCCAGCACAGACCTTGATTCTGTCAGGCACCCGGGTGGTCCCGAAACATGTGATCTGCGCAGCCATTGAGCACACGATTCCTGAACGCGGTGTCAAGGCACCTGGGCACCAAATGATTCACGTTCTGTCGCATGCAGCGCAGCCGTGCTTCATCCTTACAATTGAGAGTAAATGAACCCCTCCCCAACATAATCCGAGCAATAGTAATATGTAGCATGTAATTGTAATTCTGATGGTCGTAACAGCAATGTAGTCAGAGTCACCGTAATAGCAAAAATAAGTCGTAATCCCATTCTATAACAGCAAATGTAACAGTAGTGAGCAGCCGTAGGAGTAGAATAACCGAAGTTCTGAAGTAGACGTACTCATGATAGTAATTGGAGGTGTAGCAGTCATATCCATACATAGCCATACTCATGCTTGAAACCTTAGCAATAACGAACGTAACGCCAATCGTAAGAGGCATAGCAAATGCAATCGTTATATGGCAGTAGGACTTGATATAGCAACAGCAAAGTAGCAGATAGCAACAGTAGCAGTAACCCTGATAGCAGCAAGGTAATAGCTTTCGAAATGGCAACGGCGACAGTAACACCAACAGTACCAATCCGAGCAATAGTAAGGGCAACAGAATTGCAATGGCAACTATCTCCAACAAAATCAGGACCCTCTTTCCTTCCCCCAAGCCAATGCTGAAAGCACAACGACGCCGGACAAAGTTTCCCTTATTTTGGATGCAGAGCCTCCGACTTTCGAAGGGTCGTTTGGTCCAGAAGGTATCTATCTCGTGATCCCCTTAAAACTTACACACACACACACACACACACACACACACACACACGCACGCGCGCGCACACACCGTAAAGCCCTAAACCTTCAATCCCAGCCCTTCAAAACCACTAGTCACTAAACGCAAAACACATGACAGAACCCTAAACCTTGGTAAAGCACTCAATAGCCTTTATAGAACCATACCGTATCCCTGAGGGGAACCGTTGAAAGGAAGCCCCTCTTGTGGTGTGCCAGGTCAGCGCGGGAGGCCTCGGTAAAGTCCTGGATCAGATGCTGCGAGAGCACCCTGAGGCGACTCTTTGGTGTATATAAGGGTTTGTAAGGGTTTATAAGGGTTCCTTTAAGACCTCCTTTAAGGGTTTATAGGGCTTCTTTAAGGGTTGTTATAGGGGTAATCCTTTGAGGGCATACGTTTAGAAAGCTTAAACCCTTAACAAGCCCCTCCCCAGCAAAGCTGCATGTGGAAGCAAAATGCGGTTTTAAGGCTAAAGATCCAGCCAGGTAGGGTTTAAGCTTCCCTGCCAGCTTCAGCTCAATTTAGGCTTAAGCCAGGCTTTATGATGAAGCCGCTACTTTTTGGATGTGAGCGTCGCCCCGAACTTAGCCAACCCCTTCCACTTCTTGGATAACGAAGCCGGGGCACACCGGGATGCCATCCGAAGCATTCAATCAGAGCACACGACAGAAAACCCTGCGTAATCTCGGGCGATTGGGTGGAGCTGACATATCCCACGTCAGCTTGCAGGGTACGACCATATCAACGACCATATATCAAGATTGTAGAACCGTGAGAAGCGTTGTAAAGCCCGATTGCGCTTGCTTAGGCACCTGACATGGTGCTTATACACGCAAGGATAGCATATCGGTCGAAGGGTTTCTGGCTATGGCAATAGCATAAACTAGGATGCCCAGCAGTACCCTTATTCCCTTTTTGTAGTCCTAGGTTCCTTCTAAAGTTACCCAATACCAAAAAGGGAGCCCTTTTCATTCCTAGGTTGCTGGGCTTAGTAAAGGTACTTCGGCTTCTAACAGCCTTCAAGCTTCACCATCGTAAGCCCGCAAGCGTGTCAGCCCCAACACCTAGAAACTGAAAGGCCGGAGAGCCCGGAAACCCTAGACCCTTAAATGCCTTATAATCTCTATACATCTCTTTACTATAGGCCCCAAGCGGGGCCTCCTAAAACCCTCGATCAGAAAGCCCTCCAACCCGAAAAGCCCTAAACGCCTGCAGCCTCTGGGGGCTCTAAGCCCCCTCGCGGTGGCAGGGCACGCTGAGTCTGGTGCACCCGATGTTCGGAGACGTTGACTACGGCCCTCTCGAGGAGACCAAGTGGGGCTTCGGCATTTCTTTACACGGTTCGTGAACGGAGGCTATGTTAGACTGGTACTCACGTTGTTGCATGGGTGGCCATTGGGTTTCGGAGTTTGGGGGGCTTTGTTTTGCTTTCAGAATTTGGATATGGGTGGTTGTCGAAATTAAAGTCCCTTTTTGGGTCCTTAATATAATACGGCACCTAATATTTAGGGTACCCAAAAAGGAACCCTAATTTTGACAACTATCCAGATATGAGGTTTGGAGTTTGGGGGGGGCAAGCAGCTCGGTTGGCGCGTGTCGTTAGGAATCGAGCTTGAGCCCCGAATCGATTCAACTTCCCGACGCGGTCCCCTGCACCGCCGTTTATTTAAGGTCCTGGGCACTCTTTAGTTTTGTTGTTGACTTATGCTTTCCCTTGTAGCATTGATTTTAACATGTTTAACAATAATAAATATTCCGGTGACTTCAAAAGCATACATATATAACATACGGATTCTACTGTGCTGTGCTTTCCTCCTAAGGTAGCCGAGTCCGCAAAACATTGAATTCCTGGAACCCTGTACCCAACGCCAATCGCAGGAGTTCGACACGCTCGCCTGCGTGGTTGATGGGAAACCTCAATCGTTGCTTGGCCGCATCAGAAGTAGATGATTGCTACCTGTAGAGTTTACGGTTTGGGAGTTGGGAGTCTAAGAGTTTAGGCTTCAGGGTGTGGGAATCTAAGAGTTTGGGCCAGTTTGGGTGGGTATCACTGGCTGGGGTCTTGGGATTCCAGCTTGGTTTTGCCTGCATGCTGCATCTGAGGATCAAGGTCTACACGATGCAGAGCGAGGAGAACGGCATCACCCGCGCTTGGTACATCCTGGGCCTGCTAGCCGGGATTTATGCAATTGCCTGTGCAGTCTTTCGGTGCGCATGCCGTATATCTGCAACAGCATAAATCTAGACCCTATACTGCACCCTACCAAAGAGGCTTTAGATTCCTAACTGCTCAAGAATTCGAGACTCACTGCACTTCTCGCAGACAGTCTACTTAATCTAGCGGTCGGAAGACATGACAGCATTCCTCCCTGCTGCTTGTCACAACTGTTTTGATGATACGCCTCCTTACCCCATAACTGCTGTTACGAAATCTTGCATTCCAAACAACGTTGTTGACAACTTTTCTCAGGAACGAGGTCGGTACCTCACACCAGGGGGCCCGTGTCATAACCGCCCTACATTTCGATGCCATGCATGCGCAATCCTAAAACCTAAATCGCAGCCTGCGTTTTAGCCGCTTTACATATGCTTTATGTGCACCCGAAACCTCACACCCTAAACCCTGAACCTTAAATGCCTTAAAACCAAGCCTGGACAGCTTCAAATTTCGACAAAAGTCAGCGGCACAGCCTCCACATTGGGCCGAGATCATGAGTACTTCAAAGAGAAAGTCAAGACCCAGCCGTATCCCGCCTCGATGACCAAAGTGAGGACGAAGAGCCTTCCGAAAGTTTTGGGTGTAGGATTCTCAGGTTTAGGATGCTGCGGTTTGGGGTTTACGATTTTAGGGTTTAGGGTTCCAGGGTTTAGGGTTTAGGATGCTAGAGTTTACAGTAGGGTTTAGGGTTTAGGCTTTGGGGGTTCAGGGCTCTAATTTATTTAGATTAGGTTCTATGTAGGATTTCAGGGCTTTGGTTTCGGATTTTCTGGGTTTGCGTTGTGGTGTCCAGGGCTCACTTATTCAGGCTGCTGCTCCAAGGTCCCTGTGCTCAGAAAGTGGCCTTTGAGGGTTTAGGGGTTTAGGGTTTAGGGGGTCTAGGGAATATGTGCTTCCCTCGTGTTCCAGCAGGCTAGGGTTATTCCAGAGTCGCACCTCCTGATATCTTTTACCTGTCGCTTTCAGGTTCAGGGTTTCGGGTAATGTATGGGCCTAAAGAATTACCAATACTATTATCACTATTCTGGGGGCTCCTTATTTTGAGTACAGTATACATACTGGGCCCGGAAAACCTATTCTGCTTATTCAGGCCCCTATGTTCTGGGGCTAAGCCGTATGTAGAGGTTGGAGGATAGGTCACGGTTAGGGTTCCGGGTCTCCGCTGGATCCCTAAGCCAAGCCCTAAGGGTCTAAGCACCCATGAAATTATGGTGTGTGTCTGTATGTCTGTGTGTATGTAAATATTTATATATATATATACTATATATATATATATATAGATATATATATATATATATCGACACACTGTGGCCCTTATGTACTTGTAGTATAGAGGTACATGCCATGTACTCTTAAAGCACATCCTCGGATGCAAGCCTCCATGCGTAGCACATAAGCACAGTAAAAAAGACACCTACCTACCTACCTACCTACCTACCTGCGACTTACATATGTACATAAAGACATTCATGCATTCATACATGAATGACTGAAGTAGGGAATAACCGAGGGAAATCTCGGGAAGGGGAAACCTTGAACCCTAAACCCTACGCCGGAGCCTTGTCCTTCCAAAACTCTTTGCACTTGCGGAGGACTCTTCGATATTTCTCCTTGTGGAACCAGGCCGGGTCGACTCAGGTCACGATTCCTAAGCATCCGAGTATGTCTGTATGCATGCATGCATGTATGTATGTATGTAATGTAGTCTAGTTTAGTATAGTCTGGTATATGCGTTTTGGTACATATAGGATATTATGGTATAGTATGGGGTGTATCGTGTACCGAGGTACAGAAGCCCCGGTGCTTTGAGGGTGTTTCGAAAGGCTTGCCTCTACCACACATGCGCTGCATATTCGGATAGCCACTTTTGGCCATAGACAACCATAGACAATCATTTCCCGTCCCTACCCAAACCTGCCTTGCGTGCTAGAACCGACACCCCAGACTTTGATCCGGAACCACAAGCCCGAAAGTTCGCTTTGGTTCGAGCCGCCAGAGACTCCAGTATATCTTAGAAGGGGCCCACACCCTGTAATAGTGGTAGAAAAGGAATATAATAGGGCCCTCATATAATCCTTATAGTCACTATTACAGGGTGGGGCAGCTTCTAAAGTATATCCCTTGGTGTCGGTTTCGTGTTTTAGGCCCCGACCATCATGTAAAAGATCATTCCTTCATAGGCAAACGAAGCCAAAAGCCAAAGCATTGAATCCTAGACTACGTAAGTTCAGGTCCCAAACCCTCAGCTTACTAAGCCTTATAGCTCACCTCCGGCCAGGATTCCCAAAGCCGTTTAGGGTCTAGGGCCTATTAGGGTGTACGGCTTTTTGTAATTGCACAAATCGCCAGGCGACGGCTCTACTCATCAAGAGGCCTGCTGTTTGTTGCGCGATGTCGGGTTCAGTGTTTAGGCTTGTAACGAGTTCTTGGGTGTAGGGAGGTTCATGTCTGAGTATGTGTACTTCGTAAAGGCATTCCCGTATGACAAGTTATATTTTGTTGAAACGAACATGCTTCAACGCCCAACGCTAAACCGCTTATTGCCTTTTGTGCTGGCCCACACGGTAGAAAAAGCTCGCCAGTCCCTGCCCCTTAGCAAAAACACTGAACTCTGAACCTTAAACCCAGAACCCTCGATCCTAAACCTCAAACCCTGAAGCCTAAACCCTCAACCCTAGCTGAACCCTAAACCTTAAAGTTTAAACCCTCAACCTTACACCCTAAGCCTTAACCCTGAATCCTATTCCCTTTAAACCGTAATCGCACCCTAAACCCTAAAGCCTGGGCTCTCCCGAAATCCCAGCCGCAGCCAGGTAACTCCGAGTTTCGGCTACATGTGCACCCCACCATACCTGTAGGCTTAACCATCAAACTAGGTATCCTAAAGAAGGGATAGGGTATGAGCCTCTAGGTCGTATAGGTTTACGAGTTTAAGGTTTTAGGTTTGGGGTGTAGAAGGTTTAGGGTTCAGGATTTATGTGCTCGTATGGTATATAATTTGGCCTTCAAGTAGACACTGCTTGCAGGTTCATGAGTCGGTATAAGTAGGGATATAAGTAGGGTAACTATACTTATAACCCATATTAAGGGTCTTATAACCCCACTTATAACTGCCCCTGAACCTCCAAGTATGGGTACTTTGGGGTCAAAAATTGCACTATTTGGCCTCGCGTGTGCCCTCCACCATACAAGAAGCGACCTTGGAGCCCGAACGTCACAAAGCAGGGTTTAGGGGTTTGAGGGGTTTACGGGGTTTAGGGGTTTGAGGGGTTTAAGGGGTTTAAGGGGTTTAGCTGTTTGAGGGGTTTACGGGGTTTAGGGGTTTGAGGGGCTTAAGGGGTTTAGGGGGTTTAGCTGTTTGAGGGGTTTACGGGGTTTAGGGGGTTTAGGGGTTTAAGGGGTTTAGGGGTTTAGGGGTTTAAGGGGTTTAAGGGGTTTAAGGGGTTTAGGGGGTTTACGGGTTTAGCAAGTTTAAGGGGTTTCGAGCAGGTTGAAGCCTGACATCTACCACTGCATGGACTACCACGCTGCGTTGGCGCCACTCTACCTCGAGGTCTGCAACGATGGATCCGACAATGTCCGTTTTTTTTTGTTCGTTCTTACCCGTGTTGCAATCGCACGGCTAGTCTATGGTGGCTCTTATTAATTATCATGACTGGTTCGGTTCTGTTTCGATGTTGCAATTTTGAATCTTCGTATGGTTTGATGCACGAACGCTGCACGATCATCATGTCTCTTCTCCGCAATACTACGGACGCTGAGCAGAAGTGCGGATGTAAGGCTGTTTAAGGATGGTCTGGAGGTCGGACATATTCGTACTGAGTAATGAGTTACCTTTACAGTCCATGTACACTGATAGGGAAATAGAAATAGAATACTCCCCAAAGCTTTATTTTTGCAGGTAGTCCGAGTTGATGGGCAGGTGGGGACGGAAGAGCGATTCCGTGTAGCAACAGTACCACCTATCTAGCAGACGGATTCCCCCAAAAGGACCTACAATCAATTGCAGTAGAAACTACAGTACTGTCACGAAACTCAACAGAAGTGCATCTGAGACGACAGTGGGACCACCGGAGCACTTGGAACCTTGCACCTCGTAGCCTGAAGATAAGTCCTGAGGCCTAGATCGAAAGATAAACTGCATGAGAAGAAAACCTACAAGTCCCTAAACCCTAAACCCCGAAACCAGGGCCTACTGGCCTTCTAGGATACTGCAGACTGCCACCCCCTGGAAAAAGGAGTTCAACAAAAAAAACTAAACCCTACACCCCTTAACCAGTCTCAAGGTACCCTAAACCCTAAACCCTAAACCCTAAACCCTAAACCCTAAACCCTAAACCCTAAACCCTAAACCCTAAACCCTAAACCCTAAACCCTAAACCCTAAACCCTAAACCCTAAACCCTAAACCCTAAACCCTAAACCCTAAACCCCCGCAGCAGCCGAAACTCTGCAAGGCCAACGAGCAGATACCAATCATCCTGGTGCTGCACAACGCGGACTACATGGGGGCCAGGGATCACAGCGATGTTATTCTTGGAGTAAAAGGCGTACTGTAGGGGCCTGGGCCGAAATCATTACCTAGACTAGTTTGGGAGTACCTTATTATAATCATAGTATAATGAGCCTATTCTCATTATTCAGGCCCCTATATTAGGGCTTGAGATCGAGATTGGAGACCCTGAACCCTAAACCCTAAGCAGAAATGGGAGTCTCAAACACGGGGGGCCTCTATATAGAGCTATAGAAGAACAGACCCAAAGGTGGGAGATCGCAAAGAGATTATCTTAGCTGAATTCTTATAGTGGCCCTTATAGACACCTTTAAAGGAACCTATTCTAATTATTAAGGCCCAGATTTTCGATTATCAGGTCATTGAGACGGACTTCATCAGCGATCGCTTTTGGAAGACCGTGACGTCGCTGCGGCGGCTGACCCTTGGCTTCACAGTTTAAGGTTTAGGGTTTGGGGTTTGGGTATTAAGGCTTAGTATAGGGCGGGGGCTTGTCATGACAGGTCCTCCTTCTTCATCCGGCTCAATGCTGTTCGGGATTGCAGAGTTCCAGATGTTCCCTGTTTTAGAGCGCATGATGAGGTTCCAGAGTTCAGAGTGCCCTTTGCTGTAATTGCTTGAGTTTGGAGGCTCATTCAGGTGTGTCGTCAAAGTTGCTTCGACATGTAGAGCAGGTCAGGGAAGCTTGCTGTCTAAAACTCATGGATGCCAGCATTCCTGAGCTCAGAAAGCCCCCAAACATACTACTACTACTACTACTACTACTACTACTACTACTACTACTACTACTACTACTACTACTACTACTACTACTACTACTACTTACCCCTGCTGCTGCTACTACTACTACTACTACTACTACTACTACTACTACTACTAGTACTACTACTACTACTACTACTACTACTACTACTACTACTACTACTACTACTACTACTACTACTACTACTACTACTACTACTACTACTTACCCCTGCTGCTGCTACTACTACTACTACTACTACTGCTACTACTGCTACTACTGGTGCTAGACCGGCCCTGCAGACCCCAAGAACTGCGCAAAGCTCTAAACTCCACACACCCAGACTCGCACTTACACTATAGTCTCCTTAGGAAAAATTTTTGGGTTTTGTTCATCCAAAACCCGAGAGAATATTAAACATATTATTGTTATTATGGTTCTGACGGGGTATAGTATTCCTGAAATGACGCGATCAGGGTAGCCCGAGCAGGCCTAGTTACTGTACTCTTGCTTGCCTCTTTCCCTTTCGGTGCATTCCGGGCCAGAGGCTCCCCGAAACTTATTTTCAAGGGGGACTTTAACGACAGGAGGAAGAATATCAGGAGGGAATGGTAATATATATATATATATATACATAGTATGTTTATAATATATACATAGGTACACATATATACACAGATATACAAGTGTGCACGTTTATACGCACAGACATATTTACGTACTTGCGTACGTACACACAACAGTCATACATACATACATACATACATTCATTCATTCATTCATTCATTCATGCAGGCACGCAGGCTTGCACTCATTCTCATTCATGTATTCATTCATTCAGTCTGTCAGTCAGTCATTTGTACTTATGGGGTTTGCAGTGCGGGAAGCAGTATTGCTGCTGCGCCCTTCCAGTCGAGGCTACCCATCGGCCCCATAGTTGTACCGTTTTGGGTTTCATATGTAGAATCCAATAAGGTAATCTCAAAAAGGACCCTAGAGTACCCTTAAAGGAGATCCTCTTGCAGAATCTCAGCGTTCCAAGTAGACCCTAAACCCTATACCCTATAGAATCCCTGTAAAGGGCCCCTGAAAAGGAACCCTTAAACCCTAAACCCTAACCCTAAACCCTAAACCCTAAACTACCCATGAACCTCCAAGTAGTTCCCTTAAGAGAGCTCGATCCGAACTCTCAGCCCTAGGGTGGCTGGAAAATTACCCATAATCAGGAATATCCCGTAATTCCCATAGTGTAGGGTCCTTACTTAGAGGATCATGGGGCTTAGTAAGTAGGGTTATAAGTAAGGTAACCATAGTTATATCTACTTATAACCCCAATTAAGGTACTTATAACCCTACTTACTAAGTCCCATGATCCTCCAAGTAGACCCTAAACCCTCAAACTAAACCCTATAGATCCCTTTAAGGAACCCTATAGATCCCTTTAAACTGCCCTTTAAATAAGGGTAATGCAGGATTTATTGCATGAGCAGTACCAATGCCCCAAGACCTAAGCGCCGACCTAAGGAGCTTGATCTTCAACCTCCAGGCCTCCCTGCATTACCTTATAAGGGTTCTTATAAAGGGCCCTTTAAAGGGATCTATAGGCTCTATAGGGTTCCTTAAAGGGATCTGTAGAATGTGGGTAGTGGTTTAGGGCTTTAGGGTTTAGGGTTTTAGGGTTTTGGGGTTTTAGGGTTTTAGGGTTTTAGGGTTTCGGGTTTTAGGGTTCTAGGGTTTTAGAGGTTTTGGGTTTTAGGGTTTTAGGGTTTTAGGGGTTTAGGGTTTTAGGGTTTAGGGTTTAGGGTTTGGGGTTTACGGGTCAGGGTTTAGGATTTTAAGGTTTTAAGGTTTTAGGGTTTATTAGGGTTTAGGGTTTATTAGGGTTTAGGTTTAGGCTTGTTATGACTATTGTTGTTCTCATTCGTATTCTTGCTTGTTTTGTTCTTTTTCTGATTATTCTTGTTGTTAATTCGCATTGTTATGATTATTGAAAGGCACAGTCAGGGCTTCAGGTGCAAAGTGCTTCTCAATTGCAGAGGTGCTTTGGAGTGATACGGGCATTCCAATTCTTCGGTGGGCCTAAAAGCTCTATGCACTGGGCTCAGCCTGGACTCCTAAATGGCACCTGAAACTGCTGAACTGAAGGGATCTGGGAAACCACCCAAAGAAAAGACCTCGCCCAACAAGAGAAAGGTTGTTTCTGCAAAGGGGACCGGACCGCACACGCACACATACGCACCCACTCGCAACATGTCAACTCAACTGCATAGGCTAGAACTCAGTTACTCGCAGGTTCTAGCGAAAGCGGCTTGGACATAGACTCCCGTCCCTGGCTGCTGGTTAAGAGGATCCCCAGTTGGATCCTAAACCCTAAACCCTAACTGCACTGGAAGCTTCCGTGGGGAGGTCGAGGTCCGGGTTGGGGGGGCCAGGCGGGTCCCTGTAGCCCTTAGAAAATTGACCCTAAGGGTCCAAGTACCTACTTATCATAAACTCTCCAGAGTACAAACCTACATAACTACTATCCTAAACCGAGTGCCGAATTACTGGGTCCTTTGGACCCTTAGGGCAAGAGACTCGTAGGTTCGCACGTTGGATCGCCCTAAACGGCTGAGCAGCTACACCCGTGCGCTTTCAGTGCCTGGAACGGGCAAGTGGAGGTGCAGATCTCAAGACCTCACATTGCCCACCCCCCCACCATTGTTGACACAGTGTTTGAACATCAGACGAGAGCTTCGGCACCTGGGTAGCATAGTACAGGGCTTATGGTCCCTTAGCCGCCCAATCCTTACGCCGCCAGAGAACAGAAGTGCTGCTTGCCTGCATGAGGACACCCCCAAGCTTTCCGCTGAGACTTGAGACCAGGATACTTGATCAAGAGTGTACCTAGAGTTTGGAGTTACTTCATGGGAGCCTAAAAATAGAAGCGGTTGAACCCCAGAAAAGGAAGTACAACGGAGACTACGTACAGGTGGGCTTTAGGGCCTGCGGTCTAAAGCGATTTCGTCCTCTGGGTAGGTCTCGACGCTGAGACGATATTGAGCCCTGGCTGAGTTTATGGGATTTGGGGTGGGCTCTGGGACATGGATTCTGTCATTGGATGTCCGATGGTCGACTGGTTTCTAGGAGCCGGTAAGACGGAAACGAGGTTCTTCGAAACTTGAACACTTGATGGACGGATGTTGGGGTGGCCATGTGCCTCAAATGTTCCAAAGAGTCCCAAAAGCAGATCGAGACAGAAGTGCCAGTGATGAAGTGGCAACCCTGCATCCTGACGATAAAAGGCTCCGTAATTCAGCCTAAACCATCCTAATTATTTCCTAAGCCCGAAAATGCCATGCAGATCCAGTGAATCTAGCGTGCGGAGGATGTTGGGCACATGCTGCAAGGATCTGCCAAGACTCCTCCGCCGAAACCACGAAGCGTTTAGAGTTTCAGGTGTAGCATAATCATCGCCTGACTCGTGTAGGGTCCCTCTATATATAGTATTGTAAACAAGAAGTCGAGATGTGTGCACATTTTAATATGTATGAATAGATAGTCTTGTGGATGTGCTTTGTTATTCTGGGAGTTCGAAGTAGGCTTAGAGCAACTTGTTGGGGCTTCAGGGTTGGGTCTCACCTCCCTGAACCTGACTGCGTTTAGGGTTTCTGGGCTTGGCTAAACGGGAGGCAGAACGAAGTAGAAGCCCAGAAATTTGCTAGCATCTGTCTCTCCATTTTTCGACAGCCCTATAGCAGTGTACAAAAGCAGACAATGCCACAATATGAGAAACTTGGATTTTGAGGGATGGTGTTTCGAAATCCAATTCCTAAGCCCTAAACTCGCTCCTATGCCGCAAGCCTTGCTTTGCCCTATATGCCCGAAGCGCACAGCCCTAACCCTAAGCCCTAAACCGTGAGGCATGTTCGAGGGCCGGTTCAACATGCTCAAAGCCGGCGTGACGTACATCAAGCAGACTCAGGCCCCGGCTATCATTGAATTAGGCATACTTTACTACATCATGATATAGTAAAATAGTATATAATACTAATAAGATGTAATACGATATATCTTTTCATTATAATATACTAATATGGTATAATGCGGTTTTATTGTTTGTACAAGGTTGAATCATTATCCCCCAAGACGATCCTTGCTCCCGCCGCAGTTCCGTGCATACGGCGCGTCCCCATCCGAAATTCGTGCTCCCGGAACAGTCCCGTGCATGTGTTGTTCGACTAGTGACGAGTCTTCCGTACACCGTGTGGTGCTGGTTCTGGGTTCCAAACGTGCCTTTTTCCGACTGACTGTGGTGCTCCTGGAATAGTTATTGCAGGGTGCTGCAGGTGCATTATAGGGCAGCGGGCTTTTGGATGCCTGTCGCTGGCCAAATGTTTATAGCGTTTCGGGAGGCTGGATCATAAGTATGGCAAGAGTTATTGGTACTTAGGCCCCCGGGATTGTTTGGCATGCGGTGTACCCGACTACGGTAATTGAGGCTGTCATGGGTTCAGGGGCTTCCGAAACGAGCAGATCATCCTGTTTTGCGATTTGAGGGCCTGGGAGTTCTCAAGCCGAAGCTTTGTTACAGTAAACCCAATAAAGTTGGAAACCGGATTAAGGCCAAATAGTGCTGGGATACCCTATGCATTACTCTTAAGGATTGAGGCTATGGGGTTTCCAACTTTTGGGCTTCTAGTGTAGTGTAGGTTCATGATACATGCTCTTCACTGTGGCTACAGGGTTCGGGGTTGTGTCTGCAAAGTCTAGGCCTAAGCCCAGCCAACTCACGAACCTTAAGCAAACTCTTCTGCCTCTGAGGCTGGCTATGGCATTTGTGCTGTGTCCGAGAACTATGCAGCGACTTGCAAGCAAGACGTTCTGGGACGCTCCAAAACAGCACATGCTTGGAGGTTCACGGGTAGCTATAAGTGGGGAAACAAGTCCCCTAATACGGGTTATAAGTATAGCTGCCCTACTTATAACCCTACTTATACCTACCTATGAACCTCCAAGTAGGCACAAGCTCCCTTGTTCGATGTCTTGACATGTCGCCCTTTTATCCGACAGGTACGATCCTCTCGCAGATTATATGGGCCTTAATAATTAGAATAGGGTTTTGGGGTGTATATTACACTATAAGTAGAAGAAGGAACCCCAAAAATAGTATAGGTGATTATTTGGGCCCCTCCAGTACATCCGTAAGCACCAATGCCATCGGCAATTCAAAACCAGGAAGGGCCCAGGCAGGGGTTTCAGGAGCCGGCCTCCAGTTATACATGTACCTGGTTTCTCTCCTCTCTTGGTTTAGCTGTGTTGGTCTGTGGAATCACAGCATACGATAAGGATGGTGCAGTGGGTGCACACGCTAGAATATTGTGTCTACCAGTTGTTGCCGGCGTCGCCCGCTGTAATGTAGGAGTCCTACTGATTTGCATTGTTCCGCTTCCG